TGGCTAAAAAAAGATGGAGAGTCATATTTATAAATATTATAACGATAAAAAGTATGAAAAATAATTTATAGTTTAAAGAAACTAAAAGACACGCTTTTGTAACTAAACGAAGTAGAAAGTAATTTTCTATAAGTTCAAAAAGAAAAATCATTTTATCGTATAAATGCGTGGGGTGCTAGATCTCAATTGTAGTAAAAAAAAAATTTGACAGATTTGTAAAAGAGGGGGCTCTTTTTTCTTTTTGAAGTTATAGAAAATTAGTTTCTACATTTCAGTTCGTTTAGTTACAAAAGCGTGTACCTATTTTAGTTTACAGAATCACCACATACTCCTGGCTCCTGAGTCCCCGAGGAGCAGGAGATCCGAAGAGATTTTCCACCCCGTCAAAAAAAAAGGGCTACGGAACCATAAAAACATTTTTTTCTCTATGATTAAGAGGTTAACTGAGTAAATAAACAGCCTCACAAACCTAGAAGTGTCATTTATTCATTGCCATTACTTTCGCGTATAAAACTCTACAGCTTCTGGTGCTATTAAACCGACTGTGAGGTAAAAATAAAAAAAATATCAGACGATAAAATTATTAAAATTAATAAAAATTCTATTCCATCGCGCTATACTATTTCGGCTTCATACATTACCAAATGAGGTAAAAATCTTGATAATCTTTATACGCAATTATTTAACCAAGTCAGGTAGCAGGCAAGCTCGTGAGAATAAAAAAAGAAAATTATTTACTTCATCTCAATCCAAATATGGAAAAGGCCTCTTTTTAATCTTAAATAAGTAATCTTTGACCCTGTGATAACTTATCTTTTCCCACATTTGGTCTAATCACTCTTTTAAGTCCTTAAAATATTACCAAACTTGGTGCGAATAGCTGTTTGCACAAATATTGTGGTATTCATTTGACATTTGACATGAGTGCGTATGTTCTATCTATATCTATAAGAGAATAAACTGACAGACTGTTACTGACTGATAGATCAACGCACAGCTGAAAACGCTGTCTACAAGCAGGAAATTTTGCACAAATTGTCATTTTTATGTCGGTTTTAAAAAAGATACGAAATTCATTTTTCACCATATTTGGATACTACATTGTCTAAATATTATTAGTACATAGTAGTAAAGTACATTCATTTTAAATTATTCAGTGTTTGTTTGACAGGCGCTCAAAATAAAATGAAGCATGTGATTTTTCTAGAAAATTGTATAATTATTAGTTATTATTTTTATTGCATTTTAAAGCAAACCCTTTTTTTCACGTGTATGCCAATTTTCATAATTACAGATTTAGAATTAAAAAGTTATGTCAAAAAATTACATACTTAATTATTTTAAACGGTTAAAATTCAATAAATGTCAGATCCGATACTATTCTACTACTATGAGGAAATGATTCTTAGGTGACGCAGGTGTGCACTAACAAAGGATTTTTTTAAATTCCACCCCAACAGTTGCAAAATAGGAGTTTATGTGAACCTTCGTAACTTATGGTAGTAGCGTTTTGAAACTCACAGCAAATACTCTTTATTTAAAAGTAATAAAAAAACGTTACTAATTTTTCAAAAGTACCCTTAAAAGGTTTGAACAATTTTTTTTAACTTATCGATTCTAAACTTTCAGTATAATTATATTTTCTATCAAAAATAATAATAATTGGACACCTATTTTTTTTAATTTTCAAAACGTAAGTATGTTTGTTGCTCAATTACGCCAAAACGGCTTTCTGAATCTTAAGGAGATTTGGCACATAGATAGATTATAGTCTAGAATAACACAGAGGCTACTATTTATCGCGGCCAAAATTGTCAAAAATGACAGCTGGGGGCAAAGGCTAGTTACTGTATTAAAACACAAAGGATTTGTCTATTATCAAGTAAAACGAAAGATCAACAGCCGTGACGACAGGAAAAAAAACAAAGGCATTGTGATAAACACTTAGTCATGAAATTGGTGATAAACGTTTTATTTCCTTATCGTATTCAATAATAGGAACACACATTTATTAGGCACAAAAGTTTCATCATCACAAACAAATAGTTTGACGTATATTTTATTTATGTAACGCACATGTAACTTGACTTAATTCCTTTCTTCGTTCATTTATTTCAACGCGATAAGAATTCTATCCCCATAGTTTGGATAATTGCAACTCCATCACTACGTTTTACAATAACTTTTTTGCAAAAATTGATCTGTGGTACAAATCGCCACCTGCATTATCGCCGAATATTTGTATCTTTTCTTACTCTTTATTTTTGTGAAAAGAGTTTACTTCAACTTCAAGGAGTCACTTATCCTCAGCTTACAATATAATAGGGGACAAACCTATAACCTAATCTTATATATAAAATTGTCGTGTCACAATGTTCGTTCCCGTACTCCTCCGAAACGGCTTGACCGATTCTCATGAAATTTTGTGTGCACATCGGGTAGGTCTGAGAATCGGCCAACATCTTTTTTTCATACCCCTAAATGGTAAGGGTGACCCATCCCTAATATTTTTTTTTGTTTTGCAATACAACGTTTGCCGAGTCAGCTAGTATCATAATAAGAAAATTACGCGGAGGTTGCATATGAACCCGATGATGTTATACAGTTCGGGATGGTTTTTACGGCAGATTTGCAGAAATAACTAAGGCGTTCTTTAATGCCTTTTAAACATAACGATAAATGAAAATAGGTAATCAAATAACAATAATAAGGAAAGAGGATTCCTTCCATGCAGTGACAGATTTTGCAGCAGCGAGCGTGCCCAAAAGGGAAGAGACGAGCACCAAGGGAACATATGGGTTCCCACACAGGAGGTCATCTACCCGCCGTAGATGCCCCGAGGTACGTCGGGGTACCAGGGATTTCCTTTCTAGGGTACACCTGGTTCCCGGCTACTGGTATCCAAAACGGCGTGCGGTTTTTAGTCGGTTCGAGTTCGACATAGCCACCGGTAGGTGGTATCCGAGGGGAATTTTCGCACAGAAAAAAAAGGTAATCAAATAACAATAATAAGGGAAAAGGATTCCTTCCATGCAGTGACAGATTTTGCAGAAATATTTGACGATCTTGACAAATATTGACCTTCAACATTATTTTTTTCAGTGTTGCACATTTCCGTCAACTATTAAATTGAATAATTGTCATTTAGTACTCACTGGTCAATTGGTAATGATTACATATTAGTCTGTATTCATATTATTTTTCTTGCCTGCTCATTAAGAATTTTACTAAAACATTTAATAATTTTTGTTGGTTATTTATATACATTCTAGTCTTATTAACATTATAGTTTGATTGATCACGTAAATTCTATATCTCTCACTGTGAATTTAAAACAAAAACGAGACGTCAGTATACCTATTAGAAAAAACACTGTTCCTATGGATGTTTTAAATGTTTAGAAGTTACATCTTATTTTATTACTAGCTGACCCGCGCAACTTCGTCTGCGTCTCTCAATAGTAATAAATTTTCTCCGTTTTTGAAACATTCTTCATTGGTGCTCTGCTCCTATTGGTCTTAGCGTGATGATATATAGCCTATAGCCTTCCTCGATAAATGGGCTATCTAACACTGAAAGAATTTTTCAAATCGGACCAGTAGTTCCTGAGATTAGCGCGTTCAAACAAACAAACAAACAAACTCTTCAGCTTTATAATATTAGTATAGATTCCATTTTTAAACGTTTAAAAAATAAAAGAGGTCAATATTTCAAACAATAAATTACATACTTTATTAGGAAACCATTTTTTTTTATATTAAAGGAATATGGCTAGATAAACCTTTCTCATAATTATTATTATTACGACGATTTCTTTATATTAAGAAGTATTCAGAGATGTACCCACAGCCGCCGCCATGTTTAATAAACGTATTAATGATAATTAACCTCTATTGTTAAGTTTTCAACAATCTTGTTCGATGTTCGATTTGGCAAGCAATTAACATTAAATGAACAGTAATTTTACTATGTTCTAGTATATCGGATACATTTATGGGCGAATCTGGCAGGTTTGTGACACTGTTTCGCGGATATGAAATATTTTGTTGTTTTAGTGGTGCAAATTATTTACAAATTTCACAAATATTTAATTTGTGAAATTTGTAAATAATTTGCACCTCTTCACAGATATTGTCAAAGAAGCAAACTATTCAGAAAAAAAATCTGAACATTATTCTGAACATGAAAATTCAAATTCCTATTACACACATTCCAAATTTTCAGTATAACTCTATTCATAAACAGGGGCTCTGACCCTTCTAATTATTTTCCCTTATGTTATACCTACGCGTAAATACTTGATTGCCAGATACCTTTTTTGTACTCAATTTTAGATTTTAATATTTTATTTTAATGACTTTTTAAACCATGATACGTAACCCAATTATATTTTTTGGTATTTTTTTCAAATGTCATACTTATTATATAATTATTTAATAAATTGAACAATAAGCTTCTCCTTTTCCAGAAATACTATGTTCCTACCCTAAGGTTATCATTCTATATTTTATGCCCTGTCTGATACCAATAACTTTTATTCATAAATTATCACAACCAGTCATTCTTTAATCTCATATAACATTCGTATCCAATACTATCCATATTTTTATTGTAGCAATGTTGCAGCTAGAGTTGTTACCTCCTTGCCACATTCACCCTATTTAAGCTTTACAAGGCAAAGGTCGCATTTGAGTCATTTCTGATTTTAAGATTGTTTATGGTCGCAGGCAGCAACAACAACAACAACACGGAGTCAGGGACCGGCCGGACGATATAACGGAGGCCTTGACAAAAGCCAATGAATTTGTTTTCCAATTTATATAAAATAATCATGATAATATACCCGTAATTCGATCTTGATTATCACTTTCGTTTGTTTAAAATAAAATTACATACCAATACACACAATTGTTTTGAGAATTTAAAAACAATGTGTCTAAAATTTAGTTTTTTTTTTATTTGACAAATTAAAAATAAATAAATCCAAAAACTTTACCTACCATTCTTTTAGTTTTCAGAACTGGCTCATCGATAATATCTTAAAAGGATGAATAATTTCACATTCATAAATCACATTTTTCCGATAAAAATTTTTGTTTAAAACTTTCAATTTTCACGTTTTATTACACCTTTTCTTGTCTTTTTGTCAAATAGTTTATAAAAGAATGTGCAAAGAGGTCAATTTAATTTAATAATTATCACGCAAAGAGGGAATGCACCTCACAAGGCCGAAACAAAAAGACGTAGGTCCACTCTCGCTGTATCATGCGCACTAAACGGCGTACTGTGCTGAATCAAAGCCAAATCCGTAAACACGTATCTGTGACAAACGTTTGAACCAACACATAATGCGACGTAGCACGGAATGTCATTATCGCCGTGCATTTTGTCAGCAATGTTAGTGTACTTTAATTTTGTAGCATATTATTATCCTTTGTTGTTAAACTGGCGGCATAGGCATATGACCTGTATTTGTTAAGTGTCCTATTGTTTAGTGCGACAACAAATGTGATACAAATACATATATGATATTTTATCGCAGCTTTTTCCTAATATTTATCAAGACGTCGTAGGATTGTAACTTGATTTTCACTTTTTAACACGCTTTTATTAGCTTTTTATGTGTGTATGCTAAGAATATTTAGCGTTATTCTAAGTATGTATGTAATGGAAGCTTAGAACGTGATTTTGACCCACTTGAAAGCGTTAATACCTTCCTCAGGCATCACACTATCTATTGGTGAAAACCGTACAAAAAATACGTTCGGTAGTTTTTGAATTTTATGATAAATAAGGTAATTAATATTTTAATGAACTTTAAATGAATTTTTCATGGGTTTCAAGAGAAGTGTTGCCAACAGTTCAATTACAAGCAGTTTTTAAACCATGGAAAATCTAACGCAGTGTTACGAGTCATGATATTTATTGTATTTACTGAAAACGACTAAATCACGGGTTGTAAGCTAGTTATAAAGAAATTATCAGCATCTTTAGTCTTGAAAGATATAATATGCGTCCTTGACAAATTGTGAAAGCCCAGCATTGATGTTTTTTGGGTGCTTTACCCAAAAAAATAAAAATAAAGAACTCAAAGGAGTAATCGTCATTTTAGGAAACTATAAAAATAACATTAATGGAGATCCCGTTATATTAACTAAAAATATTTATGGAAACTGACATAGGCACGTTGATTGAAAAAAAGAGCTGGAGGTCAATTCTCGTATTAAACGTTCGGTCATAATTCAGTGCCGATTCCGATCTCGCAACAGTCATAAAAGGTATTTTGCTGTAAAATCGTAAAGTATTAAGACTAGCAGATTACCCATTCGATTTTAGGTTACAATACAATATTATCACATTAATGCTTGCGCCTGGAACCTCCATCCAGCAAACCAAACTCTGATGCTTGAAAAGGTTCAAGAAACTTTCCTCCGATACCTAATCAAAACGTTTTATTATTACTTCCACTATATATACCCAACCAATTACCTATTAGGGGTTTTAGGTGTAAACTCATTGGAGATTAGGAGGTCTCGATCAGTTATGGTAGCTTGTAAACCCCTTCGAGGGAATCAACTGTTCTAAACTCCACAATCTATTCTGTCGACTTTATGTGCCTTATAACTACCATGCACATCGTCAAAGCCGCGGACGCAAATTATTCGCGCAGCCGGTATGTCTCACAGTCGCCAGATACTCTAAAAGCGCTCAATACCCTCCTGAGCTTAGTGTGATTTATTTGTAGACAAATGGAGGGTATGATTAATGTTTTGCGAGAGAATGTGTGTGAGTGTAGTGTGTAGTCCACTTTACCATATTAGTTTTTAAGTAGTCTTATAACTGCTACAATATTGTTATTAATTTTCTTATTTTATTTTAATTACTTTGTTTTGTTTTTTCTGGTAACAGATTTTTATGTTATGTTTGTTGTAACTGTAATAATTTTAACTCCATGTTAAATAATATATTTAGTTTGTACCCTTTTTAATTAATATCATTATATTATATTTATTATAATATAATTAATATTATATTAACTATAAATTAATTAATAAATACAGCCTACGTTGGATGTTGAATACTTTATTACGAAAATAACTTTAATGACAGTTGTGATACCTAAAGTTTATTGGAAGTTAATTGTGACCGAACTTTTATTGTGAGAATTAACTTTCTGATTGCCGAGTCCCATTTTAAAATTCATACATTTATTGTCGTTCTAACCATGAATCATGTTTTTCTATGGTTACTGAATACCATCCTCTCTGAATTAAGACTAAACAAGATTTTGCTCGTTAATAAAAAGAAACAAAATACATAACATATACATACACAATACTTCTCGTCTACGAAAAAAAATCATATTTAATGGTAAAATATATTATACACAAATGTTGCCAATTTAAGATTTTATGCAAATGATCTAAAACTAAGTATCCAAAACGATAGAAAACAAAGAGAACTGTCACCCGTGACGTACTTAAGATTTGAAATCAAATTTCGGTTTTTTGTTTTAACTATCTCGTCATAGTTTTCATTTGTTTTACCGATTAGGAACTTCATAATTTGAAAAAGTGATGTAAAAAGTGTGTGGAAATTACCTAACCAGGTTTGTGAATGTAAGTCATGTTTTCTGAAAGAGTTTTAAAAAACATTAAAGATTCTTTGTAACAACAAGGTCGTCAGTAATACTTTAAAATAGTACTTAAATGTTATTTTAAGCTTAAATGTAACTTATAAGTCTAATCGGTCTTTCATAAACCCACAAAACAATGCCTTGACATATCAGTTTCTGATCCTGCATTTTTGTGAAACCTTTCAAAGTTCTAAAGTGTTGAAGGCTATATAATTGAATTTTAAATAAGCCATCTCGGGATTTGCGTCTTGTATAATATTATTTGCATGCTATACTAGTAATACAATACAATATCAAGTTAAAAAGTCCCGCCAAATGACTACTAGCGCCATCTGTTATTATTAAATACTATTAGCTTAACTTCTTAATCGTTTCGCGGTGAACCCTACCGCCATCTATTTACCATCGTGTTGAATAAGTTATAAATGCCAACCGCTCGATGTCACTAGTTTGATATTCTCACAATATTCCAAGGCTGCGTTCACACGACACCTAGACGATACTTACCTACTACTACCGTTATCTTGAGCCGGATACCTAACGTGGGACATTTTCTTATGTACCTATTCCAAATTTTGTAGAAGTTGGTAGGTATATTTACATTTTCGAAATTGATAAGAATCTTAGGAAAGACAATAAATTAACTTTAACTATGTAGGTACAGAGGTACCTACCTATGTATGCATGGTATTTATAGCAAAATGACAACCTTTCGAACGAGGTATTAGGAAGGTAGCTATGCACTAAAATGTAAATAGGTTACCTACAGCATCTACATAAGTATCAATTTTATTTTTTTAATAACTAAAGACAGCTTGAAATAGGTATGTAGGGGATAGATTAGGTAGGTGGTACATAGGTACCACCTAACTAATCTAAATAAAAAGGATAGTGGGTCGTAAGGTGTTATTAGGTATAGACCTAATAACACCTTACGACCCACTATCCTTTTTAAATGTAGGTATAATGAACTTTGTCATTCACATTGTAAGAACAAAATTGACATCTTGAACTAAATGTATTTATAATTTAGTATGAACTCTGCTCAACGAACTGCGCTTCTAAAGATATGCGCCATATTTATTTTTATAACACTACATGTATTTACGTCATCATAATCTGTTTTATAAATGAGTAGATTTTAGTCGGGATGTTAATTCTGACAACGTGGGACAAATAAATAAGCTTAAAAACAAAATAACTTTTTACTTAAAATCGGTTGTATTTACATTTCGTCCATTGTAGAAAATCAATAGTGTTCAACATCACAAATAAATAAATCGTACTAAGGTATTCACATAAGTCGTACATAGTACAAATATGCGACAGCTCAATCTTACCACAAAAAATGAAAAGGCGGGACAACAAGATTTACTCATAAGATAATTTTATTGATTTCCATGTCAATTTCCTCTAATGAAAATATCTTTGCTCCCTTTGGTATTCAATCGCCAATGGAACAATTCGCTAAATGCTTCTCAAAACATCTCGCCGTCTCTCGCAGGGCAAGACGGCGTCATATTTATTCATAAATATTTAAGTTCATTTAAAGTTTTAACACCGGCGGTGCATGCACGTCGACGCCCTACGACAGACTAAACGGATGAAGAGAATGATGCAACAAGAGGTATCAAAAACGCTCATGTGATGACGATCGGCGTCTAGGCGGTCAGCGCATGGTGCGCGAGTACATCGCGGCGCGGCTGAGAGAAGCCGAGCGACGATGTACAGCGCACAACGGGTGATTTTCCACGCGAGAGAGCGCGTCGCCGCTCCGTGGTGCGGGGCGGCGGCGGCGCTCATCGAACGAGGCCACGCGGGGGGCGGGGGAGGGGGGCGCGGGGGGACCCACGCGCCTCCCCGCGCCGCGCCGCCCGTGGCGTCCTTTCATAAAAAATGACGTACATCCTACATACTAAATCATTTTAACCTATGAATCTCTTATTCCACACCGTGAGACGCTGGATTACCGAGCCGGGTGTTAAATAGGTATATCCTAAATAACAGTTTCGGATAAAAATTACAGGCCGGTTTTACATAAATTTTAATCGCTATCGCTACACGGCGACCGCCGCGCTCTCTTTATCGGTCGTGCAGAGCGAGCGGCCGGTGCGATGTTCGCGAGATAATGGCAAAATTGTGATGTTTTTCTAGTAAGCTGACGTGTAGAGTACGACAACGTCTCGTGTCGCGGCGGGCGCCGCTGCAGGTGACGCTACTTCGTTCCGACCCGGTGGCTTTGGACGATACCGACCTGTATCGATTCTATTGCTAAATGACTAATTTGCTAAGTTTTACTTCGTTATCATAATTTATCACTCGATCCAACGAGCGACCGAGTCGAACGAGGGAGCGATTGTGTTATTGAAACGAGTGTGGATGTACTGTATAAAATAATACGATTAACCTGAATGCAACGATCATACTATGTTACGTTATTGATTATAAAAATCACAGGCTTCACTTACGCTAAATATGTACACACAAACTCTCATCGACAACAAGAAAATGAAGAATTGAGCTTTGTGACTTATAGCTTATTTACTATAACGCGCCTTACCGGCTTATTTCTATATTTTATTAACGGATAGGTTCCTATTGTATAGAAAAATATCACAACTTCACCATTCAACGGGCTCACAGGTAGACCTAGAATACAGAGTGGATTTCACTTAGAATAAAGTTTACTTCCGAAAAACACATTTGTACATTTCATGACAAAATTCAACATCATTCTACTAAGTCTTAATAATTACATGCTCGTAATCGAGCCGAAAAAGTAAAGATACAGCTTTCAGTACCGAACTTAAACATTGTAAAAAAATTATAAACTGCATTGAATTTGACTTAATTAATTACATTTGTCATTTAAATAGAACTGCACCCGTTTTAGGTGGGAGCGTTGTCGGCCCCGCGTGTTCCCAACTGTTGCTAGTGTCTGTTGTTAGGGCTGTCGCTGTGTGGGGACAGTTGGGGCGAGGCGAGGCCGCGCCAGTCCGGGGCGTCACATGCACTAACACATCACTGTGACATTGTCCATAGAGAGGCACGTGGCGTATTACGCGTCCTCCTCCTCTTCGTCGAGCATCTCCTCTTCGACGTCCTCCTCTGTAACAAAAACAACACGCATTGAGTCAACGTAAACACGTGCCTTACTGTCAGCCGCAGTTTGTTACACTATCGTCTGTCAATTCAATTTTTATCAACACTCCTACACTTGTATAGAGGACAAAGATTGTAATAGCGGCAGATAAAAACGAATAGAGATAATGCTGGGATTAAAACAAAAGAAATCAGAAACGTCCGCAGAAGTAAATAAACAAGCATATAGGTTTTTGCAAAAGCCCTAAGTATCTCTTTGTACCAGTAAAACATTAGGTGATTCTATTCAAATCTTTAAGCTAGTCTAGATTTATAGATTAGCAATATAGACTAAACCAAACTGACCTTCGCCTTCGAGATCATCCTCTTCTCCTTCTCCAATAATTTCTTCATCGTCCTCTTCTCCTTCTACTTCTTCATCGTCGTCTTCTTCGCCTTCTCCTTCTAGGTCTTCTTCGTCACTGTGAGGCTCGTCATCTCCACCGCCGCCGTTTTCTTCCTTTCGCGCCTTTTTCGCTTCCGTCACTTTTTCCTAAAACCGCAAGAAATTAGTGGCGGGAAAACATTTTTTTAATTGTTTATGTATATAACATTATGCAGTCTACCATGATGTAGACAAAATCAAACAAGTAATAACTGGCTATTAGCCAATATTTAATTTTGAATGTACAAAGATGTCTATAAATAATGAGTTTGTGGGAAATAGTGCAAGTTACCTTTATAAAACAACACGCATGTGACAAAGATTTGTAAAGATAAAGAAGCGTGGGTCATTATTTAGTTGTATGGGGGAAAGAACTATGTATAAAGTGGGACTGGCGTTATACGGCCCTTTTTTCCATAGCAAAGTTGATCGGAACGCGGTCACCGCGCATACCTACCTAACCGTTCGCAAAGCGACGCCGCCGTCTACTCGGTATACAACTAAAACTAACCAAATTATACACATACATTTACACTCTTTTAACCGCGTCGTTCATTATAATACCTATGTGTTTTCTATATGCAAACTTTATTCTATTATAGAGCACAAACGCCATGCGTTCTTAAACACGCACGTAACCTATAAGGGGGAACAGGACAGAAGATAAGTAGAAAACATTCCCCCTTTCGATGAATTACATACATTCTTCACGATTCCCGCTTAATTCATGCATTGGTAGAATCTTCACGAATCTTTCGACTATAAGCTATGAACAAGTACTATTAGAACAAAGGATATGTATACTACACGTAATACACCTACATGCAAATAATGCCGGGTCATTGACTAGACACCATTCAGTGGAAGTGCCGAAATAAAAATACAATTATTAAGCAATCGATGCAAATAACAGATGGCACATTTATATAGTGCTCCGGATAACGGTAAAGGAATAATATATAGTAGATAAGTCGAAGAGATCATTTGCGCGGCGATTGTGACAATCCAACCGACTCAAACACTGACATTCACGCCGGCCATGTTACCAATCTAACTAGCGTCACGCTATCATGAACCCAAGCCCTGAGAAAGTCTTATATAGTAATTACATGCGTTCCACTGCTAAGTTATAAACACGTGCGGCAATATCTACTTGCAAACTTTTTAAATAATAACCACATGAATGAGAACAGCGTACGTTCCCGCGCCATGTTTTTTTTTTCCGCCAAGGTCATGCCTTCGTATCGAAAACGAGTAAACAAAAGCTAAAAAAATTATAGGCTAACATTTTATGAATATAAAGTTTACATTCCCATATGACCATGCTCCACTGGGCAAACTTCTATTGGTTCATCAATTTGCTCACACTTGCTAAAATGCATAACTCCACAGACATGACATCCAAAAATAAGCCGGTTCGAGTTAGATTGATTTCCGTGCTTACAGAGTGCAGCCTACATTCATTATGTTATAATGTTGTATGAAACCTACTAAAATTGGTGGAGGACAAGTATAATGCGGCCTTTATAATAACGTTCAATAAAATGGCGAGCGATTACACGAATATATTTGTTTGACATGTGCACTCACCTCTGCTGCCCTTTTGGCTCCTTTTAGGTCACTTTTAGCGTCACCCTTCTCATCACCGACCTTGTCGACGGCCACTTCACTGTTATTTTCATTGGTGCTCATGATTGTTCTGATTTTGGTGTTAATTACTTATATGTTGTACGGCTGCTCAGATCCGACGCGCGACTGACTGAGCGAGCAAGCGAGCGGTCGAGTTTGAAAACGAAGATGGCGCGGGCTTCTGCACGCGTGCTCTCTCATTGGACGAAAGCATCCGCCATTAACAGGCTATGACTAGCATGTGGGTAAAAATGAACATATTTATTTTCATTAATAAATCATATAACCATTGACAGTATGCTTAGATCGGTGTTGAAACTACTTTTGTATCTGTAGATAACATTAAAATTGAGGAAAACAATCTTGTTTTTGTAAAATATTAAATAATAAGGCCGCGTCGATGTCAATTAGTGCCAAATTATGACACTAAGTGGCGCCACAATCAATTCGAGAAAAGCGGGAAACTAAAAAGTTCAATATGATAAAATATTTAGCATCACGTAGTAAAATTTGGTATTGCGATATATATCATTATGTACATAACGCGATGCAATTAAAATTTTACAATTCAGCACATTATATTTATATTGGTGACGATGATGATATTTACATATTATTATATTTGGTACATTCATAATTGTTATTAATCAGTTTTAAAACACCATAAAGGAATGCAATGTCTTGCATTTAAATGTATAAAATTTTATAGATAAATATAATCCGTTTTTTAGGATACATTTTAGGTACTATATTAGTTTTTTTTGCCATGGCAGCGGCCAGCGTGCCTAATTATTCGACGCCATATTGAAAATCGATTTTCTTGTAAAGAGACTTAGAAGGGTGGTAGCAGTCAACCCCTTTTAGTTTTTTCAACTCCGCTTCTGTCCCTCTCTGGTATTAAAAGGAAATAAAGAGAAAAAATATTGAAAATCATCATTTATTTACACATTGGGACTAACCTTACACTTTTTTACTCCACGCACATGGAGATAATAATAAAAGGATAAATAAAATTACACTCGAACTAAAATATAATTATATGACCTAGGTGAGCGGTGGCACACATAATATGAAAAACATATTTAAATACCATAATATAGTTTCCATTTTGACAGAAACTAGAGATTTGACAATTTAATATGATTTATAACTATCTGTAGGAATATGGAGTTGTATCAATGATTGATTACAGGGTCAAACGTCAATAAAAAAGCGGGAATCCTCTTGCTATTGCAATATCGAAGGAAAACGTGGAAGATATACCTACAATTCTTCAGAGAATTGAGAATACCATATAATCAGTTTGTAATAAGTTTTCTAGAACTTTCTTTAAATATTACATCTAAATTGGTTATTTTGATTACAATAATATAAGAAATGTTGCCATACTTATTCTTATTGACACAAATGTATTATATCCAGTTACACAAACTATTCATTAACCAACTGGTATTGTTCAAAACGAATAAAAATATAATTCCTACATATATATCAAAATATTCATCAAATCAGTATATCACAGGCATATACATATACAAAAATTATATATAACAGGGTTTCAGAGTATATGTTTTTTAATTTATAACCACGGGAACACTTGCGGTTTTTTATACATATTCATATCTGATATCAAAATCTTATCGCTTTATCTGAGTATTTGTTTATTTATTACTGTAGCTGCTATGTTGTGATAGTGAAAATAGGTCTTATGAGGCAAATTATATTATAAACGTAAGTAAAGAGAAACTGAAATAGAAACATAATAAATTATTAATAAATTGAAACTTTGTAAAAAAAGCTTATCTAGAAAGACCAGCAAGTCAAAAACTATATGACTGATATGCCTAAATTTTCGCGTTCCATGACATATAATTATGATGTTTAAATGTAGGGAATTAACGTAATCCCGTAGTGTATAGTATAGATAGTTCAACTCAGTTGTGCGCGCGGCCCTGTGTGCGTGGGCTTGTAAATATACAACTTTCATTCGTGTGGCAGTGACGCGGCAGTCGTCGTCCGAGCAAGTCGTGTTGACGTGTGTATATTTACAAGCCCACGCACACATAGGGCCGCGCGCACAACTGAGTTGAACTATCTATATTACATACTTTTCAATTACCTGACGTTTCGACCTCGGCCCCAATTCTGCTATTTCAATATTGTATCAATAGACTGTCAATGGAATCTCATCTGAAGTCGGAATAGTTTTGTACTTTTAATATTCTACTAACTATGTAAGAACAATGGCATCCCGCTGACCTGTCACTAAACTGCCACTGATGCAAATGTTGTCGATGTAATAGGTTGGTTAACGCTACATTTCAAATTTGTAAGGTAATGGTAATATTTAATTTGCCAGATATCACAATATTGTTGAGATCACTATTGATGAGGCATTGTCAATACATAGACAGTCTATTGACACGGTGAATTTATGTTAGTAGAATACCAATATTTTGATCAATATCAATGGCATCTCAATGGAATGCCAGTGGCTTGTACATTAACAAAATAGCAGAATTGAGGCTCAGGTTGCATTGACCGTGGTCACAGGTTACTTGTGAGTCACCTTGTGACCACGGGTTACTTATAAGTACTTATAATAGTTAGTGTGGCATATAGACATCTATATGCCACACTAAATGTAAATGCAAACAGATTATCTTTAACAAAGAGATTAAAGCTGCCCTTCTTTCTGCTAAATCAAAATAAATATTTCGTATTTAGTTAGTGCACAAACAAGTGTTAGAGAAACGCATATGATTGAGAAGCTGATAAAGCATAAATACTGGTACTAAAACATTGTAAAAAGATGTTCACTCTTCTGACCAGCCATTAGAGGTATCATTAGTATATAATTCGTATTATTTATTCTTAGAATTTTTACTAAATATACATATATATCTAGTGATGGAAGTTAGTGGAGACAATATGTATTCTGCTAATACAACATAACAAGTGTGATGATATCAGCATTACGTACTAAAGGTCGTAACTTAATAGTTATTTTAAATACAGTATGACTAATGCCACCGTTCATGATTGCATCACATTGTGTATTTATATTTTAGATTAGCTACATCTTTAGATATGAATGACGTTTTATTGAAAAATGGATTTTTATGCTGGCAATTTTAGCACGTTCGTAGTTTAAAAAGACAAGTATGTTCGTAGAAATTTGACATTAGAAAATAAGTATATTTAAAAAAACTGCTTAATTTTATTTTCTTATTATGTACGTCATAGCTATTTTCTTCCAGTTTTTTAGTGGCTCTAAAGGTACGCTTAAATGAAGGTGTAAAATATATATTAATAGTAGAGGGAGCAAACAAGCAGACGAGTATCCTGAAGGTAAGTGACTACCGCCGCCCATTGACAGCTACTACTCAACAACCACAAGTGCGTTGCAGCCCTATGAGACCCTTCCCCCTACCCCAAAATAAGAATAGGGGTTTTGGACTATGGTGACCTCACTCACGTGAAAAGCAGCAAAAGAATTATGAACTGGTTTTCTGTGAGGCCATAGTAACACCCCAATCGAGCCGGCTCATATTTTTGTAATATTGTGAGAATTATAATAATATTTACAAAAAATATTGTAATATTACTATATTGGACTATTCTTTATTGACTATTCACTTTTTTTTTCAAGAACACTAGTAAATGTGGGTAACACAGCAGTAAGTAGAACACTAGTGGTCTTGAATCAACATGTTCAAATCAGTTATTGCTTGTGTTAGGACTGGGTTCACGGCAGTAGTGCGCTAGGTGAGGATCGAACCTGGAACCATTACAACGCTATTCCTTCACCTTCTGCCGCGCTAAAATAGCTTAGGAAGCAATTTTAGTTTGTCATTTAATTATTTATACATGACTATTCATTATGTAGTATGCATACCGTGGTAGGTATTTCTGTATTTGACTTATTACGCCTAAATAATTACTTTTACACCACTAAGGTTGTATGGAAGCACTATCTGAAATAAATAGAGCTATACCGACAGACAATCTTTTTTTAAGAAGTTGATATCAAATAATATAAAAAGTCACAAACCTAAAGTGTCCCGTTTGAAATAAGAAACCTCATTCTAAGTTTAGCTACTGCATTCTACCATATCATTACTAAGATGAAAAGAGACAAAATATCATATGGCTAAACATTTGTTATTGTTAAGAATGAGTTCAGAAAGTATCGTCAGTTGGTATTACATAATACATCAACTAAAACGTATATAAATAATGCTATGAAGACAAAACTTTAATTCCTATACATATCGGATCTAGGTATGAACACAGCGTTGTATCAACAATATTTATTTTATTTACTAGTAAATAATTAAATAAGAAAAAGCATCAACAGTCTTGCAGAATATAAAGCCCGAAATACGCTGCTTTCGGGGTTTTGGGATTGTCCCTGGGCTGTGTATAGTTCGTACGGTTTCGTGAGGGCATCAAATAGAAGCTTGCTTTGAGTCCCGCCCACACAAAAATGACCTTCATCGTTTATTAATACACTTGTGCATATATCGTCGAGTATTTTGTCTTTGTCTTTCCTATTTGGAGCATATTGAGACATGAGACAAAAAATATCAGTATCTTCTTTAGTAGGGAGTACTTCGGGCAATTTATAAGCTGCATATATATATAGCTTTACAAACATTGACTAAACATAGTCATGATTTCAGTAGAATAAGATACAACGAAATAACAAGCACTCTAGAACTTTCTAAGAGTCTTGCCACAATTAAAATAGCTGCATATATACAATAATTATTCAACAGTCATAACTTACAACTGAAATATACGTTTTCAACCCTCGCATCATAGACTTAAAGTAGTATTTCAGATGTATTTAGCTAGATTGATAGTAAGAAAATAAAAGAAGATTTAAATGATTGCTAAACTAACCGCTGCGTCCTAGATCCGTTTAATGCTGACCCTATATAGTGGTGCACACATTGCCATCAAACTCAATATTACTGCCGTAGGAGAATGGGACATTTTCATCGGACAAGTTGACATTGTCATCGTCCGAGAACAATCTGTTCTCTCCCCGCCACGCGCTATATAGTGTAGGTAAAAAATCGTTGAACAGTGGACTCCTGAGCTGGGACGTGTTGTTATCTCTGACCACCTGTAAGTTGAGAAATGAATATTTCTTAACAAACTTTTATAAGCTTCTTAATAGTAATGTAAATTGGATAACAATAATTTAAATTGGTATCTTTTTTTTAGTAATAGGAATGCATAGATAGATTTTGTTTCGCCTAAAAGGCAAGGACTGTATAAACCTAAGAATGGGGACATTGTGGTATCGGGACGTTTTGAGCCTAAACCGGCTAAAAATACGAAAAATCTTCCTCGGCGTTTCTTGCTTTTTTTATGGAAGAGGGGGAAAACGAGCAGACGGGTCACCTGATGGAAAGCGACATGAACGCCTGCAACTCACAAGCGCGTTGCCGGCCTTTACTTTGACATTTTAGATATACACGTTCCTAGACTATTAGCAATTACTAAAAACGCTCAGAGACTGTGTAGTAGAGAACTCCGGTAATTTTACTCACTCAGTTAAAGGATTGTGATTGTGAAGTTGTAAGATTATGTCTTTCATTCGCTCATTAATGATTCGTTTTCAATCATTCTGTCGGCGAATCGTTCGGATTTAAAAGGATCTGTCTTTGAATAACTTATAAACGAAACATTCTGTCGGCGACTCATTTGGCAACGAAATGTTTGTCGGAGTGTAATTTCAGAATCGGTTAAAGGCAACGAAAGAATTGTTTAACACCGGTTTTGCCCGTGGTATTAAGACAGCCCATTTCTGACGACGCGTGGCTCTCCCACGATAAGTTTTTACACACTAAGTATTATTAATGAAATGTTAACAAAACAACAATCCACAAACGTACAACCAAACATACCCTTTCTAACCCTTCATACGTAGGGTCGTTCTGACTCCGAGGCACCCAGATCTTGACATCCTTGTCGAGCCCACTCGTGGCCAGCACGGGAGATCGAGGGTGAGCTTCTATGCAATTTACCTAAAACATTACATTATTTATTTAAACAAACAATTCCTAGATTCATATATCAATACGCCTTATAATGTCGTGCAGATTTTATGGTAACAATATTTTTTTATGTGGTAACAAAAGTAGAGGTTTTTAGATATCAAGATGCTGCAAAGCATGCCTGATTTTGTTAAAAAAAATCATTGAAACTTAAATTAATTTGTATATAATTAAATAAGAAGTTCGTAGATTATTCATAAAAGTTTACAGGAACAGAACACTACTTGTCACTTAGTATAATTTTGTATTCGGGATACTTACAACACCATTCATATCGCCTTGCAGCCACTGAACGATAGCCTCCGTTTTCTTATCCCAGATGTATATGTAGGAACAATCTGAGCCAGACACCACAAATTCACTCTTAGGACCAAAGAATGCCACTCCTTTGAATGTAGCACTATTCCTGTGCCCGCTGTACCGGTGTGTGAAGCCTTCTTTTAGCTCGTTTGTGTTATCTCTGGAACGTGGAAAAAATTTGATTATGATATATTTTTTTATATGAAAGTTATTGCAATTATGTACTACAGGTCTGACATTCATAGAAGTTATAGGCTGAGGCCTGCTTCTAAGAGCCTAGTGTGAGTTTATATGTTTGGTGAAGAGTTCAGAACGTCGAACGCAATCAAGGTGACGATTGAGTTAATGTGAAATAAAATCACACGAGGCCCTCTGCTCTGCACTCTGTGGTGCATGGTACGTCTTCTATCCCTCTCCCGTACCCTAACCGACGCCTTACCCTAACTGGATTCTTATCTAGCTAAGGGGCCGATGCCCAAGCCAGTAAGACTTTAAGAAGTTTTCTTGTAAGAAGTTTGTTAATCTCAGCAGCAATCATTATGTGTTGCGTCACAAACTTGACATACAAGTTACCACAATTAATTGAATAGGTACGTAGGAATACAAAAGCCAGAGGACTGGATCTGCCCTGCTCTCCTAACACAGTCCTACCACCTGGGAGTAATCCCACCCACACGCCCACCACTGTAACTGCTGTACACCAGGATCCACAGCAGTGACCCACGAACACACCGAGTTATGACACTCGTGAAGTCCCAGGAAGAAATTAAACTGTCTTGGAACCCGCAACGAAATTAATCAGAAGAAAATTGGAGGAGTTGGAAATACAGTAAATCCACTTCCCTCCTTAGCAAAGCGGGAGACAAAATAACACAGTCCTAAAGAGAAGTAGAGACGTTCCTACAAATATTGCATACACCATTGGTATTCTCAAGTCTCATCATCATCATTTCTTTACTTTTCCCAATGTTATTTTTATAGCCCACCCTCTTTGGGAATATAATAATCGTTCGAACGGTACTAGTGTAACTATCCGGTGTTCCTCAGCATGGAGCTTATTCCACCGGTAACAACCGGTCCTGAGCTGATTATTGGAAAATATGATTAAAAAGTAACTCACTTGTCATAGACGTCGTTTTTAGTGTCAAATAGATATATGTCTTCATCATTGTAAGATCCTAGTATTTCCGTGCCGTCGTGGTTGTATACGGCACATGTGAGATGCATATTCGAGGTCCGTAATCTCTTCTTTGCGTTGACCTGCAAACAATTTTGGAAGCTATAAACATAGTTTCATATCACATTCATCACATTACTCAGTATTCGACTGTTAGTGTCCTAAAAATAGCAGAAATTTATAGCAATCATCATCATCATCATCAACAGCCTTTAATAGTCCACTGCTAAACATAAGCCTCTCCTTAGAAAGGAGGTTTTGGCCTACTATACCACGCTGGCCAGACGGGTTGGTAAAGGGTTTGTGTCAAGTTTTTCTTCTCTCTACAGTGCTGTGGTTCTGCGTAGTTTTTTTCCCTTAGTCGGCTCTTACGACACCCACGGGATGTGTTCATCCCGTGGGTGTCGTAAGAGCCGACCAAGGGGTAAGCTCTAAGACTAAGGGGTGGTGACACTCTGTACCTTCTTAATCCGTCACCACACGGACCTATTAATAGACGATTAAATAGTAATACTGGTAATATATTTTATATATATTCTAGGACGGTTTGAATGTTTATTTATTTATTTTAATAGTTTATGCACAAGTATGAGTTGTGCAATGGCGGACTTAATGTCACAGGCATTTCCTCCCAGTCTACCTTAGGGTGGCGCTGAAAAGGCTAGTTGATTCAATTGGAAAACTTGGTTAATTATATACTTCAATATCCATTTTATCCCAAAAAAAACCTATATTTTAAAGAAAAAGCAATATTTACATTAAGTATTTTGTATTAAAAAAAAAACAATTTAAATTTCCCTTGAAAACGCTGAATAGTGTCATGACGTCTTGAATGACGTCACAGTCTGCGAAACAAAACTGTTAACATCTGTGTCCAGTGTCAACTGAAACTGTATTAAGGTGAGAAAATATGCTAAAAACGAAAAACAATAAGGAGTAACCTCTGTTGTATAAAAGCGTCAACAACAACAATGGTGTTTTGCGTGGCGTGACGTAACACTTTCTGATTGGTGTACGCTGTCACGTGACTTAGGGGCGCTACACACGACTAAGATACTATAATATTTTATCTTAAGATACAATATCGCTCGCCATACTATCTCTATCCTACGATACGAAAATATAAAATAAATATTATCTTCGTCGTGTGTAATGGTCCATTGAATAGTACGGCGAGCGATATTGTACCTTAAGATAAAATATTATAGTATCTTAGCCGTGTGTAGCGCCCCTTAATGCCTATTTTGTATAAATTTATTTTTTAAAAATATTAATAATCTTTATCTTTTATGAGAAATAGACTGGATTTTTCTTAACTATAGCTCTTCATTTATATTTTGAAACTATAAACCAAGCAATTTGTTATTAGTGGACACAAGCCTAATACTAGGAGGTGTATTACAGATTGATATGTAGAGTGAAAATTATTGAGAAGTCAGACAGAAACAATGAGATACATATACATACATACAAACGCACAAAATGCATACACATACATAAATACTTATCTAGTTACATACATACATAAACCTACATATTACGAGTAGTAATATATAAAGTTTTAAGGTTGTAATGAATCTGCTAGGGTGTCCAGAATGTGAGCTTAAACTTTATATTACAGGTAAATTTCGAAACAATATTTGCATTTTTTTTTAAATTTTAATTTTATACGTTTCTGCTTACCCCTTTGAGGATATAGGGCTGGGGTAGGTATGTATAAATTGGTGTATAAGGTAGGTATGTATAAGGTGGTGCCCGCGCTGTTGCGGGCAGGCGCTAGGGGTCCGGATGTTTTAATAACCCAGATGTTTTAAGTTCCCAGATCTCTCCTATTACAGGTGCACAATGGGCACACCGTGTGGTTTTAGTCGGTCCGATGGCGACACACCACCGCGCCCCAAACCCCGGTGTGGTGGCGGCCCGAGGGGGTTTCCACACGGTAAAAAAAATACGTTACATGCTAAAGGGTTATGTGACAAGGATCGGGATTTAAAGGCTTTCATATTTCAAAATCAAGTTTACACTTTCTTTTTTTAAGACGAGACGTGTCGAGACTTTACAAACATTCATGAAACGAACAGAAAAATACCATGACTCAGATCAAAATTTGTGGGTCACACAAAGTGTCGTTCTATGTGGGGGACCGAATCCACACGAGGCTACGAGGTGATTACTACTACGCCATTCTTGCAGTTACTTTAGTGTAAGCAAAAACCTTTGAATAATATTTTATTTACAGGTGCATGTTTTTTTATCGAGTTCTCGTTTGCAATCATAATTGTGGTAAGTAATGCTGTTTGTATTTATTCAATTGTAGATTTAATAATTGCAAAATATGTGACGTCACTCCACATGTGTGACAAGGACAGGGGAATAAAGTGGTCAAAGAATTATGAAATTTGTGTATCGTAATTTATGGATAGCTTCTCTTCAGACAGAGTGGCCGTGAGTTTGTTTGCCCTTTCTTCTCATGAGGCTAAACCCCTTAGAAAAGGGCGGTTGTAGATCGGCACAGGCATATAAGAGATTTTCGTTACGTATATATTTACTTAGTTAGCTAAATATTTGTCGAAACAGAGAGAGAGAAACGAGATTGTTGCTATTGTGTGAGTTGATCTATGACTTTAGTGTTTTCACAAAAGACGATTTCAAATAATTTAAAAAATTTAAGAAATAAAGATATTTGAGTTTGATTCCGGAATCGAAAAGGGTATTACAACATAATTATCATCAACAGCTTTTAACAGTCCACTGCTGGACTTAACCCTTTACTCAAAAAGGAGGTTTTAGTCCACTATACCACGCTGGCAACTTGATACAAACACTATACCAAGGGTTTGTATCAAGTTTTCCATTGTCCTGCATAGTTTGCTCCTTTAGTCGGCTCTTATGACACTCACTGAATGAATAGGGGTGACACTCCGTATTCTTAATCCGTCACGGAAAATTCTCGTAAATAAAATTATAAGTTGAAGCGTGGTCCAAGACATCGATTCGGCAAGTCGCTTCACTCGTTGACAAAGGACCCCCGTTGTGCCGTACATAAGAAACGATCTCCAAACGAGAGACATAAGATCGGCAAGGTAGCTGAGAGTTTATCCAAAAGGAAGACTCACGGTATCGTCGGTGGTGGCGTTAGGGTCGTTGAAGAAGGCGGGGCAGTACATGGCGAGCGGGCGCGTGGACTTGCGGCGGTCGTAGAGCCGCACGAAGCGGTCGCGGCCCGCCACCACCAGCTCGCGCGGCTCCAGCGGGTGGCCGCTCACGCTGTACAGCGCCACCGGCAGCCCGCGCTCCTTCACTTGGAACAGCCTGACGCACCACACACAATACACACATATTTACGACGATATCTTATATTGTGCTGAGAAGCGCTTCCATCACCGTTATATGCTGTCGGTCAGTTCCTATATTCAATAACGATGCTCAAGTTACCCTTTGCTATGTATGCTTAGTGTTAAATATTTATTTGTGATCAGTTCAAATCTTGTGGATCATAATATTATAGGTTTTTTAATTAAGAAATGTTGAAGTACACACTGTCTTTAGACTGTTTTTCAAATATCGCTTTTAAATTGAAATTGTTCTAATTACAAACATTTTTATTAGGTATATTCCTATTTTGTGTGCGGGGAACTTAACAAACATACATGAAACGGACACAAAAGAAACTTAAGACTCAGAACAACAATGTAACACAATTGAAATATTGTCGTAGGTGGGAATCGAACCTACAACACTCAGTTTGTAGGACGCAGCGTGGCGACCGCTTAAACCACTACGCCATCCGTGCATTCAATTTTATTATTTGGTATTTATAGTAGTGGACACTACATACGTTATGTTGTACATACGTCTTAAACTAAAAAAATATTTGTACTGAATCGAATTGTAAATCTAAACCATTCACATACAAAAAATCATCAAAATCGGTGGTGCCGTTTAGGAGGACACACACGATGCACAAGCGGGTTACCTGGAGACGTGCTCGGCCCGCACGTCGCACTGCATGACGAGCCCGTCCTCGCCCGCGGAGATGACGAGGTGCGGCTCGGAGGCGCACACGTGCAGCTTGTGCGCGGCGCGCGAGTGCGAGGCGAGCCGCCGCCGCGACACCGCCGCGCCGCCCGACGGGTGGCACTGCAGCAGCCGCACCTGCACCGCACACATCACGAGTGGTAGCTCCTTCAGCACCGGATCTACGATTTTTTCGAACCGGCCGCAACTCCACTCCATAGTTTTTTTTTTTTATTTTAAACCGTATCATATTATGATTTTGGACGCCACCTGAAACTGGCGCCCGGGGCGTGTGCCTCGGTCGGCCCCCTAAATCCGGGGCTAAGCTCGTTTACATAGTTTTAATAAAAAAAAAATTTGGAGCATGGAAATTTATGGCCATAACTATATCGCTGACTTGCTCCTCTGCCCCCCTCCCCCCCCCCCATACATCCTTCTTACAAACTTCTTTTCAACACACTCAATTTTCTGGATGCCCAATAGTTAACTCTGTCTCTGTTTAACTAAGCTGCGTTTGGCTATCGCAAAGTGGGCATGGTTTTGATCGAAGAACAAGCGGGAGATTAGAAATAGACAGAGGGTACTATCAACTATCGATCTCTCTCGATGCCTATAATGCAATATTGGGGCTCTTATTCACTCTATGCTTATTTGTCTATAGTCTGTCGTTCTCTATGGTCGGTATTGCTTATATCTCTATGGTCGCAACAGTCCAAGTTAGACTGCAATCCATTCGTGTTAAGAAAATAGTGACGCGTCGTTCAAGCCCTGCCCCCTGACCAATCAGGTACCTAGAAATTATCGTTGCATACAAAAACTTGGAACCTGAAATGTCACGATTTTCGTATCCCGAATGGACTACAGCTTCATATGCTCACCTGTCCATCTCTTGCACATGTGACTATATTCAACTGACTCTTAGCGTTCAAGTGAAGGAATTTGCTCTGGAACACGTTTGATTTGTGTCCAGTCTTTATAGTTTGTATGGCTGTGTTGCGAGCCCAGTCCCACACCACCACGTTCGTGTCGTCTGAACCCGACGCTAAGAGGTGTCCTGTAAAAGGCAAAATAAATTAGTTTCGTGACATGACCTCATCTGGTCATCATACCTTTACGTTGGAGGGAGGTAACGTCTGTTCTACATAAGTATAAAGTTAGAGTGTGGTCAAAGACATTATAATAAAAACCTCAGACATCTCACACATGGCCGTATAATCCCAAACTCGGCAAAACCTGTACTATAATAACCAGATTGCTGATAAACATACTTATATATGTGTAAATACATACATACTATAAATAAATTACACCTAAACATTAAACAAATGATCATGCTCATTATACAATTATTTGTCCTGCATGGGAATCGAACTCACGAACTCTGGCTTAGCAGTCAAGACCACTAACTACTAGGACAACGGGCCATTCAAAATACACATATAAATAAAACTATTTATCTTTAATAAACAGAATCACATCACATCAACAGCCTTTAATAGTCCACTGCTGGACATAGGCCTCTCCTTAGAAAGAAGGTTTTGGCCTACTATACCACGCTGGCCAGGCGGGTTGGTGTAGGGTTGGTGTAGGGTTTGTGTCAAGTTTTCCGTCTTTTTGCAGTGCTGGTGTCCTGCGTTGTTTTGCGCCCTTAGTCGGTTCTTACGACACCCACGGGATGAATTGGGGTAGTGACATTCCGTATTCTTAATCCGTCACTACACGGACTATAAACTATACTATATAAACAGAATAATAATAATAATAATTTAATACATCTGACACACGGTCGTCTGATCCCAATCTAGGCAGAGCCTGTGCTATGGTAACCAGACTGCTGATAGACATACTTATATATTTCTAAATCCATATCATAGATAAATTACACCCAGACACAGAGCAAATCATCATCACACTTGTCCTGTCATTTTTTTATACTGCTTAAAGTACACTGGTACATCTTCACCAAATCATCACCAAAATCTCTTAAACATTGTATTCCCTGTCTTGCGTTGTTGACAAAGATTTTTCGATGAGCAAAAACTACACACTACAATAATAGATTAACTAAAAAAAATCACTAAGTAACATGAACCGTGGTGTTGTTCGCTTTTCGATCAAGAGTGCACGTTATTAAACTTATAAAGTACGTCTAGTTTTTTTTACTAGTTCGTCTAGTTTTTTTTAACATCCTTCCATTTTCAGATGGAACAGCGACGCTATTGGTATAACAAATCATACTTTATTAAAACATTTTTGTCTGCAACAAAGTGAATGTCCGTGAACGATAGTCATTCCACTAAGTACTTTTTTATGTATAGGGGGGCAGACGTAGTCGAGGAACATACAAAAGGAGTATTATATTCTTCCAGAACAGATAAAATATGTGTATTCCCTCGTAATACGTAACTACGCGTACTACTGCGATCACAATTCAATTCAAGATCAACTCTCGATTTCACAACTGTCATAAAAGGTATTTTCGTAGTAGAGTATTAAACATCAAACGTTGACTGTAATGAGATTATATCGTATTGTAACCGAAAATTTAATCGTATTATTTAACTATTTTACTACGAAAATACATTATATGATAGTTCCAATACCCTACTATTACTAAATTCACTATTTAAACGGCACTTATAATAGTAAATTCCATCCCCAACGCAACCCATTTCATACGTTTTTTTTTATATTTGTGTATTTCTAATATTGGGAATACAGACAATACTGAGATATTTTCAAGACACAGTATCCAAGATGTCCATAAGACAGTGGACAATGCAATAAATAAATAATAAACAATCTTACCTTCTGGGTGAAAATTTATAGAGTTGACACAGCCTCTGTGTTTATTGAGATGGTGAAGCTTCTTCATTCTATAAATGGCGTGTAGAGACCCATAAAACCTCCTCTCAAACATTACATCCTCTTTGGTCGTTTTACCGCTGGGAAATGTCAGTCCCATCTCGCGATTCATTATTTCTGGAGAAAATAAACGAACACTTTAGGGGCCATCCGTCTCACGAATTTCGTGATTTGTCTTCGGATCTGTGTCATCACATTTTTACAATTTTACATATGGAAATTATTAAATTGAAACAGCAATTCCAAATTTATTTTAATTCCATTTTAATTATTTTTTAATGCTTTCAACATAAAACATTTTTAAAAATTAACAAGAAACGATGATTTATATCACTGTTAATAATTATATATTCTTAGATATATTAGATTTTGAAATGTTACGTTACAAAACTTAGGACCCCTCCCACCCCATTCATGGAGCTCCCTCATGAATATTTTTTCTTACAATATATGATTTTAGTCAGTTTCACGCCTAATCTGATCAACCGATACCACAAAACTTTGAACAGACGTTTTCAAGAGTAGGAATAGAAAAAAAAAAGTACTGTTCTCTAGAGACACTTAATTGATTGCCTAAGTCTGTATTAACACGAGAAAAACCGCGAAAGAAAGCTAGAAGGCTAATTAGGGAAAAAGTCCTAAAGCTTTAATTAGGCTTCCATAACATCACCAAAACAAAGCATTGTCATGGTATTCTTTCTGTACGTATTAAAGTACGTAAACTTAATAATCTAGGTAGGTAGCCATAGGTACAATTTCAGAGAAAGAACGAGCATAAAATATTTACAAATTCATCATTCTATGTTAATTCAGCAATTTTATTCCTTTTTTGGAATTTCTAAGTTCGTACTCGTGTGGTATAAACAAACTACTGAAGAGATTACTTTTAATTTTCTGTAATAAAGTATTTAGTACATCTATGTAGTTTTTGGTACCGTTAAATACCTATCTTAGAAAAATATTGGGCATATGTTTTCAAATTCATGAGTTAAGTAAATGATTTATCTTATATTCACCTCTAAGCATTAAATAACTATGATTAGGCCTTGTCTTCAGCAGAACACCGGGTGGTTTGCCTTTGTTCTCTTCATTTTCATCATCTTCATTAGACCGAGACAGTGGGTTTTCATCATCAGTGTCGGTATCACCGGAGGGCATGTCTATCATGTTGTCAGATTCGTAACTGTCATTTGTGTCTGAGCTGCTTGAGGTGGTGTCATTTGAGCTAGTGCTACGAAGAAAAAATAAAAAGTCAGTAAAATTAATATCCTTTTAACTATATTTATTATAGTAGAACAGAATATAGAATAGAATAAGCTTTATTGTACACCAATTACAGTATAATTAATATTATTTAACGGGAATTAACGCGATCTCTTACTCCTGTGACCACGGCCGGTGCAACCTGGTCGAAACGTCAGGCAAACCAGAGGTATGTAATACCCTAAATAAGAGATCGCGTTAATTCCCGTTAAATAATATTAATTATCATGGAACGCGAAAGTTTAAAAGTTACCAATTACAGTATGTTGGTTAAATATTACAGAAGGATATGTACAATGGACGGCCTTATTGCTAATAGCAATCTCTTACAGACAACCTTTGGATCGTTCGTTACACTGGTTTAAAAACGCATGCAAGTTGATCATGACTTTTATTGTGCTGAGATTATTCATCTCCTTCCTCCAAGGAGTTCCTTTAAAATGTTGCTTCAGATACTCTAACAGGAATGGTCAGTTCAAAAGGTCGCCCAGCTCGTCTTCAATTGATTCTTAGCTAGAGCAGAGGTAGGACTGATTGAGAAACCTGGTCAACTATCTGTCCATCTTCTGTCTATGGTCTACTGACTGTCTTTCGATTTACGGGGACTGTGGTCTCGTAAACATATGACAATATGATTCTTCCAATATGGTTTTTTGTTGCTTGGTATGGAACTCTAGAGCAGGACTTGTTAGAGAGACATGGCCATGTGTGAGATGTGCAAGGTATATATATTAATTCTCTTTGAACTATCTTTAATCTACTGTCAACTGTCTATCAAGTCCTGCTCTAAAGGTACATTCCCAGCAACAAAAAAGTGTTCAAACCATATTGGAAGAATCATACGGCAGTCTGATCCCAAACTAGGCAGAGCCTGTGCTATGATAACCGGACTGCTGATAAACATATTTATATATTTTTAAATACATACATATTATAGATAAATTACACACAGACACAGAAAAAATGACTGTGCTCATCACACAATATTTGCCCTGGGTGTAATTGAACCCACAACCTCCGGCTTAGCAGTCAGGGTCACTAACCACTAGAACAGGCCCGTCTCTCGGTTCAATTGACCCGTTATATGAATAATTAGTCACTGAAAGTGTTGGAACCTAAGAGTGCACCCCCACAGCCCAAAAGATAGAACACTAAAACTTATTGGTTTCTAACTTAATAAAAAAATAAATGTACATAACAAATACACACAAAACCAATAAAGAAAATCTTGACATTATCTTTTAGTTTGACAAAATACCTGATACTGTGTTATTACATTATAGTGTTGATTACATTGATATAAAACAGTAAATAATTAATTATACCTTAAAATTTTAAAATAATGGAAAATCTTAATTTGAGTAATTCAATTTTATATTTATATCCATTTTCACATCAACCCACATTTAGGCAGTCTATTCCATTATTAGGGTATCTCACACCAACAAGCATCAGTATTCCACATAACAAAGAATAAAATAAAACAATAGAGCAGAAGTCTTTGTGTTATTTGTTTTTTTTAAACACACTACTCTCCTAAATTATCATTAAGATTTGAATAATTCGTTCTGTATTAGATTGAGCATTCATTGACGAAGATTATAAGCTGTGGTGCGTGTTACTAGATAAATATAATAATGGCATTTTCAAAGGATATTATGACTTCTACTGTACAGTTCCGTCAGGTTTGTAAATAAATGTTGTGGAATAGGTTTCTTATTATTTTTAAAGGTCACATTTATCAATACAGGTTATCATTACCATCTTTACTGTTTTTAATCTGTACATAAATAACACTTAGGATGTTTAAAAAAAAAACACATTTTACACTCACCTACTGTGTGACATGCTACAATCCATATCAGGATTAAGGAAATGGGCTAATCCAGCTAGTCTTCTGAGACCATCATTCTCATCTTCTGATGCACTATTTTCAATGCTCCTTGCAGCTGGAGCATTCTCTTCTGCGGATAAATCATCAGAATCTCTAGAAGAATCTGAGTCTCTGTCTGGAGTCTTCCGTTTTCGGTAGAGCCTAGTACATTTTGGACGTCTAATATTAAGAAGGATTGCTCGCACATTACTTCCCGATGGTGCAGCATTTACTACTTCATTCGAAGGGCCTTCTGACGCACCCGCAACACGGTCGTCGCTACTCGTGCTCTCGGACTTGTCCGCAGAGACTCCACTGTCTACATTTTCATCCTTCTTCGACGACATAACTACAAAAACATCAAAATGGACACGAAGTTTTTACGTCATATTTTTTTAAGTGGACGGAATTAGGACAATGTTTTACCTGTTTCTTGGAAACTGTCCTGCGAACTCCCATCATTTAATTTTAACTTTTTTCCACCCAATTTGGGACTAGCAGGGGAGTCTTTAATTTCGTCATCGCTCGAAGAATTATCTTCCATCGCTGCTTACGTTGTAAATATATTCTATATCAGAATTATTAAGGAACAGTTAAAGAAATTGGCAAAGCAATAGAATTCCAGCTGATTTAGAAACTTAATTTACAATGGTTAACTAAAACGGAATCTGAGACTCAATGGAGGATTTTCCTAAAATTTGGCGATTTTGGCAGCAAGAACAAGGACAAAAATACTGATGTTTCCAGACTCAAAAAACCTTTAACATCACTGATTTAGAAAGGTCAATTATTCATTATATTTTTCTTTCATCTCAGTAACTAAGTGAGTTAGTTTTATGAGGTTTAACTGTCTTTCTTTTTTATTGGTTATATACTTCTACATAATTTAACTAAAATTAAACTTTTACCTTTCTTTTTAAGATGTGCGATTTATATTATGGCAATTTGTTTTTCATAATCAGCTGTCAAGTAGTGTTGCCACTCGATAGTCCGCTCTTAACAGTCTAAGCAAAAACGATGGTATCGAATGTCTATTAAAATTATCAAAACAATCAATAAAAACTTTTGGCCATTACTAATAGGTAGTAATGGCCAAAAGTTTTATTTGTTTTTCAACGTGGCTTGTACATAACTAGTACATCAACGAGCAATGAAAGTATCCTTGCTGTAACCAGAGCAGCGATGGTGGTTGAAGGTCATAATGATGTCGTTAATTTAGCCTCTGAGACTTATTCACAATATATAAATATATATTTCTGATTTTGAATGTGCCTATGGGCACTTGTTTTATAGTTGGTTGCATTAATTATTTTTAGTTTTCATTTGAATAATATTTACGCTAAAACTACTTTATTTTTCATAAATTATAACATTCACATAAAGTTAGATTTTCAAACTTGACACACTTCAAACAGCTACAAAATGTTTTGGGTTTTTTTTTATTCCGAATAGTTAAGTTTTTTATGTGCTCGAGTTCTGTTTCATTTTATGTGACTGTTATTGTAAATAGCTGAAGGGTTTCGGTTAGTGATGCGCAAAATGTATCACTGAGCTGAAAAGATTGATACATATCATTTCGCTCAAAAGATATATATCACTCATCTAGCTCACTAGCTCATTTAGCTCACTAACTCATTTAGCTCACTAACTCATTTAGCTCACTAGCTCATTGATCCGATTCAATTGATTGGTCTCTCAATTAATTCATTTTTTCATCTAGATCGTTTAGCTTAGTATACTCGCATATCACTCACTTTAAGCCTCTCTCGCCATACAAACCTTTCTTTATTTTCATATTAACCTAAATTCAGTTTTTGAAACTACATTCTTAACCTATTTTTTTTTATTATTTTTTTTTCATTTTCATAAGATTACATAATTATTAACACCCTTTTATATAATAATTAAAAATAAGAAATTATTTCTTGTACTTTTTTTTAGGTTGTATAATAGAAATCAAACATAATTTGATTTTCCTTGTACTTGGCAGGCTTAATTCTTAAGTAATATTAAACTTTGATCCTATAGAAATAATGTACATTTTGCATAAAGAAACTTGCGTGAACTCAATCATCATCTATCTCACTCATTTATCGTTAGTCTCACTCGCTCATGAAACAAAGATCGGCGTCGTTGAGCTAGTGATCTAATGATCTAGTGAGCTAGTACTGAGTTACTGATATATTCGGAGCTAGTGTGAGTGAGTGACACATTTTATCGTCGTGAATGATATATATCTTTTATATCACTCACTCAGGAGCTACACAACTCTAGTTTCGGTCAAATTGTTTACATAATTAGACAGTACAGGTTCTTCTACTTTAGATTTTGTTTGAGCATTCATTTTATACTTGTTATCGAGCCCATAACATTTTATACAACATTTTTTGCAAATTTCAAGCTTGTAGAACAGACATGCTGTTTTGATAATCATTTTATTTTGATACATGATGGATAAGAAATATATCAATTTGTACATTATTGTTTACAGAATGATATATGGCTTGATAGTAGGATGATGCATCTTTTGTATATTTGCCATCAGGCACGCCATTTTTAACCACGTGCGTACATAATTAAGTTTCTGACGTTTCTCTTCCGGTGGAATAAGAGGTTAAAGTCCATTTTTAATTTTATTTTTGAAGTGAAAAATTCTTTTGGCACGTTGGGAATTTTTGAACAATAAACAAAATAATGTATTTTTGTTTTGGGATGGGAAACAACCATTGAACTCGCGACAAGGTTACCGTTTCCGACCCCTCTGTATATAAGTATATTAGTTTTCACTTCTGTCGACAGTCCCGGAGTGCCACTGATTTTTTAGTTGCTTATTTCTACGAGTTGTCTTAAAACAGTTACATTCTAAGATATTTGTTTTTTGTGCAAACAATACAAAAGTAAAATAAAATTAAAGTCACCAGTTTAAATGCCTGGTTCTATTGCATAGCCACAATAACCAATAATAAATTAAGCCCAATCTAAGAAATATACTCGCGCTCCTTATTCTTGTCCTTATTCTTACTTATAGTTTATTTTTTTAGTTATAGAGGAAATTAAAGCCATTCAGTGAGAGCTCAAAAAGTCACAGTTAAAATAAATACTGTAGGTTGAAACCAGATGGAATAGCTCATTCCAGATGTTGAAGCGAAAGGATGAAGTCAGAGATTAACTATTACTGCTAAGCTGGACAGAATTTCCAATATAGCACTTTTTTATGCGTTCCCGCCACGTTTACGCCGGCTGGTAAATCAGGTGATTGTAAAGCGCGCTTAGGCCCAGAACGTATAAATGAATTACTTTTCATTAAAAAAAATAACATATTATTGCAAAATTGATTCATTTACCTTGATACACTTGGAATCCTAATGCGGGAATAGTCTTTAAAATAAAGTATTTGTGATTTTTTCATTAGAATAAAAATTTGACAAATATATGGTTGAAAAAATATAAATTTGAAAAATATTATTCTTAATCATATTTTATTTACTTTGAACCTAACTAAATAACTAATAATTATCAGTATGTATAATCCTAGGGTTGCAAAGAGAACTCTTCAGGCAGCGATAAAGCGAGCCAAGAGTGAGGCCCGCCGTGAGTTACTGGAGACACTGGAGCGGGATCCGTGGGGATGCCCTTACCGTATGTTTAGGGGCAAGATGCACCCATGGGCCTTTGGCTCCCTGTTCCCATCCTCTCACGTGCCTGTGGTCACTTGGGTAGAACTAGGGCTGGCGGTGCGACGGGTTAAAGCCAAAAATACCGCCCCGGGACCCAGTGGTGTTCCTAGCCGAGCATGGGTCCTGGCCCTAAATAACGTGGCTCTCGAGCCCCGATGGACAGGGCTCTTAAGCGCATGCCTCGAACAGAGCCAGTTTCCGAAATTGTGCATAACGGGGAAAATGGTCCTCATCCGAGAGGAGGGGCGCTCGGCGGACTTACCATCCGCCTACAAGCCCATAGTGTTGCTTGACGAGGTCTGCAAACTCTTCGAAAAATTGATTGCAAGGCGCCTTGTCATGCGCCTCTTCATGGTGGGTACGGATCTGGCGGACAACCAGTATGGTTTCCATCAGGGGCGTTCCACCGTGGATGCAATCACGCGCGGTGGTGGAACACATGATGGAGGAAGCAGTTTCCCGGGGCGATTGCGGTGTCCTTGGACATCGCCAACGCATTTAACACCTTGCCCTGGAGTTGCATCAGGGAGGCGCTTGTGAATCCTCAAGTACCTCTCTACCTCCGACGCATACACGAGGCATGCTTGTCGCCAAGAGCCGTCGTCTATCCAAGTAGGACCGGTCTCGGTCGGCGTGAAATTTTGTGCGGTGTTCCGCAGGGTTCGGTGTTAGCGCCACTCCTGTGAAACATTGGCTGCCACTGGGTGCTTCGCGGTGCCTTCTTAGATGGTGTTGCTGTCACGGACGACACGCTTGTAATGGTGTGCGGCGACACGCACCGTGAAGCAACCCTAAATGCAACAGGGGGTGGCCCAAGTCGTGGAGCGGATACGGCGGCTGTTACTCGAGGTGGCTCTGCACAAATTCGAGGCCTTGTTCTTTTATAGGCCTCGAAGGAAGACACCTGAGGGATCCAGCCTCATAATAGGAGGAACTCGCATCAGCATCAAGTTCTCGATGAGGTATTTGGGGCTCGTACTCGAGGGCCAGTGCGACTTCGGACATCATTTCCAAGTTATGGTAAATTGGTTGGAGCAACGCGTGCATTAGCGCGGATACTGCCCAATATGAGGGGACCCGATGACTCCTGCAGGAGGCTCTACTCGGGGGTTGTGCGGTCCATGGCCGGAACGGGCCAAGTACAACAGGGGACTCAGTCGTAAATCGACCTCCGTCCTCCATAAGCGCAGGCCTGGGGGTTACAGGTGAGGACAGGACAAAAAAAGGACAGAGGTGTTCAGGAGTAAACACCTCTGTCCTTTTTTTTTGGAGGTCGGTCATGCATGTCCGCTCTGATTCCTCCAGTCCGGACGGCGCCTACATGTAGTTTTGTACTGATGTTTAATTTTGTGTATGTAAAATTAAACATCAGTAGAAAACAAGTACAATGTAACATAGGTACCTATATAAATAACGATACAAATTAAATTAAAACAGACTTGATGTTAAAACAAGTGGTTAAAATACAACCTTCTAACAATTAACACATCAAAAACCTCATTCATGATATTCACCACTAAAAATAAACATATACCGGACTTCGCGCCTCTTAAAATAAATAACGAAATAATAAAACGGTCAACTAACGAAAAATATCTTGGATTACGGGTAGACGAAAAACTAACTTGGAAATTGCACATTGACCACCTCAGAAACAAACTAACATCAATAATGATGATGGAGCATTACGGAAGGTAACAAACTGTATTCCAAGCAAAGTACGTACTCTAATTTATAACTCGCTAGTCAAATCACATTTAGAATATTTAATTGAGATATGGGGTACAGCAGCGGTAACTAATTTAAACTCACTTCAAAGAGCCCAAAATAAAGTAATCAAAATTCTATTCCGTTATCATCACCTCACTCCAACAAAAACCCTATACGAAAAAAAATTGGTTGCCTGTAAAGTCGGTATACGGGCGAAAGTTTTACGTGACAACGACTATGTCTGTCTCTCTCGCTCTTAGGCGGGCTAACCATGCCCGATTGGAAGGGACGCGTGCCTCTCACTCGCTCTCATTGTGAGCGCATAACGTGAGCGGAGCGTAACGCAGTTTCTTGAAGTGTCACCCGGCAAACCAATTTATAAGACGTTGTCACGTCAAAACAAAACTATTAAATATTAGGCAGCTGTATATTTATTATACTTGTATTCTTATCAAAAACATCAGTACTAACTCGATCCAAACTAATATTCAACTAAAGAACAAAACAATGTCACATAACTTGAGAAATAAGAACAAACTCGAACTTATCAGCACACGCACTAATTACGGTAAAAAAACCATATTGTTTGAGGGAGCACAGCTGTTCAATAGATTGCCGGCCGTTATAAAAGAATGCGATAACGTGAACACATTTAAAAATAAGCTTAAGAAATATGTATGTACATGTAACTTCTAAAACTCTAGAGCTAAATTGCATTGTATTATTACTTTTAACTTTGTATCACATTATAAATGGACTGTATGTTTGTATGAGAAATAAAATTCTTTAAACGGAAACCACTCACAGCATTCATGTTTAAGTTAGTTACAAAGTCAACAGTTGTATCACTTCATATATTATCATTTCACATGTACTACATGATAATACAGATAAGTGGAGAAGGTGTTGGATAATGAATAAGAGAACAAATCATCGAAGAGGTGCGAGAGAGACACATGTAAATCGAGGTCTTCTTTTTCATTCTAGTAACGTAAATCGCTGTCTTCTTTCTCTTCTACCAAAATTTGTCCCGGGATCGTGACTTGCTTCTCTCCTCTATCTATATTTTTTCTCTATGGTATTTTCATAATTTTTCCTGTCAGTGTCACTGTCAAGAGCGACAGGACAGCCTGACTCAGGTCTCATGTTGAGTTTTAAATATGATTGAGAGTTTGAGTATATTCGAGTTTTTAATACTATTCTGAAAGACACTGTTCAATTAATATGGACGCAGAAGAAGGTATACTATCCTTCCTTGATCTATTAGATCTGGATGAAGAAATAATAGATAAACGTCTCAAATCTATAATGTTGAAAAGTAACCACACAAACAAACATCTTCAAAGCGTGCTTCTGTTATTGCAGTACAAACATTTAATAAATACAAAAGAAAATAGCGACTGTGAAAATGATGATGAATATGATTTTACAGTTCAACTTATAAGGAATGCTAATAACGAAAATATTGATTATATTTGTAAGATCATAAATATTGTGCTGTGTCTTAATAACGATAATATTATCAATAAATCAGAACATTTAATGCAACAAATCTTACTGGACACAGATTTCCTTAAAGATAGCAGAAGAGAAGACCCTGCAAACGCGACAATTGATGAAACAGACTTAAACAGAGTGATAAAGTTAAAAATATGTGGGAGTATTTTAGATGCAATTATTAAAACCCATAACAAATTGTCTCTGCCATTTCTTGAAACTCCTATAGAGAACATACTGGATTCTACTGACGAAACATTAAAAATTTACTTTTTGACCAATACTGTACCTAAACTATTTGAAGGAATAATTGGTTACAATATTTTGGATCGAATATGGAATTATATAAAGCAGTTAAAAGAAGATGAGAAAGAGAAAGCATTGCAGATATTGAGCTGCCTCTCTGATTACTACTTACCAGCACCTGATGGAAAACGAAGTGTAAAATATGAATCGGAAATAGTGTTCTTTTATGATTTCTGGAACATCATACTGTATGGCATCATATCGAATGACACAGCTGTTAGAAAAATATCGATTTATTTATCAAAAAGAGCCATAGATTATGTAATATATATTAGTAGAGATATTTGCATAGCATCAGAAACTGATATTGTTTTTAACTGGAATAAGAATGATTCCAAAAATTTAAAAACCATTTGGGATAACTTTTTCATACTCATAGACAGTTTGGAAGAGAAACAGAGCAATATAGTGTTGCCATCATTAAAATTATTTGAAACTGTAGACATTGGGGAATGCTGGTTGAATGCCGCATACAATATTGGTTTAAAGCATGACAATGCACAGGTCAGATTAAAATGTGCTGAATATAAATTAAAGACAAGAATTGGGAATGAGACTGTGGCAAGGGTTTTATTGGAGGCCTACAATGATATAAATATTTATGATAATAGCATAAACTGTCAGGTGCTTAAGACAGGACTAAGTGGTATATTTAAAGATCCTTTTTCATTTATGGCAATACTAAAAGCCATACCAACTGTAAAATGGTCACCAGTACCATTTTACTATTTATCTGATGTTCTAGCTAATTTAATGTCTGAAGCTAGTTTTGATATTTCTACTGTAATTATGGACATTTTAAAAGTACCTTGTAATAGTATTCTAATAAGAAAAGCAGTCCATGTGAATTTGGGAAAATTTATAAAAAATTGTCAAAAAAATCTTAGCTGGAGAGATGCTGCTAAAATCATTTCTATTATACAGTTAGAGCCAGAGAAGTACCCAGTTGTACCACATCCTGACACTTTCATAGATAAAGAAAAAATTTGTTTCAAATCTTTATCTGAAAGTATAAAAAATATAGATCTTATACTTTTATACCTTTCGAATAATAATAAAGAAGATATGGACATCTTTATTGATGTATTAAATGAAAAAATTGACAAGTTAACTGACATAATAAATAGACAATATTCTGATAAAAAAGAATGTATGAAGGATGCAATTTTTCTAATACATTTGCTTAGCAAAACGGAGGATGATAAAAACTCTGTTAAGAAAATTTTACATGAACTAGTTGTCAGGCAAAATAGAACCATAATTCAATATGTTATAAGTCTATTTTCGAGTGATAATTTTTATATGGGTGATGCTGGACCGATATTTGAAAAAGACAGCTGCATATTTACAGACAATAACATGGATGATATTTTACTACAACTTTACAAGATATGCATACTCTTTTTAAAAGATGGCCAGGAATTACACAAAACTGTCCTAAGTCTATATTGTATTAAAGTATTACATAATAATACTAATTTAATGATGAAATATTATCATGAAATGCTTAATTTAAAAGGATTTCTAGAAATAATTTTAAACTATCAATTTAAAGATTCTCACAACGAAAGTGAGGGTAGAGTGAAAAATATATTTCACGAAAAGACTTGTCAAATAACATATCAGCTGCTAGAAGAAGAAAAAGACCTCCACTTGTGTATGAAACCATTAATTTCTTACATTGAAATCGTCTTAGAATGCGGAGGGTATGGATGTCTCAAATGGATTTTAAAGATCGTCAATAAAATTGTCAAGCTCCTTGTTGATGGTGAAAACAAATTTGATATGGTGCAATTCGTAAACAGAGTATGGTTTGAAATTGAAGAATTGAAATCCAACAATCAGTATTCACCTTGCATGCAAGAATTAGTTGAGTTGTTAACCCAAGATGCTTTACTATCAAAAGCAATGTTTAACAATGTTATAATTTTATACTGCAAAAAGATAATTGAAAATGGTTCCGCTAAAACAAACCCTTTATATTATTTGAGCAAGAGCATTAATAGTCGAGGTGTCCAAAATTATGGGCATTTAATTTATATATTGTGTGAAATACTGTTGTACTGTCCAGTACTAAGGAAAGATGAAAGGTAAAATAATTAGTCAATTTTATATCAATATATATAATTTTTTAATGACTGCACGGATGGCGTAGTGGTTTTAGCGGTCACCTCGCCGCTTCCTACTGCACATAGTGTTGTGGGCAGCCCTGGATCTAGAATTTTTCGAACCAGGGCAGAAACTTAATAGTGCCGCCGCTCTCTCCAGCGTTTGAGATAAATAACTTAAAAAACTCACAAATAAATAAGTTCACTTGTAGTGTGCGCCTCTGTGGCGTCTTTATCTTTTCTTACAAGCTTTTTCACAAGTGTTCTTATAAGTTTTCTTACAAGTTCTGTGAAGCAAGTTTTTTATTGCATATAATTTATGCAATTAATTAAGCCTTTATTGCCAACATAGTTATTAAATAGTTACACGTATTCATTATTAAATAGTTCATTATTAAATAATTATTAAATAGTTCAGTGTTAACATGCAATTAAATTAATTAACATTTTAATTATATCAATACAATATTATTATTGTTATTATTATGCCGCAGTTATTGGGCGTCGGCGTGTCCTTGTGACACAAAGGCCTCCTCCAGCTCTTTCCATTCTGCTCTTGTTTGAGTTATTCTGGGCCACAGTGGACCCGCGTTCTTTTTTATCTCATCAGACCAACGTTTTCTTTGTCTTCCTCTTTTCCTTTTTGTTTGGAATCCGGTTCCGGTGTTCGTAGCATAAACACGTACGTCAAAGTCCTCCGCAAATATTAACTAATACTAGTGTATTAAATGTGAAATAATAGTGCCACAATACAAAATCTACCAAAATAGACAACAGAAAACGAAATAAGCAAGTGAACAAAGCGTGGAACAATATTCTTGAAGTAAAAAGTGCCATAGAAAATCCAACAATATAACCTAAAAGTGAAAGTCATAACAGTGCCACCAACATAACCAACAAATCAGTTTGAAGAAAGCAACGTCATTTTGACACTGAAGTATATAGTGAGTGCTGCAAGTCACAATAATCTAAACTACTATTCTACCAGTGTTGTCAGTAAATAAACCAAAAATGAACAAAAGTATGGAATTATTATTGTTAAAACTGGATGAGAAGTTACACCAGCAAACCAAACTCATAACAGTATCGGTGACGCAGAATGTTATGGAAGCATTAGATGAGAGATTAAAAATAATAACAGAGGAAAACACTATGCTCAAAGAAAAAATTTCTACATTGGAGCAGAAACTTAAGGCGATGGAAAGAGAAAAAAGAAAATACAACCTGGTCTTTTTTGGCATTGAGGATGTTGATAAATCAGAAGCGGAACTTGCAGACCACGTCAAGGACACAATTTTAGAGTCAGGCACCCATCTAAACAGCCCGGAAATTAGCAACATATATAGAATTGGCAAGGATAAAAACGTTAAAAACCGCCCTGTCGTAGTCTCCCTCACATCTCTATGGAAAAAACACTTGATTTTGAAAAACAAGTCAAAGCTGCCACTAGGTATATATGTAAAAGAAGATTACTCCAAAGAAATGTTAGAAAAGCGGAAGCAACTACAAGCACAAGTGGAAGAAGAAAGAAAGAAAGGAAATATAGCCTTTTTAAAACATGACAAAATAATAATAAAGAGACCAACGGGAGTAAACAGAGACAAAAGGAAAAGAGAAGGTCATGACTCACCCAATTCATCATCTCAGAAGAAAATAGACTTAAGAGGCAACCCAGCTACTACATCCTCTAAGGGAAAAGAAATCCTTAAACCCAACTTACTTACCTACATGGAACGAAGCAGATCTGCCTCACTGTCAGAGGATCCAAAAAACCTATAAGGACCACCGGCACCCGGAACCAAGCCAGAATAACAAATACCAAAACTACATATACACCAACTAAAAAATGCACCCCAAGCCGGTTGGTCACCGTGGGGAAAGAAGACCGCTACCCTTCAGCAAATAATTTATGCATATATAACTAAATTACACCCAGACATAAAACAAATGCTAGTGCTCATCATCATCAACAGCCTTTACTAGTTCAATACTGAACATAGGCCTCTCCTTAGAAACGGGGTTTCGACTTAATATACCACGCTGACCAGAAGGGTTGCTAGAGGGCTTGTTTCAAGTTTTCCTTCCCTTCGCAGTGCTGTTGCCGGGCGTAGTTTGCCCCCTTAATCGGCTCTTACGACGGGTTGAAAAGGGGTGGTGACACTCCATATTCTTACTCCATCACCACACAGATAGTGCTCACCACACAGAAATTTGCCTTGGCTGGAAATTGAACTCATAACCTCTCGACTCAGCAGTTCTACAGTCAGAATTGCTAATCACTAGTCCAACTGGCTAGTTGAAGTATAAATATTTATAATTTCAACTGCTAGAGGTATTATTTAGCACCTGACAACAGATTTGACATCTTAGAGCTTGTCCGATAATGAAACACGGTGAATAGTGAATCTCTGCTTTTATTTTTGATTTGGTTCTCTATTGAACCATGCTTTTTTTAAGTTTTATTTTTTAAATATTTTCATCATCATCAACAGCCTATAATAGTCCATTACCGGACATACGCCTTACCTTAGAAAGGAGGTTTTGGCCTACTAATAATATTTTAACTTTATATTAATATTTTAACTATTATTTAACCATTTTTTATTTTCAGAATAACAGATAACTTGTGTTTAAAAATTCTCCAAGATGACGCATATGGAATAGACAAAAATAGGTAAGATCCAAGCATTAACTGATTATGTCAGCTACAGTACACACACCACACCTATACACCTGTAAATTTAGGACTTAAACTTTAATTATTTGCTACTACGAGTTGATTGATCCCTCATATTTAAAAAAAAAGCCGTGTGCGTTACGCCAGCAAAATATTCTCCTATAAGGGTTTGTTCCCCCAACCACTTTATTTATTCAAGAACATTAGAATCTGCTTAAGTAACTTTACCACAGCAAAAAAAACCGCGTTGACTTAGCTGGATTAAAAGTAACCAGATTTATAGCTTATAATTTGTGCCAAAAGTGTGTCAAAATCTAAATTCCTCCCTTTATGATTTCCATGATGATGATGATGATGCTAATTAAGTTTTTGTTTGACAAAACAGTGCTTAATTATAAAAATTAGTAAAATAAATTTTTATCTTCTCCTTTCCATTTAGGTAGGATTGGAGTACCTTACGGCCGCGTTTTTGTAGCCATCTCAATTTAGTCGGTTAATCGGTTAATGTTGTAACTTACAACTTAACTTACTTTAAAAAAAAAATAAGTTTTCCAATTTCATTTCGCAGCATCGACGTCCACTTCAACTTCGAAATACAATATTTATCAATAGCAACACTGTGTCATATAAGCCACAATGAGACATTAACTGTTATTTTGAAGTTTATTACAAATAAAATTGACGATACGTTTCGGAACAAGCAGAGGTATGTATTTCTTTTACTAACAGACAGCAGTAGACAGTCTGGCAGTGCTTGTTTTAACACGTTTTTATCACATTCACTTTTATGTAACCAACTAAAAATTTATTTCAGTAAGTATTATTCTTCCACTCTTAGAGTAGAATCATTTGTCATCTCACTGTTAAAAAAAACCGTCAAACGTAGCCATATCCTCACTCACACAGTCCATCCATCTTTTCTTTGACCTTCCTCTTCTGTTGTACCTTTCAACTCCCATACCTAACACTTTCTTCGCCACATTTTCCTCATCCCTCCGCATGACATGTCCATTCCAAGATAACCTATTACTTCTTAACTTTTCTTTCATTGGCGCTACTTTCAGACTCCTTGTACCTTGTCCATCCGAGTCACGCCACACATCCATCTCAGCATTCGCATTTCGGCTACGTTCAGGCGTCTCTCATCTGTTCTCTTAATGAGCCATCTTTCAGATCTTACAGAACTCCAATCTACTCACGTATAGAAAACATCAATAATAATAATAAAGTCTCTTTATTTTCGTTAACCAATAGTTTTAAATTCAATTATACTAAAATAACACTAAATATTTTTTGCTCAGTTAAGGCCCCTCGCGGGTATAAGCCTCCTCCAACAGTTTCCAGGTTTTTCTGGTATTTGCTTTCTCTGTCCAGTCGTTTCCAGCATATTTTTTTATCTCTACCCAACATTTGTTAGAACGGCCACTAGCTCTCTTGCCACTTGGCTTTACCTAGACCGATGCGCTGGACATCACTGAACGGTATTTCGCTTTGTCAAGGCCCTTTGTTGGAGTAGATCTAATTCTTGCAGAAAGCTGCTGTCTTAACTTGTTTGCGGTATTTTAATTAGCGTACTACGTTTCTTAAATGATGTATGTTTAAAAAAAATGGGCTAAATAATGCACCTACACAGATATTTAGAAAAAACCTTCTATAAAACCAAGTCTAAATTTAATGTTGACTGCCTCGGTGGTACAGGGGTAGCGTATGCGAATGATGTGCTGAGGTCTCGGGTTCGATTCCCGGATCGGTCCAAATGTTTGTATGATCTGAAAATATTTATTTCGGAGTTTTCTATGTATTTACAAAAAAGTATATAAGTATTCTATCGATTAATCTAATTTTCATAGTACAAGCTCTGCTTAGTTTGAAAGTAGTTGCCGTGTCAGACATCCTAAATATAATTATATAATGGTTTAATTATTATTTTAGGTACCATGGTAACTCTCAAGTACACAAAACACTAATTTCGACACTGCAACACATGTTAATTATTTTGTTGAAGTCTCCGGGTAATCTGGATTGGTTGCTGAATTGGTGTCTCGATTTGTTGGTTAAATTGCCCCACCAACCGAGCGTGAGGATATGCTTGGAATGGCTGGTATCTTTATGTTTTTATATACAGGTAAGGTTATTAAAAAAAATTAAGACCAATACTCATTTCTAATGTTAGTCTTTATTTAGTTGTGAACTTAATGGAGGTAAGTCTAACAGCTTTGATGACGTCATAAACCAATGAACACTGCTGAATATTTAAATATAAATGTAGTTATGATTGTGGTACAAACTGACAACTATCAGTTTACCAGTTCATGACGTAACAGATGGGGTCACATTCTCCAGCACCTCCAACCTACAAAAGGCTGCAATTAAATAAAAAATTTGCCTGACTACTCTTTTGAGTACTAGTGTTGCCAGTATTAAAATGTATGTATTAAAATGTGGTTAATTTGTATGGAGAAACAATGTTTTTTTTCTTTCGTTTTCGGTGTTAGTCCAGAAGAAAAGTTGTTGTTTCTAATGTTACTAATATGCACTTCAGAGGTTTTCAGTAACTTTAAAATAACCCTGAATAAAGGTTATTAGGTAGCTATGAAAAACTATTGAATTCTGTTCAGATTACTTTTTATTTCTTAAAACAAATATTTGGCACCTTTGTATTGCAATCATTTATCGTACTATACTAAATCAACTAGGCAGGTCGTAGGTACTGAAAGAGCTATCTTTATAATGAGATCAATCAAACATCTTTGTACTAGCTTATTAAAATAATGAAATATTTAAATATCAACGGCAAAGCGTCAAGTGGCGACAACTTTCAAGGTCACGGGCTCCGATTGAGTAAGAAACTTAAGATCCGTATCCGTATCCGTATCCGCGGATCTTGACACCAAATATCCGTATTCGGATCCGTATCCGCGGATATACTTTGTTAACGATCCGGCACATCACTAATTAAAAGGCGATAACAGTTTCTAATCCAGCAAACCATGTATGTGCTTGTTGTTAATCCTATAAGACATAACTTAGGTGTCTGTTCATTATCTTATTATTAGACTAGTTTTCCCCTACCATATAACCCTTAAATACCAATATACACACTTTTACCCAACATCAACATTTTATTAACGAACAAAACAAAAAAACTGCATGTGTCGTTGAAAATATAAACCTTATTTATTTAATTTTTATTTTTCAGAAAATATCACTGGGAGAGAAAATTCTACAGGTCTTAAAGTTAAGAAATGTGTCCCTAACATCTCAATTCTTTATTATGTACTGGTTGTTAAAACATAAAATAATAAACAATACCTACACTGATGTTGAATACAATCATGTTTTAGATTTTCTTCTTTCGCATACAATGGGACAGCTCTTCAATGTTAGACTCCACGCGCAATACTTATCTGTCATTTTACACAAAATGGCGGGTAAATCAACAAAATTTGATTACACAATAAGTGTCATCGAAAACACATTCAATGACAGTAGAACCGACAAGAATTTTACTAAACTGCAAATAGATTATTTCGCAAATAAATTTGATATTATTGCCAATTTGAATCCTTATTTTATTTACTATTTATTACCAAAGTATTGTGAGATTGACAATAATGAAAGCGTTGACATAGAATTTGTTAAAAATCAACTAAAAGACTTTGATGGAAGTTTAGTAGGGGGTGATGAGGAATTTATAATCGAATGGAGGTCTTGTCAAAGGGGCAATGAGGAGTTTCTTCAAGTAGCTGGTGATGAAAGTGGGAGTAAAGTTGTTCAAGATGATGAATTAATGGGTACTATTCAGAAGAAATATGTGCCTTGGAAGAATATGAGTGAAATAAATAGTTATGATTTTGGGAAAAAGGTGGGTAACATTTTTTATTTACTAATTTATTGTGAAAGAACGGGTATTAATGTTCCTTTTGTAATGTCTGCGGGTTAATAACAAATACACGTATTTATTTCCGATAGCACATACAATAAGATTTGTCCACGTTTTCCACGTTTGTACATATACACGGTATTTAATATTTACAATACATGTAACCCTACATTACACCTTCAAGAAGGATTCTAGCAGGTGCCGAAGCCGGATTGGTGATCAAATAAAAAAGTCAAGATGGAACTTTGCGAAGAATGAAGTGAAGCCGGGTTTAAAAACATGTGTGCGTAAGCCGTCATAATTTAATTTTATTAAAAACTAGCTGACCCGGCAAACGTTGTATTGCAAAACAAAAAAAAAATAGGGATGGGTCACCCTTACCATTTAGGGGTATGAAAAATAGATGTTGGCCGATTCTCAGACCTACCCGATGTGCACACAAAATTTCATGAGAATCGGTCAAGCCGTTTCGGAGGAGTACGGGAACGAACATTGTGACACGAGAATTTTATATATAAGATATTGCTTTCTACACTTATGTGTGAAATGCGATTCCATCCTACTGTCTAACTCTAGTAGTTTGATTTTTATAGTTCGGCATTTTTACGTGATGACGTTTTGACTGACAAGGTGTAGTTTCATTGTACGTCTGTGCGGGTAATTGTGTATGTACGCGCCAAGGCGTAGTTTCCATTGGCCTCACTTCTTTGTTCACAGAGTACCATCTTAACTTTTTCATTTCATGTGAGATTGGTGCCAGAACTTTATTTGCGCGATGCAAGATTAGTAGTTACTCCGTTGTTCGGTGTGTCGTCGCTAGATGGTGTTAAAATATGTTTTTTCATTGTATGTTGAAGTTGCCACATTAATGAAGTTATGCTAGTTATTTAATGTGTTAAAATGATAAAACCGTTTTAATTACGTGTGTATTTGGGGAATGCCAGACCGGTTCAAACAGGGGAACTTGATCAAATTGTGAAGAGTGGGAAAGCTCTTGAGTTGCATGTATGCGTTTGCCAAATAAGCCTTCCGCCTCGGTGCTGCACTTATTAAGCCTCCAGTTGGACCCGAAACTAATTGAGCGTTTTCGAAATACACCAATGTATAAAGCCAAATATTCTTATAAATTCAGAAAGTTTCTTCATTTGCTTCGTTTTTGTGTTCTCAGACTGAAACCAAAGGCGATCTAATATTAGTGGCCTCTCTTATCGATAAGCTACCGAACCTTGGAGGAATGGCGAGGACCAGTGAAGTGTTTGGAGTAAAGACTTACGTTGTGGGTAGTTTGAGACATTTGCAAGATAAACAGTTCCAGGGTCTTAGGTAAATCATCATCATCATCATCTAATAGTTCACTGCTGGACATAAGCCTCTCCTTAGAAATAAGGTTTTGGCATAGTATACCACGCTGGTAAGACGGGTTGGTTTAGGGTTTGTTTTAAGTTTTCCTTCTCTTTGCTCCCTTAATCGATTCTTATGATACCCACGGGATAAATAGGGGTGGTGACACTCCGTATTCTTAATCCGTCACCACACGGACAATGGTGGAGGTTAGGTTAATAAACTTGAAGTAAATTTTAAGTTTAAATAAATTAAGTATTTGTACATACATACGTACTCACGGCTATAACTTCGAAGGGGTAGGCAGCTATGAGTTAAACGCTCACATTTTGTTAAGTATAGTTTTAGTACTATTAGTTAATCAGATAGTGTAAGTTGTAAACTAACCTAAAAAAAATTGTCACTACCGGTTTATGACGTCATAAACCTATATTTAGCATAAATGTTCTACGTAATGTATCACTTTAACATTTAATAAAGTCATCCTGATATGATTTAATAAACATACTCTTGATTGCCAGTGTGTCAGCCGAACGTTGGGTTAACGTAGAGGAGGTACGACCAGGACGAGCCCTGAAGGAATACCTCATGCTGAAAAAGTCAGAAGGTTACATTGTAGTGGCTGCAGAACAAACATCAACTAGTTCAAAACTACAAAACTTTAAGTTTCCTAAAAAGACGATATTGTTGCTTGGGTAAGTTTCATCAACAGCCTTTACTAGTTCACTGCTGGACATAGGCCTCTCCTTACAAAGGAGGTTTTGGCCTACTATAGGCATAATAGGTAACTGCGGTTTATTTCGGCCAGCTCGACTGGAGTGATACGGCCACGGCCTTATCGAAAACCGCTGTTAATCGTTGGTTATATTTCACCTTGTGAACGAGGTTATCAGAAAAGCATTCACCCGTAATGTTGGTGGGGGGAGGTGGGGGCTTTTGTGACTGTTGAGTGGTGTTCATGGGCGGCGGCAGTCACTTACTATCCGTCAGTTCGTTTGCCCCTTATACCGTAAATAAATTGGATAGGCAGCTAATTTAGGGGTCCCACTAATGTTGAATAGGGGAACGAAATTTAATAGCTCACAGCACATACCCGTATTAGTATTGGTTGTGGGCTCCGATTTCCGCATTTAGACTCGAAGGTGGTCCTTTATGCGTCCTAGCCAACCTCTACTTCCAGAAGCACAGAAACCTCCTCGGACGTTCACAGGCTTCTAGGAGCGATTATGTACCAGGTGTGATACTTGCCCGTTGTGTGGCCACTCCCTCGTATTCCAGGATTACGTGGGCGGCCGTTTCTTCTGCTTTCAGGCATCCTCTGCAAAGAGGGCTGTCCGTCGCATTACTAGTTAATCGTTGTCGGTTCAGGGCTAGGTGTCCTGTTATAGTTCCTACAACTATTCGAATATCTAGTTTAAGACATCGTCACATACCAATATGAACAACTATATCTGGGATATAATAGGCCCATATGAACAACTATATCTGGGATATAATAGGTTAGATTCCTAAGCTTAAAAAAAATATTTTGCCTGAATTGTCCTCCATTAGCATTTCAATATTTTTATTGATTTGATATCTTGATATCAACATTATGAAATACTATTTCGTGACGTCATACATAGCTATTTTCGAATCATTTATATTTAAGTGATTCGACAATAGCTATGTATGCCGTCACGAAATAGTATTTCATACCAATATAATAATAATATTTTGGACATCTGACACACCACGCCATCTATTTTCAAACTAAATAGAGCTTGTTCTATGAAAGATTGATTGATAGAATACTTATATAATTTTTTTTGTAAATATATACATATTATACATAGAAAACACCCAACTTCAAAATGTACCGAGACTTGACGGTTAAAAGATTCGACTTGACAGTTATCTAACTTATTGCATAAATATCATAGACAATGTTATACTTATTTTTTTTTTTGCTTCCAGGCACGAGAAAGAGGGCGTGCCCTGTGATTTATTACCAATAATGGATCATTGCGTTGAAATACCGCAACAGGGTTACGTGCGATCTCTGAATGTACACGTCACGGCCGCCATATTCGTTTGGGAGTATGTCAGGCAAAATGTGTTGTAATATAATGTAGAGAAGGTATAATTTTATTTGTAAGTTTTAATAAAGAACATTATATGTATATTTTGTTATATTTCTTTCGTTTTATTAACTTTTATTATCCTGAAGTATCTACCTCGAAGCTCAAATATTCCTCTAATTCTATCCAATTATACTATTTTTTTTAAAAGCAGTTCAAAATCAGACTTAGAAGCAGCCGCAAATATTAAAAAAAAAGAATTATTTTCAATTCATTATTTTTATATATATATTAAATATTTTTGCTAGGTCTGTGTAACTTGACAAAAAAATTGATTTAATAAGTTTTAGTTTTGATTTTGATCAACTCTATAGTTCAAAGTAGTATTTATTGCTAGTACGGTAATTAGTACGTTTCTTAGATAATAGGTACTTTGTTAAATGATTAATTGAAAGAAATTGTTACAACCACAGTGGTGATAATAAAGATTTATGATAATAGATGATTTTATTAATGAACTTTCAAATAGAATACATCGTAAATGCATTAGTTAAATATTTATCCCTAACAGTAAATGTAACTCTACCTTCTTTTGATTAAAAAGTCGTTAACCTCGAAATTACTATTTTTACTGTTTAAAGGAAGTGATAAAGTTAAAAATTAAATGTCTTTTACATGTCGTGAATCTAGTTTTATACAGGATGACATTGTCATTACTGTCAAAATTATTTTTAGGCACGGCATTATTTATTTTTGCAGAAAAATTATAGTTCATATTTTCTACATACATAGCATATTACATACTACATACGAAGTTGCAGGGAGTGGAGGGGTGGGTGAAGCGTGTCCGAAACCTAGCCGGTATTACATGGCACTGCAAGCAAGAATTACGAACCATAATCTCAATGCATAGCGTTGTGCCCTACTTGATACTAGACCGCGCTGTTCTCCTAACACAACACAAGAACCACTCAATCCTATGGCGTAAAAATATGCTAAATGGGTTTGTGAATGAGTTCATGGAAGAAATGCCTCTTCTTTATTCTAGAAATTTTAATTACCAACACGACGGTGACCACGTTACGCTGCCCTGTTCCCGTCCCATGGCCGTCTCTATCACCGGACTTAACACTTTGTGACTTTTTTTTGTGGGATAATATTAAAACACGCCTGAATGTGGAAGAGTTCTAAAGCCTTGCGAACTAAAAAATGCAAATAGTTTGAAGATGTGCGTAATGACACTAGTACTTCGAAAGTTGAAAGAAAAACGTTAAAAAACGTTCTAGACTTAGCTTAGAGACAAACCGACTACATTTTTATCATTTTTTAAAATACAAGGTTTAGTAGTAGCGGTAAGTTAACCTTTATTTCATTTTTTATTAAATATAGTGTACATATCACTAAAAATGTATTAATTTTTTACTTATTACAAACGCGGCCATTAATTAAGTGAAGTTTTAATATTTGGATGTTATGTAAGGTACTTTATTTATGAATGAATCGTAGCGAAGTACGAGTATGCGGTACCGATGTAGAGGTCATTGACACTTGCGCGTCTACCGAATGCGGTGTGTCTACAAATTGCGAGTTCATAAGACTAATTACTTAATATTTTTGTACCATGTGATACTAAACCAATATACTACCCCCTGTGACTTTACTGGCTGGCCCATTTCACTTGAGATGAACCCAATTATATGTAGGTGGCAGAATAGCGATGTTTAATGGTTTTAAAATTTTTGTACTAGATAAAAAAGGATTTTGAAGACGAAGTTTAATCAAAAAAACCCTTTTTTTTATTTCAGTCACCAGGGCTATCAGTATTAGTGACGTCAATATTGCCTAACTGGAAATACTTCACCGTCAACGATGGCTATTCAAGTCAAGGTGTTAAGGCTTAAGGAGCAACTTACTGGGCGGATGCTGGGTGGATCCAGCGGTATTAACCTAAGAGGGAACATGAACATGAGGCCGACTATGAAACCTGGGTTGAAAAAGGTAATCCAGGTTGGGAGTGGAATAACGTCACGTCTTATTTCAAGAAGAGCGAACGCCTCAACGACAGAACCATTATGGAAAGTGAATCCGGTTCCTTACATAACACAAACGGTTACTTGGGGGTTACGAGGCCAGATTGGTCTCACAGAACAAGTGAATATTTGGACGCCTTCAAACAAAACGGCCATGAAATTTTGATAGAAAACAATGGACATCAACAGTTAGGTTACGCTCCAGCGAGTTTTACAGCTGAAAAAAATATTCGTCAAAGTACGGCTTTTCTTAAGCCTGTTCAAAATCGGAAAAAATTGTATGTCCTTAAAAATACTAAAGCCAGAAAGATCTTATTTGACAAATGGAAAAGAGCAGTAGGAGTTGAATTAAAATCAACTAACAGAAAAGTGACACAAGTTAGGGCCAGAAAAGAAGTTGTCCTGTCTGCGGGGGCTATTAACAGCCCACAACTGCTTACGATTTCGGGGGTAGGACCAAAGGAACATTTAGAAAAAATGAGTACAGACGTATTATTAAATTCGCCGAACGTAGGTAGAAATCTACAAGATCATCCAGTGGTCCCAATAGTTATTACCAGAGACAAAAAGTTTTCGTCGGTCATCGAGAACATTGACCCTTTAAAATATTTGGACCACTTCCCTATGCCAGTCATCGTAGGTTTTGCGGCTCTGAATAAGTCACAAGGTTATCCAGACTAAGTCACCGCCGTTCCAGTGCCAGTCGCTCCTATATTACCAACCAATTTCTTTTCCACTGTATTTACGATAAACGATACATCTTGTACTGTTCTAGCCAAAGAAACTAAACTAAGGGGGGCTCTAGTAGCATTAGTTGCCCACGTCCAGCCAAAGTCGAGGGGGACAATCATATTAAGGACTTCAGATCAAGAGGGCAGCCCTTTGATATATTCAGGGTATTATACCAATAATGAGGATTTGGAGGACCTTGCTAAATACGTTGAGGATTATGTAAGCGTAATGAATACAAGATATTTTCGGAACTTAAAACCAGAGATAATAGATTTCAAAGTGCCCCAGTGCCAAGATCTCAAATTTCCCAGTCATGAGTACTGGAAATGTTATATTTTGAACTTGTCGAGCAGTCATTATCATCCAGTTGGAACTTGTGCGATGGGAGTGAAAGGAGTTGGAGTGGTGGACGAGAGACTTCGAGTTCGAGGGGTGAGAGGATTACGAGTGGTAGATGCTAGTGTAATGCCGACCATTACCAGAGGAAATACAAATGCTCCTACTAAAACGATTACTGAGAAAGCTGCCGACATGATAAAGCATGACTATGGGATATATGAATAATTTAGTGCTTCGTGCTGCTTCAGAGAAAACTGCAGACATGAAGAGAAGAAGTAATATTATCGCAAGAGATTATGGAAAGAGCTTTAGAAAACTATGGTGATTGCCTTTAAAAGGCCCTAAAACGGCTTCCAATGCTAAACCACATATTCATTACAAACATTTATGGCTGTGTGAATGCTATCCTCAAACGAGTATTTCCTTTTTAAATAAATACATTTTATACTGCTTCGGTGACGCGGTGGTAGCGTATGCCACTGCTGTGCTGAGGTCGGACTAAATATTTCTGATCTGCAAATATTTGTTTCGGAGTTAATAATAATAATAATATTGTACCACATTCACACAACGCCATCTAGTCCCAAACTAAGCAGAGCCCGTACTATGGGTACCAGACAACCGATATAAATACATATATACTTTTTTTTTGTAAATACATACTTATTATATATAGAAACACCAAGACCAAATCAAACACTAAATGTTCAAGCACACAAATGTTTGACTTGAGCGGGAATCGAACCCGCGACCTTTGGAGTAGCAGTCCGTTACACAAACCACTACGCCATTCGGTCGTCTGGGTTTGTTTTGTTTGGGTTTTTTCTATTTATAATATGTATTTATTTACAAAAAAAAGTCTATAAGAATTCTATCAGTCAATCTAGTTTTCATAGAACAAGCTCTGCTGAGTTTGAAACTAGATGGCGTTGTGTCCGATGTCCTAAATAAATATTATTATGTTACGAGTATATTATTAACACTAAGTCAGATTGTTAATTTCTACATGATCAAAGACTAAATAAATTTTGGAATAATTATTATTCAAAAATTTATTTACATCATCATCGCGTAAGGTGGCCCAAAGACCTGGTGAAGGTCACGAGAAGGCTCTGGATGCGAGCAGCACAAAACCGGTTGTTGTTTCGAACCCTTGGGAAACCCTTTCTCCAGCAGTGGACGTCTTTTGGCTAAGATGATGATGATGATAATATAACTCTTTAATTACACATTTTTTTATATTTATGTAAAGAAAAAATATATTTATCTTTATTTAAATTAATGACATTCAAACGACATTAATTATGTGATCTGATTGTATTTTCCAGAGATATAATTCAAGACAGGATTAAAGCTCTTGAAAATACAATCAGGTCACATAATTACAACAAAAAAAAAAATGATAGAAATCGAAGACACATAGACTTAAAAGTTGGTGATGTAGTTTTTGTGGATAATGGAAACAAACTAAATAGGAAAAAGCTCGAGGAATTGAGAATCGGACCCTACAAAATCGCAGAAAAAATATCGAACTCAATATACAAAATAAACACTGGACATAAGAAATCAGAGTCAAACTTTTTTCACATCTCGAAATTAATTCCAGTCCCTGCACTTGAAATACCATGAAGAGGATGCATGAGAAGTTAGAATGTTTTATGTTCTCTGTGAGGGGGAGATGTAAAGAAAAAATATATTTATTTTTATTTAAATTTCGAAGCGAAGCGAATTTTTGACATTAATTTATTATCTGTAGTATAATGAGAGTTTTTGATTAATAGCTACGCGTATTACATACATTATTGAGATTGTGAAAAAGAATTGATGTGATTTAGGAATCGACATCAATAATAAACTTTGAATGTCGTTTCTTTTTTTAACAGAAAGAAACCATTGTTTTTGTTTTACGGTGTCGATCTATCTATCAATCACAAGATTAATAGCATTATATTTATAATACTCTTCCCGGAGCTGGTTTTGGAATGTAGCACGCTCTCATTCTGCGGGCACGTAGGCAGTCTGTTTTAGAACAAAACTTGTATAATTAAAATATTTTTAAAATATAATTATACACACATATTTTCAAGAGAGGTCGGAAAAAGTACACAGACCGCTCTGACCTGTCCAACTACAGGCCTATAGCCATAACTCCTTTGTTCTCTAAGATTATGGGATCCATAATCAACTGCCAGCTCCTCCGGTACTTAAATTATCACCGGTTCTCAATGACCGACAATATGGTTTTCTCCGGAGTCGCTCAGCTGGTGATCTTCTCGTCTTTCTGTCACACCGGTGGGCACAGGCGATCGAGACCTTGAAAAAAAAAGGCTTGTGCGGTTAGTTTGGACATAGCGAAGGCCTTCGATCGGATCTGGCATAAGGTGCTTCTCTCGAAGCTCCCTTCCTTTGGGCTTCTCTAGAAATTGTGTAATTGGGTCACCAGTTTCCTTGCGGACTGAAGCATTAAGGTCGTTGTCCACGGTGCATGCTCCGACTTGCAATTCGTAAATGCTGGTGTCCCACAAGGCTGTGTACATGACATGTTACAAACTAGTAGCATCCATTGCTATGCAGATGATAGCACGGGAGATGCACTTTACACCGGCCGCCCCATTACTTCTCGGGTTTTTCGTGAATAACTCCGCAATGGTTGGATGCACAAATTTTTACTTAGGTACCATACATAATTACACGACGTCATACACTAAATATATCTGTTTAATCAATTTTAAGTTTATCAAACAATTAATTCGAACTTTTTCCGCTGGGGCAACGCACACAATACCAGCCGCAATTTTCCGCCATCGTTCCACATGGCAAAATTTTCATCCTTTTCACCTGGATAGATGGCGCTCCACTACTGTGCGCTTTTCTGTGGAACATGGACAAATTGAATGCCAAAGACTGGTGCCAATACTGTTCTCCCAATTTCATGGTCACTTGTATATCATTTTATGTATCTAAATTGTATGTGTATTGTAGGTGGTCTGTGATAATGTTATTAGCGCTCCCAGATTTTCACGCATAAAGCTCTACTCTCTCGATAGATGGCGTAATCCAATAAAAATAAGTCACGCTATGGTTTCGTTACTGCAATTTATAGAAGACCAATAGAATCGTTTAAACCCTAACCCAAACCAGGGGGTGATTGGAATTTTTGGTAATCTAATCATAGACTCGGTCTATGAAGATTAAATTTGAGCATTTATATCGAAGTCAGTTATTGAAATAACTATTCACCGATTTTGCCAGAATTTGAACATGATTTACAACACGCTTCAAAGATGTTTTAATCTATATTTCAAGTCACTGTTGTTCTGAATTCCGCATACTACCACAATGTGCCACAGCAAAGTGTGGCAATTTACAGTTAGTTAGGAATAAGAATACCTTTATATAGAAAAGTTCTTGGTTGGGTAAAAAAAACTTGCCTGGCCAAACCATGCTTAATTAAATATTCAAAAATAACTTCATTGAACATTGCACTCATGAGTTTAATGAATTTAATACCAACGGAAACTATGACGCCTGAAATTATAATAATATTTTCGTTAGAATAGGATTGTTTATTTATAGAATAAAAAAAATATTTATTTTATTTTACCACATTTACACAACGCCATCTAGTCCCAAACTAAGCAGAGCTTGTACTGTGGGTACTAGACAACTGATATAAATACATAGATACTTTTTTTCTCGTAAATACAAACATATTATACATAGAAACACCCAGACCAAATCAAAAATTAAATGTTCATGCGTTCGATCAATAATAGTACTAGATTCCCGATAAGCGCTTCAAAAACGGCCCGAAAAATAAGAGCACAAAAGTGTTTGTGCTCTTATTTCAAATTAGTACGGTCCAATCATAGCCAACAATAGGACGTCAAAATGCCGCAGTTCGCGTTCAAAAACTGTATAAATAACCACCGTAACACCAAGGTTTTGCAAGGAATATCTTTTTTTCGGTAAGTTAATATCAATAAGTGTTTTTTTCATAATATAATGAGTATAAACAGAATTAAACTGTAAATAAAATCCAATTAGCGAATGTTATAATTGTTTGGCCAATGTTTGCTACAATGCCCCAATTATTGTATCAAACATCGACTGTTCTTGAACAGGGAATGCATGGAGTAGTGTTGTTATTTTGTAATGTTATTTTTGTTTGTAGATTTCCTAGTGACCCATTTCTTTGTGCAGAATGGGTATCTATTGTAGCGAAAGAAAGAGGAGAAGAAATGTACAACCCTTATAAAAATTCGACAATATGTTCGATTCATTTTGACAGATTGGACATAACTGGAAACACGCAAAGGCGTAGATTACTAAAAACAGCAATTCCCAAATTGCAGGTAATTAATTATCATTAAGTATTAAAATACATAGATAACGTTTTGATAAAATAGTAAATTGATTATGACTTTTTTTTTAGATTCACGGACCAATAAAAGTGCAAACAGCTAAATCTTCAGAATCGACGAAAGATTTATCAATTTAGGTAAATTTTGTAAAAATCTATGTAAAAAAACTTATAACTTCGTAAAAACTATTCCTGTAGGTATTTTTATTAAATATGTAGGTATTTTTAAAATGTTTTTATTAAACTGTGTGTTTCTTTACAGGCCACATCTTCAGTGACTTTAAGTTTTAATGATTCTACGGGAATACGTGACGTGCCTCGGGCTGATGCAATTGGTTTGAAGTCTCCTGATGCATCATTATCAGATTTAACATCTGTTTGTGACACTCCAAGAAAAGGGTACTTAAAAAAGAAATTGACATGTCGCAGAATTATAGATACTAAATCTAAGAAAATATATAACTTACAAAAAGTAAATAAGCAACTAACTAGGAGCAATTTTTTTTAAAAAAAACATAATTTACTTGCTTCAAAAGAAAAAATCCATTGATGATTCAATATTTTTCGATTTGGCAAAAAATTTTGAAGTTGCAGAGTTATTCAATGGAATGTACATTAAAAATAAAAAAAATCGTACGAAGCCGTTCACAAAATATCCTCCAGGTGCGAGAAAATTTGCTTAGTACCTATCTACAACTTTTTTAATTGATCGAAATATTTGCCACCATACAAAAAAATATATATTATGCAACTCTACGTCTTTCAATACTTACTGTTCTCAGCATTGAAATGTAATACCAAGAACTGCGTCTAGTTCCACTATAGAATAAGCACGAAATTTTGCACATTATGTTTTTAACCTTATTGCATAGAGTTTAAGTTTCTTTCTAGAATACATATTTTTGTACGGATGACTTTTTATTTTCAAGCGACATTTTAAATTTAATGCTTCTAACCTTTCTCCGATGAAAGGACTTAAATAAATATATTTCCCAATGGTTAACGTCAACGTCAACGTTATGTTTAAGCATTAAGGTTTATAATGATCTGAAGTTGTTAATAATATTATACTTTTTTCTTAAATAATACTTAATGATCGAAGGTTCATGCACACAAATGTTTGACTTGAGCGGGAATCGAACCTGCGACCTTTGGAATAGCATGGAATAGCATAACGGACGTTACACAAACCACCATCCGGTCGTCTATCAATTAAATTCTTCATTGCTTTTCGAGACTGCAGTGGCCGATTCTTCAGTTGTTCTTGGTCCTTACCAACGCTCTCCTCCTCTGGTTCATATAACCGTAAACGTAGCTAACGCCGCTCCTGCAGGGGAAAATTCTCCCATTCCTGCTGTCGATGTGTACATTGCTGACTCACCGGCCTCGGTAGAAGACGCTGACGATATCCTAATTGCTGATTCGCCAATCTCAGCCTACGATTCAACATCAATTGAGTTTGCTGATTTACCTCTCCCGCCCGTCTACGAGGTTAAGATTGGTGATTTGGAAAATGGAAAACGGAAAATGTTGGAATATAATGAGCTTTAGTCTTTTCTAGTACGTAGCTTTGATCCGTATCATAGTGTCACGAAACTTCACGAAGGTTCCAGAAAGAAGGAGGAATGTCTGTCCCTCTCTCTGGAAACTTCGTGAAATTTCATGACAATACTAATTACTCGCCCACAGTATTCGTCGTAAAAGTTTTCGTAGATAATAAATGGCTATGTGACCGTCAAAGAAACTGAGTTTTAGTTTTAGATGGCGGGAAATGGACGAAAAACTAAAAAAAACCGTGTTCTTGGTTGTTATGATCTAGCATTTAAATATTCTAATAGTATGGTATATTCAGAGAGAGACCAGACCAGAGCCAGACCTCAACCGGAGCAACCTGGTCGAAACGTCAGGCAATTCATGTAATACATCATCATCTGCCTACCCTTTTCCCAATGTTAATTGGGGTCGGCGCAGTATGTATGATTTTTCCATTCTACTCTGTCATGCGTCATCTCACTGTTTACTCCCTTCCTAGCCATATCCTCACTGACGCAGTCCATCCACCTCTTCTTCGGTCTGCCTCTTCTCTTGTACCCTTCAACTCTCATACCTAAAACTTTCTTCGCCACATTTTCCTCATCCCTCCGCATGACATGTCCATACCAAGATAACCTATTACTTCTTAACTTTTCATCCAGTGGCGCTACTTTCAGACTCCCTAGTATATACTCATTCCTAACCTTGTCCATCTGAGTCACACCACACATCCATCTCAGCATTCGCATTTCGGCTACGTTCAGGCGTCTCTCATCCGTTCTCTTAATGGGCGAACTTTCAGAGCCATACAGGACGGCAGGTCTGATAATAGTTTTATAAATTTGTCCCTTCAGTGTTAAGGGAAAACTGGGGTCACAAGTTGTTCCCGTTACCTGCCGCCACTTCATCCATCCCGTATTGATTCGATGCTGTACAGTTCGATCAATCTCACCATCACATTGTAAAAGGGAGCCGAGGTACTTGAAATTGGAGCAGACTGTTATCGCTATCCCATCCAGCGAAATGGTTTCAGGACTGGAGAGACCGCCGAAATCGCAGAACATGTACTCAGTTTTGGTTCTGCTGATTTTCAAGCCAACATTCTCCAGCCTTTGCTGTCATTTTTCCAGTCTGCTCTGGACCTCAACCCCATCTTCACCGACCAACACAATGTCATCTGCAAATAGCATGCACTAAGGTGCCTCCTCCTGTATGTCCGATGTCAGAGCATCCATTATCCATTGATCCCTGGTGCAAGCCTACAGAGACACTGAATTGATCAGTGTTTCCCGTGACCGACCTTACATGAGTGCTAGACTCTCTGTACATAGCACGAATCAATTCTACATACTTTACAGGCACTCTTTCTTCTTTCAAAGCCCACCACAAAACCTCTCGGAGTACCCTATCATATGCCTTTTCGAGATCCACAACCACTATATGCAAGTTTTTGTGCGCACTCCTGTATTTCTCACATCGTTTTTAAAATATAGCTTCTGTTGTCCCGCGTCCTGGCATAATCCCAAATTGACATTGGGTTATCTGACTCTCATCTCTTATTCTTCTCTCAATCACTTTCTCTCAGACTTTCATAGTATGTGACATGAGCTTTATTCCTCGATAGTTGTTGCATTCCTGAACATCTTTATTTTTGAACAAGGGTACGAGTTGGGTTTGACACCATTCCTTTGGGATTACCTCTTCAAGCAACAACATATTGAAGAATAGAGTCAGCCACTCATATCCGTCTTCTTTCAGTAGCTTCCAAACTTCCACTGGTATACCGTCGGGGGCAACTGCTTTTCCATTTTTCATACTTCGTACTGCCAACCTAACTTCATCTATACTAATCTCGTTCACCAGTCCGACATTCACATCCACATGCTTTAGCACTCCGCTCCATTTATTCTCTTCATACATAAGTTTTTCGAAGTAAGTTTTCCATCGCTTTTTTATATCTTCATCTTTAACCAACACTCTCCCCTCTTCATCTTTTATACATCTCACATGCTTCAGGTCTTTTGCTCTTTCTTCCCTTTCTTTCTTTATTCATGTAATACCCATTATTACTTTGTTTGATTACAGTGATTCAGATGTATTTTACCACTAAATAATGAAAACTCACATCACCCACTCTCTTACCTCTTCCACTCTTAGGTAAGAGTTTACGCGAGTATGTTTATCTGATAATTTTGTGACCATCATCAACAGCCTTTAATAGTCCTCTGCTGGACATAGGCCTCTTCTTAGAAAGGAGGTTTTGACCTACTATACCACGCTGGCCAGACGGGTTGGTATATGGTTTGTGTTTAATTTTCCTTCTCTTTGCAGTGCTGTTGCCCTGCATAGTTTGCTCCCTTAGTCGGTTCTACGACTACCACACGGTTACGACACCCACACGGGTTGAATAGAGATGGTGAAATTCCGTATTCTTAATCCGTCACCACACGGATTTGTGATAAGTGACTTGATCATTCTTAGGTATGATTCTGACAATCTGTTCAGTCGTTTGAAGTTTATAGAAATATGTTGAGGATTTTTAATTAAAAAAAAAACATAAGAACTGTTACTAAAAATTAAACAAAATAATATTTTATCCAGTATTTACTGCAGGTTTACAGAATAATTTAACAACTTTTGGCAATAACGTTATTTTTACAGGCTTCACTTCAAACTCCTCCTTGTCAATTTCAATTGTCGCATCTTGTTCTATGCCATTGGGCAGAAGCTCTATCGTCCGAGCTAAAATAGGCTGTGAAACTTCGGCATTTTTCACACGATTCCAGCCTTCTGTTACAAAGTCTTTGTATGAATACCCGTTTTTACCTATAGCTATACTTAAAGCCGGGACTTGGTCTGTATTGTTTATATTAGGTGATAATATCCTGAAATCGCAGGTCTTAAAGCATAACTCTTCTGTTTTTGAGCAGTTTACGTTGACCAAATCAGTTGGATCTGACGTTTTAGTCTGAGAAGAGACGCTTGGCATCAAGAAGAACCATTTCCTCTTAACTTCTGGTCTTTTTCTTAGGCAGTTCCTGCATCCAGCGCAAGGAGGAGTATATTTGATGGTGCCGCTACAATTCCAGCATAGAGATTCCTTATAACCATTAAAAACGAATGACGCGTAGTCTCTTAAAGATCCATATATCCAGTATTTATCTTTCTTTGCGAAGACGTCTTTGAAAGCTCCCCACTCGACAGAAGACATTGCGTAAATTGGTTTGGGGGGTACTTCTGTATCTTCGGCGATTGGTTCTATTTTGATAGCATCTTTCCATACTGTGTTGCCATTAATAATTGCCATGGAAGCTTCGATCAGTTGTTTGACTTTCTCCACATTACCGCCGTCACCGCTGTTAGGAAATAATATATTCCCAATTGAGTTTGTACGTCCGAGAGGCAGGACTCCTAGTGGGAATCTGTTTGCTTCATCATTTCTTCGTAACAATCCTGCAAATTATTTGGTAAGTTATAAAATAAACATCAGGCAACTGGAATATTGTAAATTATTTTCAGTGCGAAAGGAAAATTATTTCAGTGATAAGCTGATGATCATTATTTTAAGTAAATTTTGAAATATGTTCACAAAATAATTTGACTGGTTCAGAGTATTGGAAAGAGTAGAGGGAGAATCAAGAATAAAAAAGTCAACTTGACTAGAAAGAATGTATTAAGATGATATTCTGCTGTTTTTTAGATGGTCAAACTACTGTTAAGCATTCCTTTCGTTGCTTTTCACAGAATGAGCCTAAACCTCCCCCCATTTCTGAGGGGAGGCGGCTCAAAGGGCGGAAACGGACTTGTGACTCGTGAGTTGTCGTGACGGTGACAATGAATGACGATAGGCACTTACCATCATGTGACTCGTCCGCTCGTTTGCTGTCTATTCCATAAAATAAAAAACTAGTCCACATTAATTCACTCTTCTTACTCTTACTTGTGTTTTGTTTATTTAATTTGTATGTATTTACAAAAAAATATATAAAAATCGCCATAGTCATATCTAACATTTATTGAACTTTACAGGGCCGCCTTTTCAAATAATTATGTTAGTTTCTTTTGACATAACTTTTTAATTCTAAATCTGTAATTATGAAAATTGGCATACAAGTGCAAAATATGGTTTGTTTTAAGATGCAATAAAAACATTCATTTTACTTTGAGCGCCTATCAATTCCGTCAGTTTACCGACTGAATAATTCAAAATCTAAAATACATATATTTTTTTCTTGAATTTAGTAGTAATGTTTAGACAATGTAGTATCCAAATATGGAAAAACTGCATTTCGTATTTTTTTTTCCAAACCGACATTATTCTACGATCATGACGATATATATAAGTATTCTATTAGTCAATCTAGCTTTCATAGTACAAGCTCTGCTTAGTTGGAAAATAGATGGCGTTGTGTGTAAGATGCCGAGAATCTATACTAATATTATAAAGCTGAAGAGTTTGTTTGTTTCTTTGAACGCGCTAATCTCAGGAACTACAGGTGCGATTTGAAAAATTCTTTCAGTGTTAGATAGCCCATTTATCGAGGAAGGCTATAGGCTATATATCATCACGCTAAGACCAATAGGAGCGGAGCACCAATGAAGAATGTTTCAAAAACGGAGAAAATTTATTACTATTGAGAGACGCAGACGAAGTTGCGCGGGTCAGCTAGTATAAAATACAGTTACAAATACTCTCAAGCCTAATGTGTTTCTACTATCTTTATTAAACATTTAAACAGTATGTGATGTACTTTGCCCATCCAAAGCTTTCCAGGAAGACATTTCTTATTGCGATAACGCGGGCGGACTTATCGCATTGTGTATTTTATGTATGTATTAACTGTGGCTGTATATTTGTTTCCTTTTCTTATGTGTACAAAAAATACTGTATTTTATTAAACGTATTTTACTAATATTATAAAAGCGTAAATTTGGATATACGCTTGTTATTTAATCATGTTGCAATGGCTGAACGGATGTGAATGAAAATTTGGCGCAATTAAAGATACATCATAATCTGGAATAGCACATAGGCAACTTTGTTATCTGGAAAAAATTAATCGAATTAATCGATTTACCGGCCAAAGCTAATATTGGCACATCACTAACTTTTAATATTTAACATTCATTTTTTATGGAAGAGGAGGAGGTAACCTGACGGAAAACGACTACCGCCACCCATGAACACCTGCTACTCAGGAGTCACAACCTTCATTTCATAAGGTCTTTTAAACAAGACACTTTTATCATAGATAACTATCCTTTTGGCTCTAAATACAAGTAGAGATTTTTTTTCTTCAACTTTTAATACAATTCTGATAGCCGTCAATAATTTTAATGCTGTATATATCACTTTATTTGTTTAAAAACTCACCAGTAACAGTTTCTGATAATGTTCCATCACCACCAGCTACGATTATAGCCTCTGTCCCCTTTAACGTCTCCACAATCTCTTTGGCATTGCCTTCCGTAGCTGTCTGTATAACATCAACTTGTAACCCAGCTAAATGTAAGAGAGGCTCGCAATAGTTCTCAAAATCTTGTTTTGCCTTCCTTTTGTTCGCAACAGGGTTAAGTATTACAGTAACAAGAGTGGGGTTCCGATCTATAGGTATCATTGAATCACCATATTTTGCAGCTTCTCTACAAGCTGCACGCATTAATAGATTGATTCTGAAAAAAAAGCATAAAAGGATTCTTAAATACAGCCACATATAACTCGCTTTAGTAGCCTAGTCCCTTCTAGTCATTCCCCAGTCAAAACAAAAACAGTGAGACCATAGTCAAAATAATCAAATAATTACTTGATTAAAAAGTATTTACATTTAATCTAATCCTGTTTTATACTAGTAACAGTTATTAGTTAATTACAACCTCTATTAATTGCACATTACAATTAATGTTTTTGTTGTGGTGTAGAGCCATACTTTGGTATGTATGGGTTGTAAAAAAATGGTAATGATAATTTATGAAAAGCATATTTTTTTTTAATGTCAGATAGGAAACACTTTTCGGATACACAACAACATTTCAGGATATTTTTGATATATTTCTTTGTACATAGGGGCCGTCTTAAGCTTATACCTTTAATATAATAAAAATAAAACATAATATGGAAAGCAAGTTTCTGTTATTGACAAATTTATTCTTGACTACAAAATTAACAACAGTTGCTAGGTAACATCATCATATTAAAGATAGACAATTTGTAACTGATGTATATAACCTTCTTAACATTCCGTCTCCTCTTCAAGCAACTGTTGGTTAAGTGGAGGCTCCAGCTAGCTTACATAGTTCTAGAAGCCTAGGCTTAAATAATGGCTTTGTCAAGAAGTCTGCCAGTTGATTCTTGGTATCAACCTTCTCAACTTTTATATCCTTTTCTAGGACACACTGCCTTACGAAAAAATGTTTAAGCCTTATATGCTTTGTTCGCTGGTGTGCTTCGTAAGGTGGATCATAAGCTAATCTTATAGCGGATTCATTATCTATAAAGAGTGGTGTAATCTCCTTCTGAGTATTACTCTGCATGAAGTTCATGATCCGTTTAAGCCATATAACTTCTCTGGCGGCCTCACTTGCTGCAATTATTTCAGCTTCTGTAGAAGATATTGCGACAGTAGTCTGACGTTTACTCTGCCATGCTATTGCACCATTGGCGTTGAGGCAAATCATGCCGCTGGTGGAGCGTCCAGTCGTCTCATCACCACCATGATCAGCATCACTGTAGCATCTTAAGCCTCGTTCTACAGTGGAAGATTTGTATGTTATACCATACTCTAGGGTGCCTTTAACATAGCGTAGAATTCGCTTAACTCTCGCTACATCTTCTGATGTTGGATTATCTAGCTTCCGTGACACTATTCCAACTGCAAAAGCAATGTCAGGTCTAGTGCCAACCATCAAATAGGATAATGCTCCAACAACCTGTCGATATGGAACGTCATGGATATCCGTATTGTCTTTCGAAGCTAGCACGTTATCTTTAACAATTGGGGTTACTGCAGCTTTGCAATTCTGCATGCCAAATCTTTGCAGTAGCTTCTTTGCATAGCTCTTTTGATCAATTTTGATTGACCCATCAACTTTACGTTCTATTTCAATTCCAAGAAAATAGGAACCGCATTTCGTTGTGATTTTGAAGCGTTGACGCATTTCGTCCAAAAACTTTTCAGTTTCTTTTGAACTTGCTGACGCTATCAATCCGTCATCAACATATAAAGCTATTAATAACTTGTTCTTTCCCTCTCTTTTAAACAAGCAGGGGTCACCCTCACTCTGTATGAAGCCAACTTTGAGGATGTGCTCAGTAATAGTAGAGTTCCAGCACCTCGGTGCTTGTTTAAGTCCATAGAGACTTCGTTTAAGTTTGCAAACTTTACCATCATTGTTTGAATATCCTTCTGGAGGCTTCATATAAATATCCTCTTTCAATTTGCCATATAGAAAGGCAGTTGAAACGTCGCACTGACATAGATAGAGATTTTCTTGAGCAGCTATACTGAGTAATGCTCTTATGGTACTTGTCTTTGCAACAGGACTAAAGGTTTCATAATAATCTAAACCCTTCTTCTGTGAAAAACCTCTTATTACAAGTCTGGCTTTGTATTTATCAATCGATCCGTCAGGATTCGTCTTGATCTTAAAAATCCACTTGCTTGAGATCGCTTTTCTGCCCTTGGGTAAATCTACCATTTCCCATGTTTCATTTTCTTTTAGAGAAATAATTTCATTATCCATTGCCTTTTTCCATTCATCAAAATCTTTAGATGCCATCACTTCTTGAAATGTACTTGGCTCTTTTCGATTTTCATCGCTTATCGAATTGCCATTCATACAAATGTTGCAAATGAAGTCTTTGTATCTAGCCGGTGGCCTGAGATTTGATCGGTCTCGTAGCGTCATCCTGCCTTCAGCCTCGATCTCAGATGCAGATAAAGACGAATCGTCTCTACGGTCTGGCCTCGATTCATTTATATCGTTGACTTGACGATCTGTCTCGATTACATCGCTAACCTCTTCTTCGGATATAGGCTCGTAAAAGGATTCCTCCGCCTCTAAAAATGTTTCAGCCTCTGGCACGTCATCTTCACTCGCAGTTTCAATCTCTGCACATGATGATTCTGCAGCATGTTCATCTTGCTGAGAAGACGATGCGATACTTTCATCATGACTTGTCAATGTCTGCTGGATGTTGCTCGTGTCGGCCGGCGTGTAACATTCATGCTGACGAGGAATGACGAAGTCAAACAGGGTGTTGGAATTTTTATCAGCAGTTTTGTTCTGATTGGCAACAGGCTCGTCAATCTCTTCAAAGTGACCCAATAAAGGATTCTCATTAAAAGTGACATCTCTGGAACGAATCAGTTTGAAAGAGTTGCTGTCCCAAATACGGTAGCCATTGTCAGAGTCATATCCAATTAATATTCCTTTTTGTGCCTTCTTGTCTAACTTCTTTCGTCTTTGCTTGGGAACATGTGGATAACAAATGGATCCTATTATTCTTAAATGACTCAGTCTGGGTTTCTTCTGGTGCCATAACTCATACGGTGATTTTCCATCCACAGAGGTTGGGCCTGTTCTGTTTAAGATGTACACCGCAGCAGATATCATTTCAGCCCAAAGTGCAGGAGGAATTTTTGCATGTGCGTACATTAGACTCCGCGCCATTTCCACAACGGTCCTGTTGTCTCGCTCTGTTGGATTTTGTTGTGGCGTATAGGGCATTGTCAATCTTTGCACAATACCTTCCTTCTTGAGAGTAGCTTGTACCTTCGCGTTGACAAACTCACCACCGTTGTCGCTAAGGAGTTCTTTTATGACAACTCCTGATGCTTTTACTTCAGTAAGCATAAGTAGCAATTTCGCGTGTACTTCAGCTTTTTCCCTCATAAAATACACAAATCTGTACCTTGTATAATCATCTTTGAAGAGAACAAAATATCGCAACTTTGTGATAGAATATGGGAAGGGTCCACAAACATCAGCATATACAAGTTCTCCAGGTCTCGTTGCTTTCTCTCGGGTCCCAAACTTAAGTCTATGGGATTTGCCATAGATGCAACCTTCACAGAGTTCCTTGGTTACTGGTACTTTTATATGAAACTCATTTTCAATCACCTTCTTCACATGGCTTTTATTTTGATGTCCAAATCTTTCATGATATAGCTGTAACAAATTTGTGTTTGTGGACACCTGATTGACTCGTACAGTTGGTTCCAGACATCTTATTTTAATTTTAAAGAGTCCTCCAAACTTGCTGCGGGTGCCAATCAGCTTTACCTGTCCATCAATCTTTAGTGTACATTTTAGTGTGGTAGATTCAAAAACACTGTTGTCAGATATGTCGTGGGTTGCAAGTACTGAAAATAAATTCCTGCTAATGCTGGGTACGTACCAGACATTCTTCAGTAGTATCGGTATTGCATTTCCGTTTACATCAGCCTCTGCAAGAATATTTCCGATGCCTAGGGCTTCAATATATTGGCCATTCGCGCCAGTCACTGTATGACGGCTCTTGAAATATTTGAAGGTCTGAAAGAGATCATTTCGATTGGTAACATGATTGGTAGCCCCATTATCAATGAACCAATTCTCTAAATCTTTCCTTTCTCCAAAATCAGCCGAATCTATTGTCATAACAGTCAGGTTCGTGTTTGCGGTCTTGGTTTCCTTGGGCGGCCTTCCATCTTGGATCCACCGCTTACAATTTCTAACTCTATGTCCCTTTTCCTTGCAATAATTGCATTTAGGCTCGTTAAAATTCTTCTTTTTCTTACCCTTATTTGTTTTTGTATACAAAGCTTCTGCACTAGTCTCCTCTGTGACATTTGTGTCTTGACGCAGGACTCTCTCTTGTGCACACAATTGACTTGTCAGATTTTCAACTGATCTTTCCATTTTTGAAATCAACAGCCAACTGGACTTAAAACCAAGATATTCTGGAGGTAATGTATCTAGTATCTTGCATATTAAAAGAATTTCAGGTAATTTTGTTTCACTCTGCAATTCCGTACATAGCTCGCTCCAAATATTCTTTAAAATTGACACATGTGTAATTATGTCATGTTCTGGGTCCTTTTTGTAACTGAAGAATTTCAGGCATAAGTTGTATGTCTTGTCTACACACGTACCTCCATAGGTGCGCTCTAGCTCATCCCACATATCTTTAGCAGAATCAAATCGCAAAAACTTTTGTAAAATATCATCTGACATATTTGTTGTCAACAGAATTAAAATTGCGCTATTCAAATTTTCAAAACTTTGGAGATCTTTTTCATAACTAGCCTTTGCATCGCCCGTAGCCGAAAGCGCCAAGGATGGTCTTACCTTCTTCCCTTCGAGGATGAACATGCCTCCTGGTATTGCCTTTAGCACGATTAGAATTTTGAATCTCCATGTTTTATAATTATTGGAATCTAGTTTCCCAATTTGAATCTTACTCGCATTTAATGCTTGCTCCATTGTTTACGCTCTGCTACCACTTTAATATAATAAAATAAAACATAATATGGAAAGCAAGTTTCTGTTATTGACAAATTTATTCTTGACTACAAAATTAACAACAGTTGCTAGGTAACATCATCATATTAAAGATAGACAATTTGTAACTGATGTATATAACCTTCTTAACATATACAACCTATTCTATTCTTATTATGATAAACTCCTATTTAACCGACTCTTGATCTAGTAGTAAGTAAGCTAACGCTAACAACCTAACCTGTACCTCAGGAGTCACAAACGTGTTGCCAGCCTTTTAGGAAGGAGTACACCTTTTTCTTAAAGGTTTGAATAAAGGTTGTATCGGTCTGGAAATACCGCATCTCTCTACATTATATATGTAGATAAATTACACCCAGACATGAATTTAGTAACCTCCTTTCTAAGGAGAGGCCTATGTCCAGTGGACTATTAAAGGCTGTTAATGAATGAATGAATGATGATGAATTTAGTAATTTATAACTATGTTAATCACCACTCTGGTTACTATAGCAAGTGCTAAGCCTAATTTGGGATAAGACGGCTGTATGTATGTATGTAACAAATTATTTTTATTGCTGATAGTAGGCTGATGCAATATCTACTGATTGACAGATAGATCAGTCTTAACGCTTAGAACTTTAATTTAGAAGGAGTATACCTAAAATACGCTAATAGCTACGGATTTTAAACATAATTATATATAAAAGAAATACTACTTTACACAATCACTAAAACCTTACCCAAATTTTAGAAACGATGATGGTTATTTACAAATGGTAATAATACTGTTATGTAGCGTTATTAAAACTAACAAGATTATTTTGTTGAAACACTTACTCGTATTTTTCCTTAACTGTCGCCGCACCATAATATAAGGCTATAACACCTACAACAGACTTTTTCCAATTATTTCGAATGGTTTTACCAAATTTTACAACTTTCTCCATTTTAGATTTTTGATTATTTAATTTATAATAACATATAAAGATAAATTTCGAGGTTAAAAATCAGCTGTTACGTTTTACGTTTGCAGCTGAATCTGGTCTGGTGAAATAATTAGTGAAAATTTTGAAATTTCCCTCTAGTGTTGCCAAGTTCATTAATCTATTACGTTTAAAAACTTTTAACAAAAGGAAGAGCGTTAAAATCTGTCGCGATAGTATAACGTGCTTGTTCATCCTTTGCCATGAGCGTTAATTAAAATTTCACAGTATAATAATATTTTTTTCAGGTAACCAAGACTCGTTTTTGTTACTAACAGAAACAGCCTGTAGTATGTTAGTAAAAATACCCAAATTGCTTATAGGAGTTACACTACTACGCATGTGTAAAATGATTATCAGGGTGGCGGCGACAATTAAGACACTTTAAATCCACACGCAATAATATATTCTCTTTAATACACGTTAGGACGGGTAGAATACGAATGACCCGAAATATGTTAACCGTCGGTATTTATACAATCATCTTGGCCTATTTTAACACAAACTTAATAGGTAACATTGTTTATCTTAATTATCCTGTTGATTATTTACGTACAATTATTATTTAATAATATTAAATTATATAACATAAATAACATTAAAGGTTTATTGCGCCAGAAGCTGTCAAGCGGAAGGCGCTAATAAAATATTATAAGTATACCTAAATGAATCAACTATTTACTTGATTACAAAATTACTAACTATATTATAAAACAATAATAAGTTCTATATATTGCCTAATTATTAGGATGTACCTGAACTAGTTCGTAAATAATGGCTCACGTATTATGTGAGGCCGGAAGTGTTACTCGATAACACATGTCACTGTTGCGCAACCCACAGGCAAATTACACAAAAGTGATTCACGTTGATTGAATAATAAGAGATGAATAAGATGTAGGCAGTCGTAATTATCATGATATCATTGTATTTTTTCGCTCTAATTAAAAAGACTAATATTTTCAAATTTATTAAGTTAAATTACAGACACAAAATTGTGTTAAACGATTCTAAGGTAATTTACCTCGTTATTTAAGATATAACTTCAGGCCAGTTAACACCACAGATTTGCTACAGTTTAGGCATTTTTTGTTATTAGCAAAAAACTATGCGAACCAAAAATAAATACCTTACTAAAAATAATACTTAAAACTTTCTTTCTCCTTTGCTTTGCTACTGGTACTTTATGCAGAATTTATTTACCTATGTAGGTGGCCATTTGGCCGGTGTTCTATCAACACGTTTTGTAACTCAGTTTGCCACTAAACCCTCTGGAATCATGTCACTATAAAAAGTGATGCCCTTTTCACTCGAATGCATCTGTGTGGTGACGGATCAAGAATACGGAGTGTCACCAACCCTATTCATCTCATAGGTGCAAGAGCCGACTAAGGGAGCAAACTACTCAGGACAACAGTACTGCAAAGAGAAGAAAAACTTGCAAAAGAATATGCAATAAATTAATGATCAACAGTGTATGACATATTGCTAATCGTTACAATTATAAATAAAGAAATTAACACAATTATTTAACTTCGTGTAGGTACTCATACAAGTGAAAGTCTGAAGTGAATTTACTAATTAGTTATATTTTATTTTAGAACCTTTCGAAGGTTTAAGCTTTGCTACTTCAATAACAAGGTCTTTGTTGCGACTGTTTGATTTAAAAATGTACATCTATAAAGTTACTTCACTATGGTAGCGGGAGGGTTGTTTTAAAAAATAATGAATTTAAACCATATGTCCATGCATTAAAGTTATAAATTGTAGTATATCCTAATCTTGTGCATTTCAAGTAAAAACCAGAGACAAGACACAAATTGATTTGTCAAATAAATATCTTTATTTTTCGTTTTGTGATGTGTAAATGATATTTATTTATTATATTCTTTAAAAATCGTCATGAACTCTGATAAAAAAGGGCAGATTAAATTGTCCGATGGTTGGGTAGTTTGTTCATCAAAATCAAATCCCGGCAGAAAGTATTATTTCAATAAGAGGACAGGAAAATCTTCATGGAGTCAACCACAGGTGAATTTCGTAATTTTTGAACTGTACTTAATTTTTTACATCAAAACTGGTTTGTAATATCATAAGCGAGATCTTTGTAATATTACGTTGTAATTTTTGAATAATATTTTTCTTGCTTTTGTCGTAATATTTTATTTCTACTTTCCAAGGCTAATGAGAAGTCTGATAGGAAACCTAAGAGTAAAAAAGAGAAAGTACACAGAGACAAATGTAAAAAAGAGGAGTTGCAAAAGAAAAACTTAAAAAGAAAAAATGAAGGAGTAGAAGAACAGAGTTCAAACAAGAATAAAAAGCAGAGAAAAGGTGAGCTGGTTTGTGTTATAATCATCATCATCATCATCATCATCAACAGCCTTTAACAGTCCACTGCTGGACATAGGCCTCTCCTTAGAAAAGAGGTTTTAGCCTACTATACCACGCTGGCCAGACGGGTTGGTATAGGGTTTGTGTCAAGTTTTCCTTCTTTTTGCAATGCTGGTGTCCTGCATTGTTTTGCGCCCTTAGTCGGTTCTTACGACAACCACGGGATGAATTGGGGTAGTGACATTCCGTATTCTTAATCTGTCACTACACGGACAGTCTGTTTGTGTTATGATTATATTTAATTTCTTATTATTAGGGTAATACATACATTCAGTTTTTTTAGTATATGAAATATCCTTATTATCTGTACATGTACTGTAATATACAGGTCCCAGATGTCGACATCAAACTGTAACCGGATAGGCCATCATAATAGTGACCAGGAAAATGTAAAATATTTATAAGTATACATTTAAAAAAAAAAAAACAAGAAAATCGCACCACCCATACGCCACTACACTACAATACACACTCTGATGGTCTTTTCTATACTTTTGTTAGTCTTAACTTTTCCATATTTTTGAAGTGAAAAGTTCTTTAGGCGAGTTGGGCATTTTTGAACAACAATTAAAAGAATGATTATTTTAAGATGGAATAGAAACATTGAACTCGTGGGCAAAAACCTTTGAACTCGGGAGTGTCACAATCACTATTCATCTCGTTTGTATCGTAAGAGGCGACTAAGGGAGCAAACTACGTAGGACAACAGCACTGCAAAGAAAAGGAAAACTTAAAACAAACTCTATACTAACCCGCCAGCATGGTATAGTAAGCCATAACCTCGATTTTAGTGAGGTCTTTTAGTCTACGTAAGGCTGTTGATGATGATGATGATGATGATGACATCAAATATTGAGTAGGGAGCCAAATCTAAAAAGACAGAGTTTTCTAATGTAACAATAAGAACATCAGGGCAAATTGTAAATCAACTAACTTTAGTGAAAATAGCATATGTTTTGAAACTGGAAGGTGCTTTCCATTTCAAGCACTAGTTGCTAAATGTCAAGACTATTACTAACGAAATGTAGCCCAATCAATATACTGTAACTACTGAAATTGATTTAAAAAAATAATTGTTATTATTTAAAAAAAAACTTAAGAATTGTTAAAAAAGAATAAGGATTGTAATATACTACTTGTTGAATCATTGAAATTATATGTTTTTTACATATTAACATCATAACAGTTTTCATATTACATATACAGCTAAATCTTTTGATTATAATTTATTTTTAAATAATGTTTTAACATCCCCACACTTTTTATAGCTGAACATTATTTTCATTTCAATTTCCATTCACATTTCTTATCTATAGCTAAACCAAGTTAATCTTAAAAACAAATATAAAATCCATTTATATTTAATGTTATCTATAATTTTTTCAGAGACTTCACACCTCACAATACCTCAGAAATATAAAAATAAGAAAGAATCAGCAGTAACTGCATCAAGCAGTTCAAAATCAGCACATAGTAATTTAAAACCTTCACCTAGTAACACTAAAGCTACTGTTAAAACCACACCCACCAGTGCAAAGAAGACTGTTCCAGAAAATATACAGACACCCATTAAAAATGCTGCAAATCAAAGACTTTTACAACTTAGAACCCGATTATCTGCAGACATTCAAGATGATAGTAGCAACAGCAATGAAAAATCACCCATCAAAGCGAAACAAAAGATTAGCCCAAAACCACAATCAATTGAAACTAAAAATGCAAAGATTGAAAACAAAAGTCCGAATGTTAATGATGCAAAATGCACAGCAACAACACAGTCTCCGAGCAGTGACAGCTTACAATCAATTCCGTCTCCCTCCCAATTTTTTGCAGCCAATAAAATTATATCGTCAATGAAAGCCCAGCTACCTGAAGAATACTGTGATAAAGCAAAACAGAAAGACACATTTGCGGATATCGAACAGGGTATTTGTAATCAGACATCAGAATATCCTTATATGAAGCATCCGGCCACACCGCCTCAGTTTTCCGAAGCCAGCAAGCTAGTCTCCGCTATAAAATCAAAGTTAACGAAAGTGGTTTCTAAAGAAACTACCGTAACGTCGTTCTCGTCAGCTAATGAGAGGTTAGCAGCCCTACGAACAAGTCTGAATAACGAAAGTATGGAAATCATCGAAAGTGATAACTCTTTGGTTATAAATAATGAAGAAAGATGTACTACTGAAGCTATGGATGTGGACTGTAAGGAGGTTTGTCTTTTTACATGTTTATTTAATAGCACTAGGTTTGTCACGAAATGAAATGCGCTTTGACTGCACGGATGGCGTAGTGGTTTAAGCGGTCGCCACGCCGCTTCCTACTACGTCGAGTGTTGTGGGTTCAAACGCCACATGGGACGACACTTTGAGTGATCCACAAATTGTTGTTCTGAGTCTGGGTGTTCTTTGTGTCCGTTTCATGTATGTTTGTAAGATTCCTAATGCGGGATATTTTCCTAATGCGGGAGTTGTCTTATTAAAAAAAAAATATGTAAAACAGCTATTTACCATAACGTGCCTGTAGCAGGCCAGGTCTACTTGGCACTTTTGCCACCTTGGCAGATAGGGCAGCAATAAGAGTAATGCGATAAAAACTTCTCGTAATTCATTTGGCTACCTGAACTGCACTTTTTTGCGTCATAGCAAGAGGCACTATTTATTTAAATAATATATTACGTAGTCGGTGCCTGCTGATACTTGCGTATTTATCATTTTATTAACACCAGACGGCAATAGAGTACCTGTATATGTGTGTGTCTACGTATCTATGTGTCTGCGTATCTGTGTGTCTGCGTGTCTTTGTGTCTACTTATCTGTGTGTCTGCATATCTGTGTGTTTGCGTATCTGTGTATCTGTCTGTGGCATCAGAGCTCCCGAATGGATGGACTAATTTCGACGCGGATTTTTTTGTTTGAAAGGGAGCGTTCAAGTATTACGTAACGCAATATTTGAACCCCCCCTCCCCCCTTGTAACGCACCGTAACGTTTTTCTGTACCCCCCTCCGCATATATGCATATTATTGATGTAACTACGATTTAACGCCACGTGATCGGTGATTTGAATTTTTTTTACTCTCAAGTAGAGCATATCTACGCTCGCGCTTAAGGCATGCAAAAAATGACGACCAGACTAATACAATCGAGGGATTCCCCGTAACGTAAATAAAAAGGGTTGCCAGTTTGCGAATTTTAATTCCCTAATTTTTTAGAAACAATGTTACGTAACGTGTTGCAAGAAAGACCCCCTCCCGCCCCTGTAACGCATCGTAACGTTTTACGAGACCCCCCCCCCCCCAAATTGCGTTACGTAATACTTGAACGCTCCCAAAGCTGATATGCTCGAGATGGTTCTTACCTATAAATTTTGAAGATCATCACTTCTGAGGTGATGAAGGGATCTCACTAAAATAGTTCCAATTGATCTGAAATTTTGGTATACTGTTACTTTGATAGTATTTCCACGACATGGTAACCTGGTACTTGCTGCTGCATCAAGTAGTTTTGTCGGGGTTCGTTTAATTTTTAAATTGATTATTATCTATGAAACTGAAAGTTCACCAGGCAAGACAGTAAATAGTTTAAAATGTGTATATGTTATAAAGTTATGCAGAATTGTTGTATTAATATTTTATTTCATCTTTTCCAGCTGCCACCAAAACAAACACCACCTTTAGTGAATTGTGCAAAAGATAATGTAAACAGTAACTTGGTTTTAGTTGTAGACACAAATATATTTATACATGAGCTGGATGTTATCAAGAATGTGCTTAATTCTAATATTAAAGGTAAACTCTTCTCATTCAACTCTTCTTAGTCTCTTCTTCTATTCCATCTTTTCTTTTTCTCGTTATTTTAAGATTTTATTTTACAGACTGACAAATACTAATAATTATTATTATTACCGTGTGTAGACCTTATCACATCCCTGCTAATATTACAGTTAGGACTGATTACAAATATGTACTCTTAGCCTGCTCCCTTTAAGTAGGTTATCCTTGCTCATCTTCAGTTCAAGATATCCCGAAATATCTCGGGTCTATTTGTGTTTGCACTCATGGAGTCCGAATATCATGCAGTAATCTGATGTCTGGTGTATCTTCTGTGATATCAGAGAGCACCAGTTTCAAATACTTAGTGCTTTTTATCACGGGATAGACACAAGTCTTTGACTTTGGTGTCTTCAATCTATTTCAGTCTCAGTGCTGTGTCCCTATACCAAAAAAATATCGTAATGCAGCATCACATGCAATGATTAAATTGTTTTTAACTTGCATTATGTTATTCATATCTATCTATCTTCTATCTATATATTATATAAGAGATTTCCACGTATATAGTCACTCATCACGATATCTCTGGAACCATTAGAGCTAAAGACTTGAAATTTGGTAGGAATATTCTTTTCACCGAGTAGAGGTCAGCTAAGAACGGATTTTACGAAATTCAAAAAATAATAATAATAATTTTTAAATAATGTAAATAGCAAAACAACGTTTGCAGGGTCAGCTAGTATATATATAAGAGATTTCCACGTATATAGTCACTCATCACGATATCTCTGGCACCATTAGAGCTAAAGACTTGAAATTTGGTAGGAATATTCTTTTCAACGAGTAGAGGTCAGCTAAGAACGGATTTTACGAAATTCAAAAAAAAAAATAATAATTTTTAAATAATGTAAATAGCAAAACAACGTTTGCAGGGTCAGCTAGTATATATATAAGAGATTTCCACGTATATAGTCACTCATCACGATATCTCTGGCACCATTAGAGCTAAAGACTTGAAATTTGGTAGGAATATTCTTTTCAACGAGTAGAGGTCAGCTAAGAACGGATTTTACCAAATTCCACCCCAAGAGGGCTGTGCGGGGGCGTAGAAAATTAAAATTTTTTTTTGGCAAAACAACGTTTGCAGGGTCAGCTAGTAATAATATATATGTTATACATATCTGTGAATTGCCTTATGTTTGGACCAGGTTGCACTGGCTGTGTTCATAGCCTGACTCACACTAATTCCCGTATATGGATGGAGGCAAAAGTTTAAAAGTTAGTATCACAAGGAATAAATTTGTGGCTTCCTTTCATCAGGTTACGCAGAGCAGCCGACATTGCTGGTGCCATGGAGGGTAGTGAACGAGTTGGACCGGTTGAAGGACAACAATAATTGTAGTGGAGCTATTTGGAAACGTGCCCGACTAGCCATGGATTATCTCTACAAATCGATACCAGAAAACAGCAGGATCAGAGGTATATATTGATTTATAAACATACTACTTTTGTCCATCCGCGTTAAGAAAATAGTAACGCATTGACCAAGCCCCGCCCCCTGACCAATCAGGTTCCAAGAAATTATCGTTTCGTACGGAAACTTCAAGTTTCAACTTTACCGATATCCGTCTGGGAAAAGTAGAGACGAAAGGACGTATCTGCTCACCTGCGGGATGTGAATAAGATATGAGTGTGTGTTTTATTATTTCACCGACATCGGTGTGGGTTGAACGTTCACTCAATAGATTATTTACTCTAATTTACGTAGCTAGCTATTACGTAACATGTAACTGTTAAATGACCCATTAAATAATATAATAAAATATTTTACCACATTCACACAACGCCATCTAGTCCCAAACTAAGCAGAGCTTGTACTATGGGCACTAGACAACTGATATAATTACATATATACTTTTTTTTGTAAATACATACTTATTATACATAGTAACACCCAGACCAAATCCAACATTAAATGTTCATGCACACAAATGTTTGAATTGAGCGGGAATCGAACCCGCGATGGATTAGCAGTCCATTACACCAACCACCACGCTATCTGGTCGTCCAAATAAAAATGTATGTGTGTGTGTTATATTACATAGAAGGTGTCTACTTCAGGTCAGCCGCTTCGAGATGCAAACTCTCACATTTACCCTTGCGAATCACCAGACGACGAGATCCTGAATTGCTGTCTGCAGCAGGCTGAGAGGGGGAAATCTGTGGTGAGTATTTCTATGACTTTTTATCGACAAACTGACCACGACGCCTTAGAGTGGTCCGACTTAGGCCTTTTTTTTACGTGTGGAAACCTCCTCGGGCCGTCACCCTACCGGAGTTTGCGGCGGGGTGGTGTGTCGGAATCGGACCGACTAAAAACACCCGGTGTTCCAATTTGCGCCTGTAATAAGAGGATTATTAGGACATCCGGACCCCACCTAGCGCCTGCCCGCAACGGCGCGGGCACGACCTTCGGGTACATCGACGTCCGACACACGCTATGGCGGGTGGAGGGGTACACCCATCCCGTACACACGCAGCCACCCTCAGGGCGGCATGAGGCGCTGCCGCCGCCCGGTTCGACGGCGACGGATTGGGTCCGAGTGGAGGTTCTCCTCGCGGGCCTTCTCCGCCGCCTACTTCTGCGAGATGATAGCGAGTGATAGTACAATAACATAGTAAAATGAAGCTGTTCTGATGACGGAGCCGGAAGACAGCCATAGGAATTTCTTAACTAAGCAAAGATAATCCTATCGAGCTTGAGCTCATTTGTTTTGTCTTTTTAAACAATTAAATTTAGTATTGAATTGGCAAAAAAACACAACCCAAGCAGTACTTACTTTGGTAAGTGGTAATCAACCGAAGTGGTATTCATATTACACACAGGTTTAACGTCTAATTAGCAGTAGAAATATGTCTGGACCTGCAAAGTTTCCTGTATAGTGCAAGTTATTAAATAAATAATATCGTACCACATTCACACAACGCCATCTAGTCCCAAACTCAGCAGAGCTTGTACTATGGGTACTAGACAACTGATATAAATACATATATACTTTTTTTTTTGTAAATACATACATTTTATATACAGAAACACCCAGACACAATCAAACATTAAATGTGCATGCACACAAATGTTCAGTATCCATTATATGTTCAGTTCCAAATTTAAACATGCATAGAATTAAAAAAACAGGCAGATATAAGGACTGCCGACAGAACAATTCAACAACGCGTCGCTAGTCTGGTGCAATACTGAGTTAACTACAGAAAGTATCACTTCAAAATTAGTAGGTTAGGTCAGTTGATCTCCCTATCCTGGTGGCCGGTATTTCGAAGAGGCTTTACCGTACACTTAAGACCCATACCTCTTCGGAATACTACAGTCCTTGTCCCACTTCCACATCCGTGACTTTATTTTTCCTAGGTCCCTTGCCATATATTTTTTCCTTCATCATCAACAGCCTTTAATAGTCCACTACTGGACATAAGCCTCTCCTTAGAAAGGAGGTTTTGGCCTACTATAACACGCTGGCCAGACGGGTTGGTATAGGGTTTGTGTCAAGTTTTCCTTCTCTCTGCAGTGCTGTTGTTCTGCGTAGTTTGCTCCCTTAGTCGGCTCTTACTACACCCACGGGATGAATAGGGGTGGTGACACTCTGTATTCTTAATCCGTCACCACACGGACCATTTTTTTTTTCCTTACCACAATTTATCTTCTTTCTTTGTCCGTTCTGAAGACGATTACATTCCCAATGAGGGTTGGCGTCAAGCATGCGGTCGACCATAAGAGAAACCACAGTTAGAATGAGATGGACAATTGTCACGTTAAATCAGTTTCTTTTCTATTGAATGTCGAACGATAGACACATCTTCTGTTTATATCTATATATATGTAAAATATAACGGGCCTGTTGGTCGAGTGGTTAGTGCCCCTGACTGCTAAGCCGGAGGTCGTGGGTTCGATTCCCACCCAGGACAAATATTGTGTGATGAGCATGATCATTTGTTCTGTGTCTGGGTGTAATTTATCTATAATATGTATGTATTTAAAAATATATAAGTATGTTTATCAGCAGTCTGGTCACCATAGCACAGGCTCTGCCTAGTTTGGGATCAGACGGCCGTGTGTGAAATGTGTGAGGTATATTATTATTATTATTATAAATTGACTGGTTGACTCAATGACTGATCGATCAACGCACAGCTGAAATCGTTGGACCTAGAAGCATGTAATTTTGCAGAAATGTTCTCTAAATTACGAAAATGTGTACTAAAAAAAGCATTTTGAAAATTAAAGAGAGGGTTGAAAGCCTGCTTCTGTAAAAAAATACTGAAGCGTGACGTCACACCTAGCCTTGTCAAATCACCTTTCTTTATTAAAACATAATGTTATTTTGAAGGTGCACTGCAAGGAGAAGGAAAACTTGAAACATACCCTTTTTTTTTTATCGTGTGGAAATCCCCTCGGACCGTCACCCCGCCGTTGCTCTCGTTCGGCGGGGCGGTGTGTCGGACTCGAACCGACTAAAACCACACGGTGTGCCCTCTTTGCGCTTCCAGTTTACGACCCCTCCTAGCGCCGGCCCGCTCCTGTTGCGGGCTCCGTCTCAAAATTTTTTTCCTCTCTTTAGGCGACGTCCGGCACACGCGGACGCCGCCCCCTCGCGGTTGGCCAACTAATGCGGGTGGAGGGGAAACCCACCCCGTCCACCCGCGGCCACACTCAGGGCGGCATGAGGCGGTGATAGGCGCGCCTCCGCCGCCCGGTTCGCCGGCGGCGGATCGGGTCCGAGTGGAGGTCGTCCTCCCGGGCTTTCTCCGCCGCCTCCTTCTGCGAGATTACCTCCTCGCAGAAGGTTGCGACCGCGGTAAAACAACTGTCGCTACCGGCCATGGAGCGAATTACGGCCGGTAGCGAGAGATCTGCTCCGATGACTGCAGTGAGGGCCCGGCGCTGCGTCGCCCATGCGGGGCAAACGGCCAGCGTGTGCTGGGCCGAGTCCTCACTGCAGTCGCAGTGTTGGCAGGCGGGACTCGATTCCCTCCTAGCGACCGAGTACAGGTACTTTCCGAAGCAACCGTGCCCGAAAAGCACCTGCGTCAGCCGGAAGGAAAGGGTGCTGGCGCCCTGCCCACTCGGCGAGCACTTCCGCCTCCAAATCCCACGGGGGTGTTCCGGCCAAGGCGCAAGCCGCCTCGGTGGACACAGTGCGGTATCCGCGTATGGCTCTGACCGCCAATATCCTCTGAGGGCGCCAGAGGCGCGCCCTATTCGGGGCGGTCAGAGCCGCCACCCACACCGGTGCACCATAAAGCGCCATGGACCTACAACCCCCGCGTACAGCCGCCTCGTGGGAACACTGGCCCCGCCCAAATTGGGCAAAAGTCGCCCTTGGGCGGAGGCAGTGTCCACCAGCTTCGGACCAAGCTGTCGGAAGTGCTCGTCGAAGAGCCACCTACCGTCTAAGACCAGACCCAGGTACCTCATCTGGGCCCGGACCGGTACGAGGACCGAGCCGACCTCGATTGAGGCGCCGGCGGGTGGACCACGACGGGGCCCATGAAATAGTAGGGCCTCCGTCTTATCCAGGGCCACCCGTAATCCCAACGCCTCAATGCGCCCGACCACCTGGGAAACTCCCGTGGCGGCCAGGCGCGCCGCCTCCTGGAAGTTTGCCCCCCAGGCCGTGACTAAAGTGTCATCCGCGTAGCAGATTACACCCAGCCCGGGGGGGAGACGCCCTCGTAGGGCCCAGTCGTACCCGATGTTCCACAGGAGAGGTCCTAGGACAGACCCCTGCGGAACACCGCACGACATGGCCCTGCGTCTCAAGACACCATCTCGGTCCTCGTACATGACGGTTCGCTCATCAAGATAGTCTGCCACCAGCCGCCTCAGGTACTCCGGCACTCCGTGGTAGCGGAGCGCTTCCCTGATGCAGCTGAATGACAGACTATTGAAGGCGTTGGCGATGTCCAAGGACACCGCCAACACCACTCCACCGCAGCTCACGGCCTCCTCGGTCACGGCCCTAAGGCGCATTACGGCATCGATCGTCGAACGCCCCTCCCGGAAACCGAATTGGGCGTCCGACAGATCGGGGCCAACCTCGCAGAGGTGCCGGACGATGCGGGCAGAGAGCACCCTCTCAAAAAGTTTACCCGCCTCGTCCAGCAACACGATAGGCCTATAGGCCGCGACCGAATCGGTAGGCCGTCCCGGCTTCCTCAGCAGGACCAGCTTCCCGCACTTCCAGCGCTCAGGGAAGCGTCCGGACGCCAGGCTAGCGTCCAACACCCCCCTGAGGTGGTCCGACATGTAGAACTTGAAACAAACCCTATACCAACCCGTCTGGCCAGCGTGGTATAGTAGGCCAAAACCTTCTTTCTAAGAAGAGGCCTATGTCCAGCAGTGGACAGTATTTAAGGCTGTTGGTGTGTGTTGGTGAAGGTCTAAAGTAATAAAAATTATATTATGATGACGATTGTTACACTTCTTTGTTTATTCCAGATTCTACTATCAAATGACAAGAACCTATGCAGCAAAGCGTTAATAAATAACATAAAGAATATAGGTCTGAATGAAATAAAGGGTCTGCTGGAGAACAAGCCTCAGAAGTCAGACCCAAACTTGTATGACAATCTCAAGCATTATCAGGATACAATATATCAGCTGTTGGCCAATATTTTAGAGGTAAGATTTTGTTACCGATAAATTTAAGGTATGTGGTATACTGGGGATACACTTAAAGTTTCGAACTCAAACGGTGTACTTTATCAAGCACTGGCGCGTCCAGCCAGGTTAGTGTGAAGCGCCCTGTTATCATCAGATCACATATATATAGTGTCTGAGTACTGAGAGTAATCTATACAAATAAATAAAATTGGAGTGTCTGTTTGTAATATTAAAATAACCGCTTTTTACTAAATTCATATGTATTTTTACACGCTACATATGCCAAAATAACTTTTTTTTCAATTTTTGTCTGTCTGTCTGTCTGTTTGTTCCGGGTAATCTCTGGAACGGCTGGACCGATTTCGACGGGACTTTCACTGGCAGATAGCTGATAACATAAGGAGTAACTTAGGCTACTTTTTTTAGACTAGCTTCGCCCCGCGGCGTTGCCCGCGGTTATAACAACAAACGCGGGTAACACCGCGGGTCTCAGCTAATTGTAAAATAAAACGGTAAATAAAAGTCCATGACATTTAAGTGGTTTTGAGAGAGAGAGGTAGGGCGGGAGGAGAGAGACAGAGAGAGAAAGAGAGAGAGGGAAAGAGAGTGTTCGTGGGTCATTGCCGTTGATCCCGTGGTAAGCGTGTGGGAGGGATTAATTCCGTTAGTGTAAAAATACATTTATATTAGTTTAGAATAGACTTTTTCTTAGAAATAAAGCAATAAAAAGTCAATGTTATGGCATTTACAGAAAAGGATAGCAATATATAGTTTCATAGTATATGGTTAAAATGGCAGGTTATTGCACATTGGGTACAGATATGGTTAAAATAGAAGGCTATTGCACATTGGGTACAGATTTAATGTAGTAGTTACGTCAGGTTCTTGACAAAGTTGTTGCTTAAGAATTTCATTTTCATGCGAGTTTAATGTTGCTAATTTACCCCTAAGGACCGCCGTGTGACATTAAATAACCTAAATCCTTCTTTAAGAATAAGATTTATTCGAATCCCAGTTGGATTTAAACTTGCTAAATTGAAACTGCTAGTTTATGATGAATAAGCTTCATAAATTAATAATGAAAAATTTGTCTTCTAAAGATACAAGTGCTTATACTAATAGTTTTATTCATTTACAGAATGAAATGCGAGCGAAATATAACAATTTATGGCAGCATATTTTATTTAAAGCACCACCCTGGACGTTGGACGATGTGCTCCAATGTTTGCTCAAACATTGGATAGCCGTGTTCAATGAAGTGTTCCCAAGGATAGAACATTTGTTCAAAGACTTGAAGAACAATCTGGCGTGTGTTGAAAGTAAAAGTAAGTGTTTATATGCTATAGAATTAATCTTTGATTACATCGTAAGGACAAATTTTGACTGCACGGATGGCGTAGTGGTTTAAGCGGTCACCTCGCCGCTTCCTACTACACCGAGTGCTGTGGGTTCAAGCCCCACATGGGACGACACTTTGTGTTATCCACAAATTGTTGCTCTGAGTCTGGGTGTTCTTTGTGTCCGTTTCATGTATGTTTGTAAAGTCCCCCGCGACACAGGAATGTATTTCTAATGCGGGAGTTGTCTTTTTATAAAAAAAAAAAATCATCATCAGCTCAGCCGTCCACTGCTTGACATTCGCCTCCCCAAAGGCTCTCCACAACAACCTGTCCTGTATTGCCCCCATCCAATGGCTTCCCGCGACCTTCATCAAGTCGTCGGTCTACCTTGTAGGCCTGCCCACTATAAGGGCTGTCACTGACATTGCCCAACTTAAGTGTCAGTGGGCGGGGCACATTGCTAGTATAAAATACGGCTAATGGAGCCAAAAGTTCTGGAGTATGGGAATTGCGTAAATATAATTAATGTACAGTGTTAATGAAGACCACAATTATAATATACTAGCTTTTGCCAGCGACTTCGTCCGCGTGGTGGTCATCAGACATCATGACGACCGAATGGCGTAGTGGTTTGTGTAACGGACTGCTATTCCAAAGGTCGCGGGTTCGATTCCCGCTCAAGTCAAACATTTGTGTGCATGAACATTTAATGTTTGATTTGGTCTGGGTGTTTCTATGTATAATAAGTATGTATTTCCAAAAAAAAAGTATACATGTATTTATATCAGTTGTCTAGTACCCATAGTACAAGCTCTGCTTAGTTTGGGACTAGATGGCGTTGTGTGAATGTGGTACAATATTATTATTATCATAGAGGATACGCTTCTACCAAAAATAACGAAGTTTCACATAAATTTCGAACCCCTATTTTACACCCTTAGGAAAATTTAATGCTTTTAGACCCAGCGGCTGCAGCTGTGCGTTGATTGATCAGTTCGTGAATCAGTCTGACAGTTTATTTTTAAATATATATAATTATTAAAATTAGGTTATAACAATAAATAACTATGGCTTTTAAATAAAACAATAAATATTATTACATATTTCATTACAACGCTATAGTTAATAGGTTAATCTATACTAATATTATAAAGCTGAAGAGGGCTGAGCGCTAATCTCAGGAACTACTGGTCCGATTTGAAAAATTCTTTCAGTGTTAGATAGCCCATTTATCGAGGAAGGCTATAGGCTATATATCATCACGCTAAGATCAATAGGAGCGGAGCACCAATGAAGAATGTTTCAAAAACGGAGAAGATTTATTACTATTGAGAGACGAAGTTGCGCGGGTCAGCTAGTAGTTAATAGGTCTCATGTGTTAAGAATGGTTATCCAACAATAGACATAACATGGCTAGGATTACTTGATATTCTAATCTGTTAACTGACTTGATTATCATCATCATCATCATCATCATCATCATCAACAGCCTATCACAGTCCACTGCTGGACATAGGCCTCTCCTTAGAAAGGAGGTTTTGGCCTACTTGGTTATTACTTGCCATGAACCCCTTAGTTCTTTTACTAAATAATTAAAAATAATAACATATTTTTTTTCTTTAAGGTGCAAATACCCTGTCTGAATCTGAAGTGTCTACCTTCAAAGAGCTTTGTTTAGACATAGCTAGGAAATGTCAGATTATACCGGAGTACATGGAGCTTGCTAAGTTGACTGTGGACCGGCTGCTGCGGAGTCGGACGAGCGAGGAACAGGACGGGAACGGGGAGATGGTGGTTATTGATGCGTTTGAAGGAGTTTGGACCGTTATGTCCAGTTATTGGTGAGTTTTAGTATCTAGGAGTTTTTGTTTCGACTTCTTCTTTTTCATTATTATTAAAAAGATTCTTAGTCTCGGCGGACTTTACTGTCTCAGAACAACAATTTGTAGGTTACACGAAGTTTTGTCCCATGTATTGAGCGAACCCACAACACTCAGCGTAGTAGAAAGTGGCTAGGTAACCGCGTAAAAAAATGCAGCTTGACTGCACGGATCGCTTAGCGGATTAACAAGTAACATCTGCCTCGGTGATGCAGTAGTAGCGTATGCAACTGCTGTGGTTTCGGGTTCGATTCCCGGGTTGGACCAAATGAATCTATGATCTGCAAATATATGTTTCGGAGTTTCGGTGTTTTCTAGGCATGGGACAAAATCACAGTGAACTGTGAAAGACAGGTCGTACGTAGGTTAGGGTTACTACTTACTCGTTAAAATAGCTTATTGGCGTTGTTGCCAATAAGCTGTTTTAAAAAGTTGATGATGCATAAATACTCTATTTTGCCTGTTCATAATCACATAATAATTAAAACATACTAGATATACTGTCAAATGTTTGTGTGTGTTTTCTCTGTATAAAATGTATGTATTTACAAAAAAAAAGTATATAAGTATTCTATCAGTCAACCATACTTTCATAGTATAAGCTCTTAGGCTATAGGCGTATAAGGCTGATTAGTTTGAAAATAGATGGCGTTGTGTGTCAGATGTCCAAAAACAAATCTTTCATCTGTAATCTTTGGGAGGATTTCGTGAAAGGGGACGGAAATGTGTAACACATTTTCGTCCCCTTTGATTTGCCATGTCACCCATCATATGACAATACTGTAACTGGCCTTTTGCTATGCCTTGGAAACAGTACTTTTTATAATGATGAGAGTACCATAAGCTTTTTTCTCTACTCAAAATTTCATAATGATGAATTGGGCAGTTAAAGCGAATTTTCATATAGAGTGACTGTCTAAGCACACTAGGCTGAATTTACGCCTGATTACGCCTGCAATGCTATTTGAATTACTTTACGACACGTATGCCGAAATTACGTCGCGTTATATAGTACAGCCAAACTTCGGTCGGGCGTAAGTTCGGCGACAATGTATTTTAAATAGCAACACATTATACGAAACGGATTTTGGTTAGATTGTCAGGGGTTAACCAGGGGGAGGGCACCCCGGGCCCGGTAGGCCCGCGCCATACCGCCTCAAAAGGAATAACGGAATCCTTCTAATATTACTTTCCGTCTGTTTTAGACAACACTACACGATACCACGATAGCGCCCCAGCTACTGAATTTCTGTCGTATAAAGTGTGTCATATCAGCCGAATACGTCGGAACGTTAAATCAGACGCGGAACTTCGGTCGCGTACCTTCGGCATAGTGTGTTTAGACACTGAAAGTTGGATTAAAAGTGGCTTATCGATTTCTCTTTTATATATATATATGCCATATTTTAAATAATATATTACATTAATTAGTGGTTTTGAGTGCGTGTGATATTTGTATATCTACTATATAAAAATAAGTCGGGTTTTCCTTCCTGACGCTATAACTCCAGAACGCACAAACCGATTTCCACGGTTTTGCATTCGTTGGAAAGGTCTCGGGTTCCGTGTGGTTTATAGCAAAGAAAATTCAGAAAAAATTTCAACAGAAAAGCGGGAAAATCTTTTTTCACATACAGCGCTACAAACTAATATTTTAAGTAGATGGCGCCGGTGCGTGATACATTGTTTGACAGCTACTCATTGTTCTCTGCTCAGTTAATTTCATGTGACAAACCGGTATTGTGTTCACTGTGAAATTGTGAAAAAAAGTAAAAAAAATAAGTTATTCGTTTCCTAACATTTCAATTGGAAACCATCAAATCCATCACGTGTATTGTACAAATTTGAAAATCTTTTTTCACATACAACGCCATCTCTGATACATAGCATGTACTACAAACCAATATTTTAAGTAGATGGCGCCGGTGCGTGATACATTATTTGAGAGCTACTCATTGTTCTCTGCTCAGTTAGTTTCATGTGACAAACCGGTATTGTGTTAACTGTGAAATTGTGAAAAAAAAAGTAAAAAAAATAAGTTATTCGTTTCCTAACATTTCAATTGGAAACCATCAAATCATTGTATTGTGCACATGTATTGTGCAAATTTTTATTTAATTTCAACAGCAGGCATTTGTCTTTAAAGTGGTAAGTTGAACTGTGTAAATTATGTGGATCGTGCATTTGAGGTTAAATTCACCACTCTGTCCATAGTCCAAAATGCCTAGAGGACGACGTGCGAACATCGGCCGCCGCACAATACATGCAAGCCAACAACAAGTGTATTCACAGAACATAAGCGAAGAAAGACAAAATATAATAAGAGAAAATGCCCGATTGAGACAACGCGTGAGCACACGAAGATCATTGGCATCATACAATCGCTTGGCATTCCAATATGATCCCACTGCGAACTACAGTGATGATGAAAATTTAGATATTGGACCAATGACGACTATATGCCGATATTGCAATGCGTTAAAGTTCAAATGAGAAACGGCTGGATTGTGCTTCGCAAGTGGAAAAATCAAACTGGATCCATTACTTACACCACACAGCCACTGAAACCATTGTTCGATGGAAGTGATCCCGATTTTCTTCAACACATCCTTGAATACAATAACTGCTTTCGCATGACTTCCTTTGGAGCTAATATCATTCGAGAAGACGGCTTCATGCCGACTTGCAAGGTAAAAGATACAACACACATAACCAATCACTCACACCAACACAATGAATTGCAACACATAACAACTACATATACGAGTACACCACACACTACACCATCACACGATCAGAAGTTACACCGTATTCTTCAACAAATGATTGTTTGCAATTACAGATACAAGGACAAATATATCATTTGCATGGTTCAATGGTACCAACACCAGATGAATCGCATCAATTTCTGCAAATATATTTCATTTCGTCGATGGTGGATCAGCTGAATGTGCGGTGCAATATAGGGAACACAACAGTTAAAGAGACGAATTATTGAACAGTTGCAAGCATTTTTTCACGCTAATAATGCTGTGGTTAATATGATCAAAACAGCATTGGAACGAATGCCATTGGATACGCACAAATTTGTCATAAGAGCGGATTGTACCCCAACAGGTGAACATGTGCGAAACTTCAATGCACCCACCGTTAATGATGTTGCTGCAATTATTGTTGGCTATACAACTAAATCGCGAGACATTGTCGTTCAGCGAAGAAGCAATATCATGCATCGTGTAAACGAGACACATCGTTTGTACGATGCGTTACAATATCCAATCATTTATTGGCAAGGGCAAGACAGATACGACATCACGTTGAAGATGCCAATTAAAGGTACAATATTCACACACTAATTATTGCTATTATTGCTATTATTGGTTTCCATTAACAATTCATTTAATTTTGCATTTTCAGGCGTATCAACGAACAAAAATCTAAGCGCAATGAATTACTATGCGTATCGTATGATGATTCGCACACATGAGGAGAATGTCATTCTTAAGTGCCGTCGGCTATTCCAGCAATTCGCTGTCGACATGTATGTCAAAGTCGAGACCGAACGTTTAGCGTTCATCCGATTCAATCAGGCAAAGCTACGATCTGAGGACTATATACACTTGCGTGCTATTCATTCAGATGGTGATGTTCAGAATATTGGACGTCTGACGATTCTCCCATCATCTTATATCGGAAGCCCACGCCACATGCACGAATACGCTCAAGACGCTATGACGTACGTGCGAAATTATGGAACTCCGGATTTATTTATTACGTTCACATGCAATCCGAAGTGGATGACATCATATCAGCTGAAATTCCTGATCCAGTCACTGATCCCCATCTACACGACATTGTGACGACACAGATGGTGCATGGACCGTGCGGTGCATTAAATCCATTATCGCCTTGCATGGCTGATGGAAAGTGCACAAAACGATATCTGCGACCGTTAGTTGCTGAAACAGTCACAGGGAACGATGGATATCCAGTTTATCGTCGGCGTTCAAAAGAAGATAATGGTCGAACTATCAAAGTTAAAGTTCAAAATCAAGAGATTGAGATCGGAAATGAATTCATTGTACCATATTGCCCGCTTTTATCACGAATTTTGGAAACACATGCAAACGTTGAGAGTTGTCATTCGGCCAAATCAATCAAATATTTGTGCAAGTACGTCACAAAAGGCAGCGACATGGCTGTGTTTGGTATTGCGTCGGAAAATGCGAATGACGAAATCAGCAACTTCCAAATGGGCAGATACGTCAGTACTAATGAAGCACTGTGGCGATTATTGTCATTTCAAATTCATGAGAGATATCCCACAGTTGTACACTTAGCAGTGCATTTGGAAAATGGCCTAAGAGTTTACTTCACTGAGGCTAATGCGGCACAACGAGCTGAGAGACCACCATCGACAACATTGACTAGCTTCTTTGCAATGTGTGAAGCAGATCCATTCGCAGCGACGCTGATGTACGTTGAAATGCCCAAGTATTACACTTGGAATCAATCAACAAAGAAATTCCAACGTCGCAAACAAGGAACCCCAGTTCCAGATTGGCCACAGATGTTTTCCACTGATGCACTAGGTCGTCTGTATACTGTTCATCCTAGAAATGATGAATGTTTTTATTTGCGACTGCTGTTGGTAAATGTACGTGGACCAAAATCATTTGCGCATTTGAAAACTGTGAATGGCCACTAATGCCAAACATATCGAGAAGCATGTCAACTATTGGGTTTGCTGGAGAATGATTCTCATTGGGATTTAACACTTGCGGATTCAGTTGATTCATCAAATGCGTACCAAATACGAACTCTGTTCGCAATTATCATCATCACATGTTTTCCTTCACAACCAATTCAGTTATGGAACAAATACAAAGACGACATATGTGAAGATATCTTGCATCGCTTGCGCATTCAAACGAATAATCCTGACATCCAAATAACCGATGAAATCTACAATGAAGGATTGATTCTGATTGAGGATTAATGCTTGACTATTCTAGACTCTTCTAGATAGCGGTCGTACTGCACATTCTGCGCTTAAGTTGCCACTCAATTTAAACACAATTGATACTCCAACATGCAATATTTCCCGATCCAATGCAATGGGAAAATTGTTGATGCAATGCAAGCTCATTGTTTGGGATGAGTGCACAATGGCACATAAGAAATCACTTGAAGCACTTAACTTCACACTGAAGGATCTTCGGCGAAATAACAACCTCTTTGGCGGCTTGATGATATTGTTGGTAGGCGATTTCAGGCAGACGTTGCCAGTAATTCCCCGTGGAACGCCTGCAGATGAATTGAATGCTTGCATGAAGGCATCACCTTTATGGAATAACGTAAAAACATTATCGCTAACCACTAATATGAGAGTTCAACTTCGAAATGATCAAAGTGCTGCACAATTTGCCAAATAATTGTTAGCTGTTGGAAATGGAAAAGTCCCAGTTGATGCAACATCTTTATTAATTACTCTTACCAACGACTTTTGCCGATTTGTAGACTCTCAATTAGCTCTTATTGAAAATGTTTTCCCAAACATTAGTGAGAATTATCAGAATTATACTTGGTTAAGTCAACGAGCAATTCTTGCCGCAAAGAATAATGATGTACACGCACTGGATTTCACCATTCAATCAAAAACTGCTGGCGATTTGGTGACATACAAATCCGTTGATTCCATGACAAATCCCGATGATGTAGTAAATTATCCAACGGAGTTTTTGAACTCTCTGGAGTTACCAGGATTTCCACCACATAACTTGCAACTCAAAGTTGGTACAGTTATTGTGATATTGCGTAATTTGAATCCACCGCGACTTTGCAACGGTACTCGACTTTCGGTAAAAAGACTTATGCCGAATTTGATTGAGGCAACCATTATTAACGGAAAGTACGCAGGTGAAAATGTATGTATTCCTCGAATACTAATGATTCCAACTGATCTTCCGTTTGACTTCAAACGATTGCAATTTCCAGTTCGCCTTGCGTTCGCAATGACAATTAACAAGTCGCAAGGCCAATCGCTTAGTGTTTGCGGGATAAATTTAGAAAATCATTGTTTTTCACATGGGCAGTTATACGTTGCGTGTTCACGAGTTGGGAAACCATCCGTGTTAACGTCAGACCAATAAACAAAAAATGTGGTTTACCAAAGAGCACTTCAATGAAACGGATAATTTGCGGACACGTATAACGCTTCGATTCAGTATTTACTTTGGATTCACTTTCATTTACTTAGAGAAGTTCAACTAAATAACACTTCATTTTTGTAATCGAAATGAATTCATTACTGTTGTGAAATGAAATAAAAATTTTCCTTTTCAAATATAAAACAAAAAAAAAAATCTTCTTCTTTTAATCACCAAACGAAATGTTACATAAAACGAAGCCATCTGGTGGCGAAACGGAGTTCGCCGGGTTTGCTAGTTAAATTATAAATGAACAATATATCTTTGGCCTTTTTACACGCTTTATATTAGCTTCACTTTTAATTATTTTTTTTATGTTTGTAACCGACTCCTTTGGGCGTGATTTTGACTGACTTTAAACTGTCAGAATTCGTTCAAACTTTGTAGATATATCGAGGACCGATGACAATACACTAATTTAAAAATAATAATTAAAATAAATTATAGTTTTAAATTATAGCGTTGGGTGCTGTTGTCAATAGTAAGAAGCACTCCACGCTTTTTTTTAAATTTGTTTTCTATTTCTAGAAAGCGTGTTTTTTTGTTTTTTAAAACTATTTTTTTTTTTAAACTTTGATTCTGAATTATAGCGATTAACAAAAGATATAAATTGAAACGAGCTTTTTATATTACTACATATTATACAGACACATATTATACACATACACATAGTAATAACGTTTATTGTTCCAGTGCCAAGTTATCGAACTGCCTGGGTGTGCAACACAACATTGAGGACAAGATCCCCGGCCAGGAACCCCTCGAAGTGCTCACAACTAAGTTGGTGCTCTTCAGCAATCAGATCAGTGCGTTCGCACTTGCTATCAAAGGGTAACTAGAAAAATTCTATTTTAAATTTAACTTTATTTTATCGATTTTTTTTTTCCCGTTTTGCAACATTTTTTATTGATTCTCGGCTCCTATTGGTGGTAGCGTGATATTTTACAGACTATAGCCTTCCTCACATCATCATCATCATCAACAGCCTTTAACAGTCCACTGCTGGATATAAGATTCTCCTTAGCAAGGAGGTTTTGGCCTACTATACCACGCTGGCCAGACGGGTTGGTATAGATTTTGTGTCAAGTTTTCCTTCTCTCTGCAGTGCTGTTGTTCTGCGTAGTTTTTCCCTTAGTCGGCTCTTACGACACCCACGGGATGAATAGGGGTGGTAACACTATGTGTTCTTAATCTGTCACCACACGGACTACATAGCCTTCCTCGATACATGGGCTATCCAACACTCAAATAATGTTTCAATTCGAATCTATCCCTTCCCAAATAACAATCTAATCTACTCTAATCTTGATAAAAAACCATGAGAGTCATGTTTCGACACATATGGACCAAGCTCGACTGGAGTGATACTACGGTCCACATCTGGATCTGGTCACGGTCATCTGTCTGGATGTCATCTGGATGATGAGATCCAGACAGACGACCGTGCTCATCACACAATTATTTGTCCTGGGTGGGAATCGAACCCAGTACATCAGGCGTAGCAGTAAGGTTCCCTAACCACTAGACCAACAGTGGACAGTGTCCACTGGCAGTGGGCTATGGTGATACAACCCCCCCCCCCCTGATTCCGTGGATTTCATCTTCACTTGTGTCTTTTCAGTGGTGTAGTCAATTAACTTAACATCAGGTGACCCGACTGAGACGTTGTTTAAAAAAAAAAACTATTACTGTTACAGTGTGCTAAACACAGATGCAGTGGAGTTTAGTATAGAGGACCAAGTGTCGCAGTTAGAGAGTGTATTCAAAGACAGTCTGCAACTCATATGTATGGACGCAGCCGTTGTCAATAGGAATAACTTGAGGATATTTTGTATAAAGTGCAAGTAAGTACCACACGGAACCTCCTGCTTTTTTTGCAATTACCAGATAATTATATGGAATTATTTCAGCCATATTTGCCGTCAGTAATATTTTATTTATTTATTCAGGACAACTTACAAAACATACACTAATACTTAGTTAACAAACATGTTTTACAAATATTTGTTGAGTGTTGTCTTACTTACAAGTTGCCACGGTATGGTAAGGGACAGTTACATGTAAGATTATACAAAGCTATATCTATAATAATATACAAAACATACAGAACATCATCGAAATTAATTAGAGACAGTGATGCATTAATGCTATGCTATGATGCTACGCAAATTACGACCGGATGCCGTAGTGGTTTGTGTAACGGACTGCTATTCCAAAGGTCGCGGGTTTGATTCCCGCTCAAGTCAAACATTTGTGTGCGTGAACATTTGATGTTTGATTTGGTCTGGGTGTTTCTATGTATAATATGTATGTATTTACAAAAAAAAAAAAAAGTATATATGTATTTATATCAGTTGTCTAGTATCCATAGTACAAGCTCTGCTTAGTTTGGGACTAGATGGCGTTGTGTGTATGTGGTAGAATATTATTATTATAATTAATGCTATGATGTGCAAATAAAGATCAGTATATTAATACATGAAGGAAATTCCTGTTAGGTGCTCATTTGTCACACGAAAGCATGTCCTATTTGGAATACTTAATGATAATTTTCAAACAAAATCCATATTGAAATTATAAATGAGAGACTGTGTCTGTCTGTCTGTTACCTCTTTCCGCTTAACAGCTGAACCGATTTAGATGAAATATGGTTTAGAGATAGTTTGAGTCCCGGGAAAGGACATAGGGTAGTTTTTATCCCAGAAATCATTCTTTAAGTTAGTGAAAAGGGGGGTGGAAGTTTGTATGGGGAATCAATAACTGCTGAACCGATTTGATGAAAATTTTGCATGGAGATACTATGATTATTGTGGAAGGACATAGGTGATAACCAATATACTCTCAAGCAGACAATAAAGTTAAAAGTTATGGGGGTTTAAAACTATAGGGCTTCAATATATATTTTTACTAGCGGACCCGACAGACGTTGTCCTGTCAAATTTGACACTGCGGTGGTAGCGCCGTCTGTCTGATCCAATGTAAAACATTCCAAAATCAACAACTACTAATAAATTAAAAATTAATTAAAAAAACATTGTCCAGCGGACAAAATTGTGAATCTAAACCATTCCCAGATCCCCTTGAACACACACAAAAAATTTCATCAAAATCGGTCCAGTCGTTTGAGAGAAGTTCAGTGACATACACACTCACAGAAGAATTATATATATAAAGATTTGTCATGGTACAAAAGTCTATACAATGACAGTTCAACTTATACTGGTCAATTAATGGAAAACTTTGGACATTCCACCCCCAGGGGATCTCTAGCTAACTAGACACATCTCACATACGGTCGTCTGATCTCAGACTAGGCAGAGTCTGTACTATGGTAACCAGACTTCTGATAAACATACTTATAAATTTCTAAATACATACATATCATAGATAAATTACACATAGACTAGTATTCTTTAAAAAATATATATGTGTACTCTATGGTTTTAAAATATCACTTTAAAAATGTCTTTTCTTACAGGAACATGTTACAAGAAGCATACACGAAGTTTTCCCAACTAACTGAGCTGATTGAGATTTGTAAAATTGCCATTGCTAATAAATAAATTATACCTTGGTACTGTCGCGGTCACAAGTGTCTGTTGTGTGTTTAGTGTACTGTGTCGCGTTAACGTACTTTTTATCTATCATTTGTATACAAAATAGGTTAAATAATGAACTTTTTTCGAATATTGTTCGGGTATTTGTAAAAAATAACAATTTACAGGACTTAAGCGCTATAAACCAAATTGAAAGAAACGAGTTTAAAAATATTTTTCATATCTTTTTTTCTGGTCAGTGCGTGTACCAGAGGACAAGAGAGGTGCCTAACCTCAGGACGCAGACCCTGGAAAGGAAGGGGGGAAATTAGAGGGGGTCGCAGTACCTATGTCGACGCATCTTACTATTTTCGTAAATAAGGCAAGCTTAGCGTTTATTGCTTCAGGTGCAAGAAGCAATAAACGCTAGCTAAGAAACTGATCCTGGTTCATGGCGAATAAGGTCCCAGTTGCCATCATCCGCATTTAGATTATCGCATTCATCGTATTTTCTTATAATTTTGTTTTAAGTAGACTTTACGGGTATAAAAATAAAGACTTTTGTATCTTTACATTAATGGATGTTACTAAATGCCTTCTAAAATTGGAACGTATAACAAAACTACTGTCCTTCAGCTAAAAAGCCGTTGAGCCTAAAAAAATTGTGTTTCAAAAAACTTTGCATTGCAAGCTTGTCATTGCAAACTTATGAAGCTAAGATGGTAAATAGGGAGGTAAGAGGCCAGAAAATAGTCAACAAATTGAGTAGGTAGTTCAAATATTGTAACTCAAATTTAGTGAAAGTATATGGGATAATGTGGGTTTTTAAGTAATCATAATCGTTTGCCTAAAGATTTTCAGCTTTTTGTAACTATTACCAACTCTAACTAGGTTTATAATAATAAGTTATTTACACAGAGAGATAGAGAATTTTGAACTTTATTACTTCTTACAAAAAGTAAAAATTAGCAACTTGATGGATAACGGGGTTTTAGTTAAAGGACGGCAAAGTAAGTAATTTAACGATCACTGTAATAGGCAAATATGATTCTAATACATTAACAATCTATTCTATTCAAAGTTTCATTATTATAGTGTTGTATTTCTATAGTTGTCGTCCTTAATTAAAAACGCTTCTGTTTACCTCTTTATAGGTAAAAGACGTGAGTATATAATTTTTTTAAATTGAAAAGTTTTTTAAGACAATAGTTAGTTAAATGTCTATTTGTCAATAAATGCATTTATCATCGCCATATTAGTATTGTATGTAGATGACGGCGCTATGCCCTCATAACTAGTGATGTGCCGGATTGTTCAAAGTGTATATCGTGTATAGTTACCGATGAGGACTAAATATTATACCCTATTTAGACTGTCACTGAGCGTTTTAAAAATAATTACTTTAAAAATATATTACAATAATTTGGTGTTGGGTTTTGTTAAGTCTTTTGTTCTAGGCTGTCCTTAACAATTGTTGTTTTACACATCGATTCTAAAACTAGCAGATATTTTGATATATTTTTAACTAGAAGACGATGCAATTTGATTACAAATATTTCTTTGTATCGTGATCTGCATTGTGCTTTAAATTTTCATATACACAATCTGCCAAAGTAACGGATACGCACGCGCATACTGATATCTGGTACATCACTACACATAAAATGCTCTGGTAAGTTGATTAATGTCGTGTTCTTATTTACATGAAGACAGTAAACACTGAAAAAAATAAAATATTATTTTAGTATAACACTTTTGACCGCGACAGTACTCTTGTTTAAAAACCGAACTGTACCCACTTGTACTGACCTAGAAACCTAATAGATCTACTTCGAAAAGAGAAGAAGAGTTCCTTCAATATTCTTATAGTTAAATTTTGCTGTATGTAAAAAAAAAAAAACTAAAAATTTTCATCAATGTTAAAATATACATCTTTTGTGGTTTTGTCGTTCGATGTTAATTTTATTGTGATAAATAAATATGTGTATGTTTGTATTAGATTGTGGGTAGGCTGATGATAAATGTATCCATAAGTAGCTTTCCAGGCAGACTATTTCCTCTCCAATTTTTTATGTCTCGTGTCCCCCAAATTCCCCATTTTCTAAGCAGCTTTTATAATATTGTTCTTTGGCTTAAAAGTTTATTCGGACTAACAAACTTTTTGCCAAATTGGCCCAGCCGTTTTTCAGTGATACTGAAAATTGGCCCAGCTGTTTTTCAGTGATACTGACTGCCGAATAGATACGAAACATCTTGAAATTTAAATAAGACCTATTTCTTAGCCATGCGACTCGTCCCACTCCCACACCCATTCTTACTCCTTGCGACTCGTCAGCACTCACCTCCACTGTCTGCTGTGTTACCCCCTCTACCCTTAAAAATTGATACGAGCCTAGCAATGCCGCTTTGGATATTCGTTCAAGAAAAGAGCTTACTGAAGCTTTTGGCAATCCAAGGTCTTTAAGCAAGTTATAGGGGGATTTAGCTGGTATACCCCTCACACACACTTCCACGACATACAACGCACCGACATAACCATTTTTATTAGTACTTGTTTCTTTTTAAAGCGTGGTCTTTAGGGATGTTCGATTCCCACGACACCGTGAGTTCTACTAGTACTACACGCTTAATTGAAATTTCATAACTGGACACCGAGGCACAGATATCCTCCGGTATTCTGTAATAATTAAGAATACCGGAGGATATCTGTGCCTCGGCGATGAATAAGGTCTATTTTTCCGAATTTCATTCCCCCTGTCTTCCTCAATTCTCCAAATTCTGAGATAATGGTGAATAGCTTACAGGTGAAATCTGGGGCCTGGTCATTTTTGTTCCTTTGTATGATTCTGTTACACATATTTAAGAAATCAAATACAGCATACTTAGGACCCATAATGTTTATGTCCGTGGTGCTTCCCAGTTTTAAAAGGGTGTATGCTTATTTTTACTTTTACATTTTGTCTTCCGCTATTTTAAGGAGGGAAGTAGATTTATCGTATTTCAAACTCCTCCAATTTTCTTCTGATTAATTTCGTTGCGGGTTCCAAGGCAGTTTAATTTTTCCTGTGGTTTCCCGAGTGTCATAACTCGGTATGCTCGTGGGTCACTGCTATTGATTCTGGTGTACAGGAGTTATAGTGGTGGACGTGTGGGAGGGATTAGTCTCCCCTCTAATTCTGCTACACTGAAAGGGCTTCAACGAACTTGTGACACTTTCTAATTCTCATCAGTTTACCCACCAAATTTTTAGATAGATACTTTGCTACTTACATATATATATATATATGTTAACGGTAATAACAAAAGAGACTTCACTGTTTCAAAGACTGATTAATCACTTTGATCTGGCTTGTCTTTGATCAATGTTTTTTTTTCTATAGTCCCTCCATTTTGAGTTACAGTCATCATTGAAGTTACTACATAAAATAACTAAGTTACGACATCAAAAGCTTATAGGAAAGTATGTATACTTAGGGTTTCTTTCTAAGTTATCACAGAACCCCATGCAATAGGTTCAGTGACATCATCAACAGCCTTTACTAATCCACTGTTGGACATACGCCTCTCTTTAGAAGGGAGGTTTTCTGTTGTCATTTGTACATTGCTCCCTTAGTCAGCTCCTACGGTTTAGGTTCGGTATGGTTCTAGTCATTTCAAGTTTTATATACGTTTTACCGTTACAACCCAGATCAATTGGGTGCATCTACCTGGTCTTTTGAGCTGAGATACTTGTCCAAGGTTTGATATGATTCTGAGAACCAAATGTTTTTATTTACGTATCTCACCCTGTATCAGCACATTGGGTCAGCTCAACCGGAGCGTACCAAGGCCTCACAGAAAACCGGTGTTAAGTATTTCTTTCGTTGGAATTCACTGAATTCAAAATTACTAGAGCCAAACCCCTCCTCCATGTTCTAAGGCTTAAAACGCACTTGCGGTTAACTTCACTGCGGTGTGCCCTTGCTGGTGAACTGCACATCGATTTTTATGCAGGGTGTAAGGGACGTCGTAACGAATACTGAAAAAGTGTATTCAGACCATGATTCTGAGTCGAAAATCATTGAAATTTTCGTCAATTCATCATTTTTTTATAATTTTCCATTTTTTTTGGTTAAACATCTTATCACAATGACTAAATAGAACATTTTACCAAAAATAATTTTATAAATACCGCATACGGTCAAAAACTGGCTTGTTTGCACGGTATACACATGTAGTTATTACTTTTGTGCCATACCTACGAACAACCTTTGACAGCTGATTACATAAAAAGTTTAATTTTCCGGAAAAAAATCTAATAATTTTCGACTCAGAATTATGGTCAGAATACACTATTTCAGTATTCGTTACGGCGTCCCTTACACCCTGTATGAAAAAGCATGATTTCAACGTACTGACGTGTGGTCAGCTGACTGCAGCGCGCCACACCGTGCGGTCGATGCGGTCAGCCACAGGCGCCGCTGCCCGCCCAGTTCTTGGATAGAAGTTAATTTGAGATGTCAAAAAACGCCCCGCTTTATACACCATGTCGAATATTTCTTGACTCATTGATGATTTCGGCAGACCGAAATAGAACCACAATGACGCAGTCAGCCGGAATACGGCGTGTCGTTGTGGCTAACCGTATATGCTGTGGTGAAAAACAACATCACGCCGCATTTCTGCCAACCGCTAGTTCGTTCTAAGCCTAAGCAACTCTGGCACTCGAAGGTTGTCAACACGCTTGTCCCCCTTGAGTTGCGTGCGTCTTTGGTCGGTGGTAGTCATTTACCGGCAGGTCACCCGTCTGTTCTTTTGCCCCATACCATACAAAAAAATGTCAATAGTTGATAAAAACTAACGAATGATATGGTTTTTTCTATGTACGTGTGTTTAACGCTTCACAGAATATGTAAACATGCTTTCCTATATTGCTTTAGTATTATTGCAGGATATTTCACACGTCCTAATTTTGCAGGATATTTCACATGTGTTTACGAATAGAAAAACATTATAAAACCTGTAATTTTATGTACGGAATGTAATGG